AGAAAAAAGAGATCACTGGATCAAGTGCGAGTGACAGGGAGAGCGATCACGTGTCCGAATGCTCTCGAAAATATCATTCAAATGCGGCATCGATGCCAACCTTGTCCTTCGATTTGGAGGAAAAACCTTTGAAACATATGTCATTTCTCTGGTGAGCTGGCAATCTAACTTGACTCTAGACTCTTGGAAACAAACTGTGTCCTCGCTCTCAACTCGGATGTCGATTGGTTCTCGCATCGCGTACCACTGCTACTTGTAGTTACTTGACTAGCCTTGAGTCAGCCCCAGTGGCATCCTGCTTCAACTTCATTCTCTTGAATCAGAATCCAGCCAACCATTCGACTTTTCTTTTACACCTCATCTGAAATCTGACGCTGTTTATGGGTCCATTCATTGATCCCTAATTGCTCCTGCACATGTTGTAAAGGGTCAATCTTTTCTGCTTGTGCTGGGCAATTCCTATCGATTCACCTAAGTTGGAGGTCTGAAATGCCAGGTTCAGTCATGGGCCGCGGTAAATAATGTCCTTGCGACGAAAAATGATCTGTCATATTGAAGGCCTCGTCCGACCTACCTGGATCGAACAGGTGGCATCAAGATTATATGTTTCCAATTACAGTCTTGCGCTCTTCCAACTGAGCTAAGGTCGGATGGGGTCGGCGTCACAGGTAAGGGTCCCAGCCCGCATGCGGCACTTCCCAATACGCCGACAATCCAGCAGCGATTATTCGAGATCATGTGAAAACCTATTGCATACAATTCTCATTGTCCGGATCGTCTGGGCTGAAAAGAAATTAAAGTCGATGGTATCTCAGAACATCGGGCAGGGCCACGCGCAGATAAGGCGCAGGTTGGCTACGCTCCCATATTATCTTCAATCCAGCATCAAGACACCGGCGACATCGGGTTTGACGGACGATGTCATTCATCTGTGAATATGTGTATGCTATCTCAGCGTGATATATTGGTCATATATTGTTCTATGCGTAGATACAGTTTGTGTTGGTGTTGGAAATGAAATTCGCTTTACTCGCTTTGTAGGCCAAGCCGATTTCCAACTTCACCTTGCCTATCATCATTTAGAATCCTTTGGTCGCCTTCGCGCCAGCTTGAATCAGGATGTAGAGGGGCATCGCTGTTAGCCCTCGGTGAGAAAATGCCACACTAAAATCCAAGAAAGACGCACCCAGACACGCAAAGTACACCGTTGATCTATGGACGCAACTCGATCAGCCGTCGCCGCTAGGGAAATGACAGATTTTCGACATACCGAACCCAGGACTGGAACACCGTCCTCTGCGATATGTAGATGTAGTTGTACAAGATGCGGCCCAAGACGCTGTGGATGTCCCAGCATCAGTCATCAACATCAACAGACCCAGATAGGCAACCCACTAATACAGCGACACGGTATTCAATAACGCGTGATCGAGGCCGACCAGGTTGCCGACGATCTGATCCCGCAGAGTCAGAAGCGGCGCCACAGGGTATACGCATAAGGACTCACTACAGCCGCGATCCAAATGGGGAGGTTCTCATTCCCGTTCTGCGAGGCAATGTGAGCCGCACGGACCGAGAAGGCAGGTGAGACCACGGGATCGGAAGACGACGCACGATATGGGCTCCCTCCATGCGCTGGATAAGTGCGATCTGGGCCGGCGAGAGAGACTTGTTGGCAGCGACTTCGCCCATATTCTTTCTGGGTGCAACACTGGACGACGTGCGCGTTAGTCGGTCCACGCGACATACGACTTGCACAGGATGGCACGCACTTGTTGTAGTCCCCGTGCAGTAGGTAGATGAACGTCGTCTGTTCCCGCGTAAGCAAACGCGTAACGATGTATGGAACGCTCACGCACCCGAATCAGAACAGGCGCGAACGCTGTGAGCCAGACCGCCGGGATCGAGTAGTACGACAGCGGCGCCGAAGATAGCGTGTTGGAGAGCGGCATGGCGAGCATCGTCGGGCTGGTGAGTGTGGATCTGGAAGTGCACAGAGAGAGAGAGTCTGGGTGTCGTTCGGCTCCCAGGTGATTTCATCCGTCTGCCTTTTATCCGCTTCGGCTCCCTTCGGAAGCAGACACCCACGCGCACACACACTTGGGCGCCGCGTTTCCCCATCAGTAGCGATACGCCGCACGCAATCGAATGCAACCGGGGGCCAGCTGAAAGAGCAGGCTATAGTGGGCACGTGAAGTGAGGAAGCACATTACAAACCGCACGGGCACGCGTCGCCTGCGCATTGGAGCCTTGCCTTGCGCTTCTCAGAAGAACGGGAGTGTTCCCATTGGACGGAGTTAATTGCGAGCCCCACGACTTAACGGCATCGATGGTGGATGGCGCTTTGGGCTCAAGTCTAAGTTGAAATCTAACTTGTCGATGCGCATCATGAAGGGTGTGGCTGTGCTCGCCAATCACCTAGCGGGGCGGCGCGAACCACTACGGGCAGGGGCGGGGGTGCATCGCCCCTGGGCTTATTTCCGCGCGGGAAGTGGGATGAGCCTTTGTTCAGAAGGAGATTCGGCCTTCTCAGCAGCCGGATAACCAATTCCTCGTGCCGATGACGTTCTTCCGAGCCGCGTTTCTTTCTTTCCAAGGGAGACCCGGGAGGTTACGTAGAAGCCGACGAGAGATTCCCGAAGAACGCTGCTGTATTATCGGATCTTTGTTGAGAACCTCAAGCAAGCTTACAGAAGCGCCCGAGAACAAATAGAATCATATTGGACGCAATTCGGAAAGCTCTACAAAACATTGGAAGGGGTCACGAACATCATGACTGGGGCGGCATCTCGTAATCCATCGGGACATCCTTGCGCTCGAGCCATGAAGCGTCCTCGCTTCCGAGATCCACACCCTTGCCGCAATCCAAGTGTCGCCGACAGGGAAGCTCCTTCAGCTCGACCGTCCCGTCACTACTGCGAGCCACGACGAAGTGCTCTCCGTTCCAGCCGAGGAAGTCTAGCGCTGGCAAGCCGACCGCGACGCTCCGGGACGCGGCCGCCCACAGGTCTGTCTGCAAACGGAGATCTTTCTCCGACAGTAGGTTAGGCTTGGGCCGGTGCTTGGATGTGTTCTGCAGATGCAGAAAAGCCAGCGACCTGAAGGCTTCGAAGTATCTGACGTATTCATTCTTTCGGTTCATCAGTGCCACGCCAGATGGAGCTACTTCCCGCGGCTCACCAAAGGCCGATCAGACACCACAGCGGAGAGGTGGAGGGCAACCATCGATAGCGGGATCGCGTTCACCAAGCCGGTGACTGCCGAAGCAGTGAGATTCGCGATACGCACACCCAACACACGTAAAGCTGAGAGCCCGGGCAGCAGATTCAAGGCCATGTCCCATGGACAGCTTCCCAAGTCCAGCCGGCGCAGCCGCGTTCGGCGTCGCAGAAATTGGGCCACGGCGCGGTAAAGGGTGACCTGGTCGTCATGACCAACGACGACGAAACGGAAGGCCTCCAGATGCGGCAGAAACGTGTGCTGGCCGTCGATGATGTGATCGCTTCCAAAGACGACGGCTGCCGCTGCCGGATCCTCGAACGTCCCGTGCAGTGTGAGACTCTGTAGCCCATGGGCGTGAGCGATGCGAGACAGCACGAAGTGCGAAATCCGCGTGTCGACAAGATCGAGCTGTGTCAGGTTCTTGATCGTCACGCTCTCAAATGCGCTGTCCCAGGAGTGGTCGCGCGCAAGATATGCTCCTAGCACCAGATGCTGCAGGGTATCCGCATTTTGATCGAGCACAATTCGCACTTCACCCATGTCGGCGAATCCATCGTCGTCTTCAGCGCGGAGAGTGAATTTGCGCAAGTTCCTGAACGCGGAAACACCGACTGCGTCAAAATGCCACCCGCTGCCAGTTGTTGAGCGCTTTGTGAGAGAGAATGGGCATGATAGGGCTCACATCAGACCCAGTCTGTGGATAGAAGAGTGGGTAGAGAGTACAGTCTGGACCATTTCTGCCCGCATTTCCGGATAGCCAATCCACTCAAGCTCCTGAAGCGCTTTGAACTCAGGGAGCGTGGAACGAAAGATGCCTGGTAAGAAACATCCATTCAGTACTTGGACACTTGAGCAGATTTACATACGAGTCATGAGATCAAGCATGTCCCCCTCCTCATGCGCCCAATGCAGCCTCAGAGTTTTGATGCGCAGCGCAAAGACCGGATCCGCCTTCACCCGGTCGAAAACATCCAGACCACGATTCAGTGCCTCTTGATCGTCGCCGAAATACAGATCGAGCGTATGGAAGATCAGTCGCACTGCGATGTCTCTGAAGAAGGAGGAAATGAAGAGCCAGGTGCGCAGGTGATAGCGCGGGATAAACGATGCGATGCGGTCCCATATTTCGACCGGAACGCGCTGGAAAGCAGGATCCCGCGCAAAACGTATATTCTGGAGACAGACCGCTTGAGCAAGAGGCGAAAAAGCGTGAGCCGAGGCGTACCACACGGCCTCTTTGCGAATGTTGCTGTATCTCCCGATTTGCAGGGTCCAGCTGGAGGACGGCACGGAAGTCTGGAGACGGGTTCAAAGACGACCAGTTTTCCGGGGTGAGGAACGCACCTTGTTCCGCCTTCTCGACAAGTTCCTCCCCTGCCGCCTTCCGAGCTTTCCCTCTGGCTAACAACGCCTTCACCACGTCGGTCCGTGGTAAGTCTGGAGTCTTGAGGTAAACCTCGAGGTAGTTTTCGACTTCTACACCATATCTTTGACGGTCCAGGTAAGATGAATCCATGATAGCCTGGTGACTCACTGTCCAGAGTGAATCAGAGTAAGAGCGGTATCCAACAACAAATTGGCTTTGCGCTTGTTCGAGAGAGAGTGAATGGCCCCAAAGACCGTCGCGGTCAGTTCATCGGCTCCAACAGTCGAGGTCATGGATAATTGGATGTTAGTGCGGATGCTCAGAGAAGAACATCGGCCCAAATCAAGTCCGGCCTGGGTGGCAGCGAAAGAGGAGTGTGGGGTGTTGCCGATCACAAATCATGATCTGTCATTGACCCCAGACCTCTCTCCTAGCACCCCCATGGCCAGCCCAGTGGACACCAGTCCTGGCCCTCCCGTCGTGGTAAAACATGATCCCGAAGAGCTCGGGATGTACATTATCGTCAGTGATATCGCAGCCGGGACGTTCGGGACAGTCAAAAGTGCGTGTCAATCTTGAATCCGCTCCCCCCGCCTCACGCCGCTTCGCCGCAGAGGCCATCCACAAGGTCACTGGGCATCGGGTCGCTCTGAAGTTTCTGTCAAAAGCTGCTGTTGCCAATAACGGGATGAAAACGCGCGTGCGACGTGAATTCGAATACACCCGGATGCTGCGGCATCCCCATATCATCAAGCTGTAGGCCGCCCCGCTCGTCTACTGTCGCCGCACTAACTGACTCACAAAAGTTATGAAATCATCACCACGCCCGAAGAGATCGTGTTCGTGCTCGAATACGCGGAGGGCGAGCTCTTCGTGTACATCCGCGATCACGGACCGCTCGACGAGGATCTTGCGCGACGATTCTTCCAGCAAATAATCGCGGGAGTGGAGTACACGCATCGACAGAAGATCATACATCGAGACCTCAAGCCCGAGAACATCCTCCTCGACGAATACTCCAATGTCAAAATCGGCGACTTTGGTCTGTCTAAGGAGGCCAAAGACGGGGAGTTCCTGACGACGAGCTGCGGCAGTCCCAACTATGCGGCGCCCGAAGTTATCAGAGGGGACCGGTACTCAGGTCCTGACGCTGATGTGTGGAGCTCAGGCGTGATCCTCTACGTTCTGCTCTGCAACCAGCTTCCTTTCGAGGACGAGAATATCACCGAGTTGTTCGAGAAGATCAAAAGTTTGTCTGGCTGTTCTTGCTCTCGTGCTTGGTCGCTGACATGGTTTAAGCGCTGAAGTACGATCTGCCGACCCACCTGAACCCACTCGCGCAGAACCTGATCAGATCCATGCTCGTGCTGGATCCGTTCCAGCGTATAACGATCCCGGAAATCATGAAACATCCTTGGTTCACAGTCGACTTGCCGAGGTATCTGACGCCCCTGCCGCCCATACCGGGTGCCGTGGTCGGGACTCTGAGCTCTCTGGTCGCTCCACCGGTTGTCCCCCTGGACAGGGACCTTGAGTACGTGGAAGGACTGGGCCGGATTGATGACGAGGTAGTCGACGAGTTGGTTGAGCTCCTGGAAGGAGTCGACAAGGAAGAAGTCTTGCACAGTCTGCGTCGGGACGACGGGTCTCGCGGGAATCAAGTCAAGGTCGCCTACATGTTGCTGCAGGACAAGCGGAGAGTGGGCAAAGACCGTGCGGCATTTTTGCTTTGCTGATCTGGATGTCTCTCATGTTCTGCAGTTGCGATCGTTTCTGAGCTGGAGCGAGAAGCGGAGCTGGCGAGCATGGACGTGAGTGCGCGCTCCATGCCTCAACTCGTGTCTAACAGACTGTGCAGCCCAGGAATGCGATCTCTCCCAATGCGGTTTCTCCCAACGGCGGCGATGCTGATGAAAATCCGTTTGAGGCTGAGTTTGAGGAGGACATCGACGACGTGGATGACGAGTTCATCGACCTTGCGGAAGACGAGGTAGACATGCCATCGAGATTCTCCATCCTAGGAAGCTCTCTGCCGGCGCCTGAGTCGATGAACACCGGTCGGCGACGGCATAAAAAACGCTCCAAATGGCAATTCGGGATACGCAGTTCGAGTCCGCCTCTGAAAGTGTTGAAGGAGATCTACGCGCAACTCAAGGCGATGGACATGGAGTGGAAGTACAGGCACGATCTCAGCGACATCTTTTGTATCGAGGCGAGAGCGCGAGTGAGAGATTTCGTGGTGCGTGTCATCGCTGTACGAGTTGCGCTGCGCTGGATGCCGGCTGAATCCGTTATCAGATTCTTATGAACATCAATCTGTACGACACGAAGCAGCACTTGGGGCTCGAGTACTACCGGCTCGACTTCGTACACAAGAAGTCGTATCGCGCGTCGACGCTCCCTGGTGCCGGCAAATACGATGCGGCGCCCCGTGAGGGATCCGAGTCCGAGTCCATTACCCGATCGTACGCTCGGTCGGTGTTCACGGACGGACTGAATGACAAGAAAACGATTTTGTCTCCCTTTATCTTCATGGAACTGGCCGCTGAACTGATCCTCAACCTTGCTGCCAGTAATGCTAATGACTGACGAGTATCTTCCTGCTGTGTACCAGGTCATATACGTAACATGTACTTGTAAATGTAGATCATGTACTGTAATTGTAACAGTTTGAGATTCATGCAAGTCGTATCGACTCTCTAGCTTCTACTTGTATCTCGACAGACTTGTGGCTTCACTCAACATTTAATTCGACTACATACATGTCAGTATTTTCAGGCGTCGACACTGTCCTGTTCCAGAGTTTCGGCCTGACTGCCGTACATGATCAGTACCCTGATCATACAACCTCGACGAGTTTCCAGCTCTGTGTGTTTGATACTACTTACCAGCTTGCTTCGTTCTCCGAATTCACGAATCGGACAACGATTCCGAAGCAAGGTGTCATTGACACGTGATGAAACTGATGTTAATAACAGTTGAGTTATAAGCGGAAGCCATACATGGACCCCTAGTGAATGAACTCTTTGCTTCAGAATGCTCTCAAGAAGTCTATGACTCCAGCGTCATAACGTTTTCCCAGTTTACTGAGGATTGATCCCACAGCTGGATCCCAGTCTCAAGGAACGGCGAACCTTTCGCCATCATATACGCGATCTCACCACGCGGAGTCCCAGGGCACAGGTGTGCGTGTTGAGACGAGCGCCAAGACAGCGAGCGATACAGCCTCACTCGAAATTCACGTTGCTGTCGCATGTGCTCCCACAGCATGCTTTTCTTCACAGCCCAGGATGCGGCTAGGTTGCTTGCTTGTATGAATGTGCTCTTCGCTGGGCTAGGCTGTCATTGCACCCGTCAGAGATATTCCCAGCAGGCGTCGTACGACTTGCGCAGTCACGGATGCAGTTATCTATGACACCATCCTTTTGCACACGACCCGGGATCGAGGCGATGTTGATCGTAGCCTAGTATTCCACCGCTGTGGGTGCCTCCGCAGAATCGACCAAGAGTCTCTTTTTCACGACATGCAGTATATCAGCATAGGCTGCCTGTTGCGACGATGAAAAGACCAGACTTGCATCATTAGTACCAATTGCAATCTCGACGCTGGGAATGATAATCATACTTGGGTGATACGCGAGTCCTGGTCTCAAGCCCTCAGCACTGCTTTGGCTCGCTCGCTCGCACGCACTGCCCAGAAGTGGCTCTCTGCGCCCGGCGCCATCCGGCCTTCGACGCGAATGTGAGAACTGCGACGAGGGTATGCGTCAAGTAGGCGATGCGATGCGATGCGTGTGGGTAAAGAACTGGAGAAGATCTTCACTGTGCAAGTCTGGGCTTCGTTCGGTGTCTACGTCCCTGAAAGCTCTATGCCTCGGAGTTGTCGTCTATCGAGTCCGTTAGTTAGCCTTGGTGGCGCGTAGGTTTTTGGTTGCGGCGTCGTAAGCCCAAGGGCTCGCAGGTCTAGCATGCATGGAATTCCTAAGGCCAGATGTGTGCGCTCAGGGCCAGAAGCGACTGCGCAACGTCAAGCTGGGAAGACAAGAGTTGTCGACACCGTGTATAGCCCGCCACCACATCAGTCAGTTGTGCGGAGTCCAGTGCTTGGGCGATTCCCACGATCTGAGTGGCTACAATCCAATCATGCCAAAGCTCGATGTTGTTGACTCTTGTCTTATTCCATCCATGTACTCGGAACCTACCCGGTTTCCGTTCACACAACATTCCAAGCGGCCAGGTGCGGCCATGCGTGGCTGCCTCATGCGACATACATAGATCGACGGCTTTTTTCTGCTCTCGCTGAAACCCGTTGAGGCTCTCGAGCCAAATCCCTGAGTTCATTGATTCAGTTCGAACTCCCAGGACTGCACACTACGGTCTCGACTTTACTGTGGAGTCCCAGAGTGGTCATGATGACGATACGGCGGAGATGCTCAGACTCAATGCAGGGTCCGGGTCAATGAAGCCGGTGCATGGCCGGGCTCGGGGCTGCTTGGAGACTTCACACGGAGGCTCGGTTATACCGGCGAACAAGCTCCCCGCCTCAGACGCCGACTCGAGACCCCCGATGCGGGGCCAAGAGAAGTGTGTGGCACGCCTGATAACCACTGGCCATCCTCTCACGTTTCCCCAGACGCTTCCCTTCCCGCCACTTGCGCCAGCAGCTTGTGTCTAGACTGTGGCCCTAGACTCGGCTCATAAACTACAAGCGCGAAAACTGAATCAGACGTACGGACGAGTCATTGCATCTGTCCCGGCCATACAATTCAATGCTGCCAATGTGCGTACTCGGCTTGGCTTGATGCGCGCGCGACCAGCTGAAGTGCCTCAGACGATCATCGCCAGCCCGCGCTTCTGTGCTTGCGCTGTTGCTTCATGCTGCGTGCGTATGGGGCGACAGCCAGGTCAACGTCACCATCGACGACACCGACGCCGTGATCGTCTATTCGCCCGCGACGTCGTGGAACTCGAGTGCCGTGACATGCGATGGGTGTAACGATCCGTCACCCGTCCTGGCTGTTGGGCGGACATTCCACAAGGGGGCAAACATCGCCGTCGGATCGCTCTCGGCCCCTGCGGCCAGCCCCCCGACGACCTCCGCTGCCCCCGCCTCTGCCTCTCCCCCCGCTCCCGCCCCCGCCCCTGCGACCGGGACGAACTCGAGCGTGGCTCCTCCGCAAGACACGGACGTGCCGGGCGGCACGGATAACGACGGGGACTACGGCGGTAGCGGGAGCGGCCACGGGAAAGGCCCCCGCCGGCGAGCGACGCCCGCCCCCGTGTCCCTGCGGTTTCCGTTTACCGGTAAGCGACGCACCGGCTTCCCCGCAGATGTGTGTGACTTATGTGAGTAGGAGTCGCTGTGTACGCCTATGCGATCGAGCCCTCTAGCGCGCCTACGGCTGCGAGCCCGTCCGCGCAGACGAACCTGACTTTCAATCTGGACGATCTCACCCCGACGACGCTGATCCGAACGAGCGGATCGGGGCCAACGGACTTCCTGTTCAACGCGAGCGTGTTTGCGCAGACGGGGCTCGCTGATGGGGACCATGTCCTGACGATCACCCTCGGCGACGACTCGGTGTTCATCATCGACTACTTTGTCGTCACGCAGTCTGTCGTTGCGCTCGCGGGCAGCCCCTCCGCGGCGAGGTGAGTGTCGGCGTTGAGATCAGACGGACGCGATCTGAGATTCATCAGCAGCAGCTCAATCGGGCCACCCTTAGTCACAGGGGCGGTATCGGATGCTTCTGCGCAAACGTAAGCCCGGGGACAATACCTATCATCCGATTCACGCTCTGAGCATACCCCAACAGCAAAAGCGGCCGCGCATCGTTCGTCGGCGTCGTCGCCGGCGTCGTCGGATCCCTCGCGCTGCTCGCGTCCAGCATCGCCCTCAGCCTCATCATCCGGCGGCGGAACTCCCAGCGCAGGAACAGGCTGCACGGCCCCGCGCCAGCGCCGGCCACGGACGATGAAGCGGCTGTGTTCGTCCCGCGGTACTTCCCGGGCGAGGAGCCCCGCCCCGGGCTGTCGCCGGTGCTGCCGCCGTACGAGCCGCGGTCGTATGCGGACGTCCCGCCGCCGCTCGACCAGCTGCCGCCCCTAGCCCCGACGCCCTCGACGCCTGATGCCGATGCTGGCGACGGCGCCGAGCCGATGATGCGCGAGGTAGCGCCGCATGTGATTGCGCGAGTGGTATCCACGCCGTCCCGTACCCAGTCTGTATAGATTGTTCCCGCATTGAACGCTTCGTCCCGCTGTATGTCTCCGTGCTGACTGAAGACTCCGCCTTCCTTCTTACTTATTGTACGAAACACAAGTGTCCCCTGTAAAATCGTGTCCAGCAGCCTCTGTCACTACCCACTAATCGAATCGAGTCGACTGACACGGTCACATGTCTCACGTGGTCTAAATCGTGGGGCAATGTAGATCAAGAACTTCTCGCTCACTCGCTCAATTGATATCGTCTTTGTCCTGTATGATTGATGGGGCTCTTCTGCATCATCTCCCTGCGCGTCTTCATGGCTCTAGGGTTTATATCTCCACTACATGTTCGGAATCATGCGGGAGATCATCCTTGATGATGAAGCGATGGGTCGGGATGTAGTTTTTCCCAGTCGATCCTGCTAATTCAGTGTTCGCAGAACAATCAAAGGGATCTCAATCGCATATTCACCCCGCCGATCACAATTGCACAAGCAAGCTGAGAGATGAGGCACAATCGCAGGAAGACACGCAGTAAATTCTTGCGCTGCAATCCGTGTGTCTACATAGAAGGGTGCCCGACGGCTACAGTGATTTCACCGGTGCTTATACGACTTTTGAGCGCAACAAACAAGGTCTCGAAGACTCCATAGCATATCTTTGGTCAGTTTCTCTACTTCGAACGCGTGTCTGAGAGAGTAGGGTTTAAAGCGAAGGCAAAAAAAAGCCAGTCGAATGATTCCCGTATTCAAGACACCAACGCAAATGCATGATTTTTTTTTTGTAATTACCCATTTAGGACAGAATAAACCACTGACCACGCACGCAGAAGAGCAAAACTGACTGCATCATGAAGGGAGTCGGGATCATGGGATATACTCGTAACATCCCAGATCCGTTCGATACCTCATTGGGTACTTTTCGTCTATGAATTTTGGCTTGGCTTGACTGTCGATTCAGGAGGCTCCGCGGCTCCATGCTGAGTGGCGGTGCGATGATCCGATCGGTACATCATTGTTTCTCGCACTCCTTATCCAGACCGGAAGTTCCCGACGCCGTCTTGGACTGTGATACATGAAGTCATCGCGTGTCTCCACAATTCGCATGAAAGTATCTGATCTGGCCAGAGAACGACTTGACCACGACCTTTAATCTGGCCTTCACGCGCTTCCTACGTACCTAACTAACTAACTAACTAACTGACTGCTTTCCGCTCATGAACCACCCGCTGCTCTTCCCACTCCTGCTGCTGCTGCTGCTCGAAGCGCGGCGATGCAGCGCGTATTGGCTCATGGCTGCGAGTGCGTGTTCAACTGTCCACCATAACTGCTCTGGGCTGGCACAACGACTGACACGCGCCGCGCGCACACAGACAACATCCTCACCTCGCAGCGCCTCGACCCCGTCGTGTCCCCCGGGCGCGTCTCGACGCACGTGCACTCCGGTAACACCACACCACATGCGCTGCCGGATCTCCTGCGCTGACCACCCCCTTCCTTTTTTCTTTTTCTTTGTTTGGACGCAGTGGTGGGGGGCAGCAACTTCGGGCTGAACACGTCGACGGCGGCGCTGCGCGCGAGCGCGTGCACGTCGGTGCCGATCCCGGAGGACAGGTCGGACTACTGGTTTCCCGTGCGTCTGTGCCGCGTCGCGTATCTGGGGTGAGGCAAGGCTGACGAGGGGGGTGGGTGGGTGGCCGCAGCATATGTACTTCCAGTGCGTGGTCGCAGTGCTGTTCGGACCGGGGGAGTGCGGCTGAGTCGGTGGATGACAGGTGGTCGAATGGGAGCTTCACGAGGTGCGTGTGTGTGTGTTGCGTATCGTGCGCTCGGGGGTCTGTGCTGACGGGCGTGCAGTGTAACGGGGAACGTCGTCATGTGCGAATCCGTCCATCCGCCTTCGCCGCTGCTGCAGTGCTGACTGGGGGTCGATAGCTGTGAGCTGCGCTTGTTTCGGTGAGACCGGAGGCCCTTCAACGAGGCGCACAGACTATCTGTTCAACAACACGCCGGGCGCGACGACGGCCTTCCCCGACGACGTTGAGTCATTTGCCGCACCCCACGCCGCTGCTGATCATAGCTATTCCAGTTCCGGATGCTCTCTGGTGCCCAGTAATTCCTCTTGTTCAAGCGGCCCGTGCTGATCACAACCCACAGGCGACCCCACGCTGCGCACGCTGGACCCTTCCTCTTCTGCGCAGCAGGCGGTCACATTTCTCTGCCTCGACTTCAACGGCAAGTCGAGCCGGTACAACGAGCTCCCGCGCGGGATCAGCTGTCCGTCGGGGATCCGCTCGCAAATCGTACGTACGCTGGTCTGTCCTGGATTGGGTGCTGCCTCTCGGCTGATCTTGGCGTGCAGAACTTCCCGAGCTGCTGGAACGGGAATGTGCGTCGTTTTTTGTTGAGCTGTTGGATGAGATTAGGCGCAACTGCCATTGACATGGCACCTAGGACACGGACTCGCCGGACCACAAATCACACGTCGCCTTTCTAAGTACCGGGCCAGACAACGGGACGTGCAGCGATCCCGGCTTCCCTGTGACGCTCCCGCGCATCTTCATGGAGGTGCGGATCTGTTGAACGCTGTGAGGAGAGCGTGCTAGAGAGATGATGCATCGGCAGGTGTACTGGATCTCGCAGGTGTTTGAGGGGCAGCGCAAGCAGGCCATGACGCCGAGCCAGCCCTTCGTGTGAGCATAACCCACATACTTTGAGTGGACGATGACATGACTCCTGCGCAGATTCGCACACGGAGGTCCGTGTGCTATATAGAGCTGCCGATCGAATTATGACTGGGCCTGAGCAGATCCAACGGGCTACGGGTACCACGCCGACTTCTTCAACGGCTGGCAGCCGAATGTGCTGCAGAACGCGCTGGACCGGTGCAACTGCAACCCGTACGGGGACCCGACGTGCTGCGTCTCTGCGGGGATCTTCGGGCTGAACCAGTCTGCGCAGTGCTACATCACGAACTCGGTGGACGAGCCCAGTGCGTGTCCTTGCCGGGCATGCCGTGCTGCGTGTGGAGGCTGATGATGCTAGCTTTGGGGACGCTCGACACGCTGCCCGGTAATAACCCGATTCAAGGTGTGTCTCCATGCGCCGTACGAGCAGGTCTCATTTTGATTCGATTCGATTCCGCAGCCCCGTGTCCGTGTCGCCCTGCGATCCCATTCCATCTCATCCCATCTAATCTAATCTACAGGCTACCAAAACTACATCGACCCGACAACGCCCCCGATTCTGTCCCCCGTGTCCGTATACACGACATCCACGACCCCGGGGATGCCCTCCGGGACGGTGGCCACCGCCGCGCAGACGGCCGACGTGACGCAGACCGCGAACGGGTCGTGCATCCGGCCCGGCGCCGCGCAGCGGTCGGCGCCTCATGCCGCGGTCGGGGTGGCGGCAGCGGCGATTGTGACCGTGGTCCTGGTGGTGGCGGGCTGTTTCTGAGTTGCGGTTATGCCGACGACGTGTTCCATTGTACTTTACATACACATCGCATCATAAGTCGTCCAATGGATACCCAGTTTCTGTGCACGACGGGGCGGGCTGCGCGAACGCCAGGGAGGGGTACCCAGAGCCCGATCCCGAGCCCGACCCGGAGCCGTCCCGGTCAGTGTGCGCCCGTCCGGCCCGCGCGTCGGCGCCGACGTCGGCCTCTGCGGCTTTGCGGAGATGGATGAGCAGGCGGGTAGTCAGGATGCCCACGGCGGCGTGGAACGGGCTGCATCAAGTCAGCGTCGTCGCCGCGCAGTCCCATGCAGACACGCACCCGTAGCTGAACCACGGGATGTGCGTCACGCTCTGTCACGGACCGCCTCCGTTCAGCATCAAGTCTGTCACAACGCAGGAACGCGACTTACGACGACCATCAGCTGTCCCACACCATCTGGTTAGCGCGTTCGGCTGTGAGCGGCCGCTGAGACTCACGTTATTGAAGACCAGGATGCACGTGATTCTGCGCTCGATATCAGCATCTGTGCGTTGGCGCGCGGATCGAGGAACGCACACGAAGAAGTAGAGCACGTTGTCGCGGAGCACGACGTCCAGCAGCGAGTGGTACCCCGTCTCGGATCTGGCCCCCGCAGTCTGGACGGTCTTGACCAACGCGTACCCGAACAGAATCCCCTCGTAGATCGTCGCTGCGTCCAACGTCAGCGACAAAGTGAGGCGCCAAGGGAGGCGGAGGCGCACCAGGCACCCACTGCGCCCACTCGATGCCGGAGTGGATCGACGGGCAGCCGGGCAGCGGGAGCCGGATCGCCGCAGCGATCACTGCGCTGCGCCGCGCGTGGTTGTAGACCAGGATCCACACGTACCCCGCGATCGACCCCGCGAAGAGCGTCGCGTTGACCGCTGCGATCTGGTGGTAGATGCATGGATCAGCGGATGAAAGCAACGGAATGCAACGCAACGCACGCGTTTGGAGCACTGGTAGATCGCGTACACGCGCTGCTGCATGACGATCTCGACGCTCCACAGCGAGAGCGCGCCGACGACGCGGATCACGGTGTCCATCGCGACGCACACCGCGTCCGAGGTCACGCCCGGCACGGTGAACGCGTGGATCTGCACCGCGTCGAAGATCAGCAGCATCAGCCTCCGGTGCGCATCAGAACGCGGTAAGCAAGTGGAGGCGTCGCGCGGCTCACGTGTAGTATCTTATCTGCACCGCACCGCGTGGGTCAGTCGAGCATGAAGGGGGAAAAAAAAAACACGATAAACGGCTGACCCAGAGGAACATCGCCTTGCTGAAGTTCATGCGCGCGGACCAGATGTACCGTATTTCGTCCTCCAGCGTCACGACTCCAGCGCCCATCTCAGCACACACACGCTCCCTCGACACAGCACATAAAACGCACAGTAATCGTGGATGACCCATGACAGCCCGACCACTGTGTGGCACGGAATCGAATCAAATCAAATCAAATCAGACAACACACACGCGGGCCTGGCAGTCGCGGGACGCACGACAGACATACAGCGGAATCAGGCTGTGGATGTACAGCGTGATGAACTCGCTGTCCGCTTCGACCATGTTGTCAGAACGAGAAGGGGAAGGGAGGGGAGGGGAGGAGCGCGTAAAGAAAAGCAAATTCCACGGTGGTGCGCGTATTTCCCGAGATACACATCAATCGCAACTTTGATCGATCAGTGGAGAAGATCCCCCGCATGAAATAATTTGGAGCGGCCCCTGTGCGCTCGGTGATAAAATTTGGGCTGAGGGTGATCCGGATTCCTGGGGTACTCGCAGACTCGTGAGCAGCCTCGCCGCCCATCGATCATAGTACAGTCCTGCTTATGGACCGGTTCAGCTGAGTACATCATGGAAACCCAGTGCTCGCAAACATCGGATACAACAATTCAGAGGGATAAAAACTTACCCAGACCTCTAACAGGTGCTTTCTCCAAGGTTTGCGTGCGGATGGGGGGGTGGACGCGTCAGTCACGTGACCGTTTATTCTGATCGCTGTTACCTATCGCTTCCGAGTACAGACAGTAGAAACAGACTGGGGCGCCATACGTAACACGAGCTACATTCACGCTACGGCCGTCGGCGAGATTGCATAGAAATACATGTGATGTGTGACTGGGATTCGGCGAGGAAATCGGGAGGTACATATTGTAGTTTTAATTTACAGATGCTTCGTCCATGCCATTAGAAACTTCTCGGGGAGGAGTTGAGTTGAGTTGACGAGCCGCGCGAAGTTGCGGCCCTGAGTGCACGCACCCACGCACAGCGACGTTCCGCGACGCGGAGCACTCTCGCCGGCGCCGACCAGGCCACCCGAGTCGGCTGCCCGCTAGCCTGACCGGTGCGACGGGCTGCACTCAGCGGTAGAGGAACGGATACTGCTGCGTGCGGCGGCGCCACTCCTGCTGGCGGCAGAGCAGCCCGCGCAGGAGCTTGACGAGCGTCGTGCGCAGATCGGGCAGGGACGCGGCGAGGACCTCGGGCGACGGGTCCTCCGCGAGACACGACTCGAGCGTCGTGCGCAGCTCCGTCGGCACGCAGTGGATGTCGCTGCGAACGCAAACCCAAACCGAACAAAGCGCGGGTCAGCTCAAGTTGGCTCGGCGTGCGGGGCGCACGGGGGCAAGCGCACCTGAGATCGATGCGGTGGTACGCAAAGGCCTGCACGGCGGTGTTGAAGTCCGTCCCAATCTGCACGTACACGTCGCTGACGTCCGTCTCCGACGCGCGCCCTACGGACCACTGCTCCAGCACCGCCTGCAGCTGTTTCGTCGCGAGGAGGAGGTTGTGCACGGATGTCGAGACGTCTCCTGGCATGGCCTGCTGTGCGGGGTCGGACGTGGCGACGGATCGCGGTGGGGGGAAAGGAGGAGGAGGGGGTGGGGGTGGGGGTAGCGGTGGTGAGTACGCCGACATAGGTGTAAGAGTCCAACGAGGGGCACGCACGGGGCTAAAGACATGTCCTCCCTGACTACCGTCGCTCGTGTTTGAGCTGGATGTAGAGCGTCGATAAGCTGGGACGCTCGGGTTGCCGTCGTGCTGCATCGTCGCCGGTCGGGGGTGCACACAGTCGGAGTTTCGTAGCTTAGATGGGTGGGGGGAGGGGAGGAGTCAGGGTCAGGATTCGAGAGCGAGGGTCTGCGCAGTTGCTGCGGGCACGGAAGTCGGACCTAGATATGTATTATTCCCAGCCGGAACTTGTCGATCGCCGCTCGATACTGACTCTGAGTATTTAAGCGACCGCAAGGCACGCTGCCGTTCCCAGTCGTGACGGCTGTGGCCGGCTCCCGACAGATCGTCGGGGAAGCGGGGGCTGTGGTGTGCCGCGACAAGGTGTTGCGAAGAGGCGCATTGTTCACCGCGTGCTGTTGTCTGCTGTTGCTGCATCACTGCGTTTCGGATAACCATCCTGAAGTGCCTGCCCTTCACCTCTTTTTGGGAGGATCGCCGTCTACCGATCCCCGTGCAAGATTCGTGTCAAAGCCGCCCTGAGCGCTTAGCATCGGGATAGATTTTGTTCCTCGCGACAAACTCTCCAGAAGACTGCGCGTAAGGAATGACGGAATTATCTATGTATCAGCACGGCGATCTCCGTCCGGATCCTACTTCTAACCGCGCTGGATTATGCCTCCACCATAGTCGATGTCGTGCTTTCTATAACAGTTTGAGCCACTCCGCCGGACTCGTGCCAGTCCGGTATTGTAGCACGCACGTACCCGGTCGCAGCAGATGAACATCCATGGCCGGTCCGCCCACGCGACTGCTCTCTGGTGACAGACCCGTCACTCGCACTACTACCACGCGACTCGTTTGACCCCCGGTTAGAACAGATAAGAATAATATCGAGGGATTCACAGATGGGTGCTGATTTCAACGCACTTTTGCAACGGATTACATGCTGCACGCTGCAGGCAGATTACACAGATGGATGATGGTGGCATTGGACTACAAAGCTGTAGAACCGGAGGCGTCCACCGGCGCGGAGAACCAATTGCGAGAGATATAGGCCAGCGTCGATCGCTGGCTTGTCGGTGCCAAAACATAATCTCAGAGAGTGAGCCGCATACGATGATTTCCGGGCTCAACATCAGAGCCTGGTTCCCAGGAATCAGAATCTGTGGACGTATTGACTGCGGGAACAGCCTCAAGTCCATGGACACGAGACACCACATCACAGCGTCGCGAGCTGCTATCGTCGATTTCTCTGTCGTTGTCCTCTGAATGACCATGGTGAAGATTGTCGCCGGCAGACTGAGATTCGGATTCGTCGGAATCGCAGGCGGAATATAGTCCACGACGGTCATTGGCCCATTGCTTCACTCGCTTCTCGTCACTGCGATCACTTTTGCCGTCCTCGTCCATAATGGCTGCGTCTAATTGTTCGCAGGCAAATTCGAAAGCTCGTCTACCAGGGAACCACGAGAACTCTCTGAGACGCAGAGCGAGCCAATCGAGGTGAGATCGAACGAATGGAAGGTCGCGATAGAAAGCCGCCGGATCGTCGTGGGACAGGGAAGAACGAACGGAGTCTGCGATCACTCGCATGCGTTTTAGATTCTTTACATTGGATGCCCTGACCTCTTTTTCCAGCAGTGCGGCGGCTGGACCTAAGAAACCTAACAGTCGCCCAATGCAGCGCGCTGTCGAATGGATGCTCATCGGGTGCCTCTCCACGATTGAATGCGTACAGGGCCAGACAGCTTGCAGGGGGAGTATTCCGCAAGGAGTGAGCTTCTCGGATTGAAGATTCGGGAGAGCAGAGGCTCAATCTCAGTCTCGCTCCTGCCGATTACGCGTGTATGATTCATCCAGAATTATCCGCATGAATTCGCTATGCTTCGCCAGATATTCCTGTACAGAGAAATTGATGAACTGCACAGTTTTCTCTCGGCCGGTCAGGTGTCGCCGCAAACTGCTGTTCACGATAGCGATGTTCACCAGCGACGAGCATCGTCTCTGAACTGCTCGCTCTGCCTCGGGTCCTGGTGGATGATAACATTATACGCCACGAAGATTCCATTCGACTTCCGATTCAGTTCTTCTGTGGCTCTTTCCCGAATAGTGACCGGTCAATGCCAGCAGGTTCATCGAGCTGGGCGGTGATGTAGCGGGAAATGTCGCTCCTACAGCTCTGGGCAACGTCATGCAAGTCCAAGGAGTGTGTGCATAGAGGCCGGAGACAAGTGTCGATGTCTGCCTCTCTGTGACTAGTGATCAGAAGTCTTAGAGCGCCGGGCTCGGATGTCACGAGCTTCTGAAGTAAAGAAAGCAGGTAGTCCACTCTCCCTGGATTCGGATACTCGTCCAGTGCGTCCACGACAAACACAACACGCCGAGGTGAGGCCCTAAGCATATTCACGAGGCGTGCATAGAGGGTGCCCTGATCAGCAGAGAGCTTCGACAGATGGTTTTCATACGCCGCCGCAAGTTGGTTATGACAGGCCGCAGACATGGTGCCAAGTTGATAGACCAGCGATGAAAGGAACTTGGGAACAGAGTGCGTGTCCGGAGCACAGAAATCGAAGAAATAGTACGCGATGTGCTCGTTCTGCGACAGAAGATGTTCTATGGCGGATGATCTGCAGTTTCTGTGAGAAATACAAGACTACGAAGCCAATTCTCTAAACTTACGACAGCACGCTTTTCCCAGCGCCAGCTGCGGTACAATCAGCGCTATGCAAAGAACAGGGATGATCTCTTACGATTGCCATGTACCCAATATACACCATTCTGTGTGTTCAGCCATTGGGCGAGGGTTTCGTCGACGAACCATCCGCACGTGCCACTCTCCTTCGATCCAAGTAGATTGTGATACCGAACACCGACGTCTTATGGGGAGAGCCACGATGTAATTTTCTCAGCGACTGGTGACAGTAAGCACTGAAACTTCGGAGAAACAGGAACTCACAGACCTATCAGTCGTTGCACACTTTGGGAGGCTACATGCGCATTCTCGGCGGCCACCCGAGCCTTCTCAGAGGCTAAATGAGCATCGTTAGCTGCCACCTGCGCTTGCTGGGCAGCCACATCGGCAGTCTCTGATGCCAGCTGCGCGTTCTTGGCGGCTAGGCGGGAATGCTCCGTCACAACCCGCGTCTGTACCAGGGCGGCGAGACCTTCTTGCTTCGCCAGCTCCTCAAGCCGGCCGAGAGCATCCTTCACATCATCCTTCCCGAGCAACAGCTTCCCCCAATCCTCTGCGAGGTTTCGATCAGAACCAAGGACCGAGGCGAAGGAGAAGTCGACGCACTCGTTCGCACCAAAGCGAGCCAACATCGTCGCCTCTTCTTCTTATGCATGGCGTTGAGGTGCGCGGTCAGATACCCCAATACTTGGATGAGCTGGATGAGGATACGCAGGAAGACCTGTCGCAGAGCGGGACCCAGAGTGAAGCCCGGCTGCAGGTAGGTCTGTAGGCGCAGTAAGCAGTCCTGAAACCGGCTCAAGATGAGTTCCAAGGAGTCGTATTTATCGCTGACGCGCTTCGCAGCCTGCAATACATCTCTTCATGAGAGTTAGATTTCAATCCACCATCGAGCTCACCTGCAGCATCGCCGCAAACACGATGAAGATCGTTTTCCCTCCGGGGAGCTGGCAAAGATTGAGTCGCAATGCCCGGCGTAGAAAGGGCTGACCCACAAGAGTGGCGAGGGCATTGCCTGCGGGGTCCAGACTGATTGCGTGAGAGATACGATGGGTTTGAGGACGGTGCGGAGTTTTTGCCCTTGAGCACGAAAGTCGCCGAAGCAGTCCCGATGCTTGCCAAGCACGTCGATGAAGCCGTCGACCGTGGAGCATGCCTCCAGGTCTGTCGCGTAGGGCAGCTCACTCAACAGCTTGCCGCTGCGGTCCTCGTAACCCTTGATGGCATCAGCCAGAAGCTGCTTGAACAAGTCCTCTGAGGGGACAGAGGACTGGACGTCAGGCGAGGAGGATGCCATTGAGAGGATGAGAGTGAGCTGTAATCTGGATAACACGTTCACCTCATGCGCAACATCGTCTGTTGCGTTTAGCGTGTGGAATGATAAAAGCTGCGTGGGCTGCCATACAAATCAGAGCCTATGCAGACATGAGGTTGCCGGTTATGCTTCACGGGGATATTCGCAGCGATCTAACAAGCAGAAAATGCAGAAGAAGTACAACAAGGACTTCATTCCTCGTTTCGTAGCTGTTCATGGATCACTTGCGAAAGAGTTTGGCACCACACATGGCCTAAGCCTTTGTCATTATTTGATTGGAACGTGACTTACACCCGCTTGCGTCACCGCGACGCGTCTTCATCTCCCTTTCGTATTCTGCATCGACCACCATCGAGATTTCGATCGACAATGGCGCCCATATCTGTGAATGTTAAACATGCCAGCAAGAGCTACACGGTCAATCTCGACCCAGATCTGCCGGGAAAGGCTTTCAAAGAGGAGGTGTATCAAGTCACCGGTGTACCGGTGGATCGTATGAAGGTCATGGTCAAAGGCGGGGTATTGAAGGTACGCGTTTCGAATTCGATTCGGGCTTTCCAAGCTCAGGTCAGCCCGGTATCGACGCGCTGCCCCATCCGTGCTGTAGCTGTCGATCGAGCACGGCTCCGCCCTATCTCTGCCTGAGGCTACCATAGCACCCATCTGACGCTTTCATCTCAGGACGACGCTTCATGGAGCAAGATTAGTCCGAAGGAAGGTCAGACCTTCATGGTAATCGGGGCTGCTGGTGAGCTGCCGAAGCCACCGGCACAACCCATCGTGTTCCTCGAAGGTAAATCCGCGCTTGAATCCGTGCACGATGTCTCATGGTCGTGACAGATATGGATGATTCAGAATTGGCTGAAGCAGTAAGTCGTCCATTGCTCGACATACACGATGGGTCCTTCAACATGCTCTAGCTTGAAAAACCCGTTGGTCTGCGCAAGTGAGCTCCATTCGTTCTCCAATGATTTTCCTGCTTATAAGCTACTAGCCTTGGTAACACATGTTACATGAATGCGACTTTGCAAACGCTCCGTGCCATACCAGAACTCAAAACCGCGATAACAACTTCAGGGTGCGTGGAAGGTTGCCGTTCGTGAAACTTGTCTAACGCCTGATAGGCGCGCTGGGACAGGGAATGAAATTGCTGCTGCTCCTCCCACTACACTCGCCACAAATCCTCTAGCTACCTCTCTGGGCTCTCTTTTCACGAGGATGTCACAAACTGCAGATCCTGTAGTCCCTACAGATTTCTTGGGTGTACTCCGACAGGTTGTTTCTCTCTACTCCTGCGATCGAATTCGATTGATCTTTGTACCAGGTGAACCCTCAATTCGCTGAACAGGACAGACATGCATCTCGTTCACATACTTCCATGATGGGTGCTATGTACGCCCAACAAGGTCCGTTTGGTTGCCCGTAATCAGCCGTCTACTGAGCCAACGCTTAGATGCGGATGAATGTCTGACAACGATTGTGTCGTCGCTGGTCACCGTGCCTGGAGTGCCGTCCTCGAACCACAAGAAATTCATTGAGCAGTTCATGACGGGAGAAATGGTTCGAACGTGCGTCATAATACACATCGCACTCAATGCATAACTGATACGATCCATTCAGCTTGAAATGTGTGGATCCCGGAGCTGTCGACGAGCCACCTACGCAAAGCTCTGAGAAGGTTCTCAAGATCACATGTAACATCGATGCGACTGTGAACTATATGTCATCAGGAATCCAAAAGGTGGGCCGTTGTTGTAAATGGCGATGTGTAGCTCCTTACTGACTCATCTTTGCAGTCCCTGTCCCAGACTGTCGTCAAGTTCTCGCCCACTCTTGGCCGTGACGCAGACTACAACCAGGAGTCCCGGATCAATCGACTTCCCTCCTACCTGTTTGTTCACATGGCTCGATTCGCGTGGAAGGCTGACATCGGGAAAAAAGCCAAGATAATGGTCTGTTTTTCCTTTGATCCAGTAGTCTGTTTGTATCTCAAGACCTGTTGCAGAGGAAAGTCAAGTTTCCCACGGAATACGATGGATTGGACCTGGCATCCGACGATCTTAAGGCTAAGCTTCTTCCAGTGAGCCGAAAGCTCAAGGTACGTCTGCTCTGTTGTCTATTTTCTGGTGTTTACCGGTTGCAGGACATTGAGAAAGAAAGAGCGGAACGCCGCAAAGTCAGAAGGAGAACTAAAGCCGCGAAGGTCTCCGCTCCCGCGGCTTCTGCTCCGGGCGCTGGCGATGTTGAGATGGCCGACGCTGCTCCTGCTTCTGGCTCGTCGACCACAATGGAAGTTGATGCCCCAGCTCCAGTCCAAGGAGGAGACCTAGAGGAAGAAAGCGTGTATCGTGACAAGGAGTTGGCTGAGCTGCAGAGTCTGGTGGACCCCACCATTAAAGCTGACACGGGCGCGAGTGTCAGCGGCCTTTACGATCTTGTTGGTCAGTCCATTCTCTGTTTACCAACTCCTTGTGGGCGCGGATCTCACTCACACGCAGCTATCATCACTCACAAGGGTGCGGCGGCCGATGCTGGCCACTACATTGGGTTTGTCAAGAAAAGCGTGTTCCATCCTCCCAAACTGGGCGAGGAACAAGAGTCGGATGAGGACTGGTACAAGTTCGATGACGACCAGGTCTCGATATTCCCTCAGGAGAAGCTAACATCGCTGGATGGCGGAGGTCAGTGTCCTCATTCTCAGGGATTCCAGACCAGGAACTGAATCGGTTGCAGGTCAGGATTCCTCCGCATATCTGCTGTTATACAAAGAGAAGCCTTTAGCGTAAAAGTCGTCTTTTAGTAACTTTACGGCGAAAGGCATTGGAAAGATCAAGATTCAATTCTGCATTTTAGTTACAAAACGAGCCACTAGCAAGGAACATCCGTGATCTGTGTGACAAACGCTCTACCACGTGTTGGCTCATACTCAGTTATCATGATCGTAGGCGGCCGCAGGCTCTTCTTTCTTGCGTTCTTCGTCCCGAGGAGGAAGCGGAGACCGGACACGATCATCCCTCTCGTCCCGTCGGTCATCCCGCCGGTCGTCGCGTTTGCGCTCCGGCGAGGCACTCCGCCGCCGCTCGGGCGACCGGCTGCGACGGCGTTCAGGCGACCGGCTGCGACGACGATCACGGTCGCGGTCTGGCGAACGGCTGCGTCGGCGTCGGTCCCGGTCACGGTCGCGGTCCCTGTCACGGTCGTCCATCCTGTCTCTGTCCCGATCCCGATCCCGGTCACGGTCGCGGTCGCGGTCGTCCATTCGGTCTCTGTCGCGGTCGTCCCGGCGCCGAGGGCTGCGAGAACGGGGACGGTCACGAGAAGAGCGTGGGGGACGGTCATAGCGCCAAACTGAGGAGGGAGGACTTTTGGCCCACTGTAGACGGGAATGCCGGTCAGCATGATAGCATCATAGGCAAATGGCCATCGTGCATTACCTGGATACTCAGACGCGCTCCGTCAAAGATTTTACCGTGCCTGGCATGGATAATTGGTCAGTACTCCATACAACAAACAAAAGACGTACATCTCATAGTACGCATCCTCGGCATCGCGCGTGCTACGGAACTCCACAAATGCATAACTGGGTTGTTCGGATTCGTTGAGCGATCGTTTTGTGATTGAAATCGAGGGGACGAAGGAGGATTGGGGTTGCTCGTATCGTATCGTATCGATCGTATGCGCAACGGGTACCCGAGACTCGGAGGGCCAACGATCCTCGTTGTTGTTCATTCATCAATTGGTGTTTCTCCACCGACGACTGCGAGGGAACCGCACTCAATGAAAGAGGTGTAATTGACTTACGGGTTTGTCTGAGCATTTGGGTTGCGTGGGGCAGGAACGTCGCAGCGGATGAGTTGACCGTACCTAGAGATACAGCAAGGGTTTGAACGCGCTGAAGACTATCCATTAAACAAAGACCGTACCGTTCGAACTCGTATGCGAGCTCACGAGCACGCGTGGAGGGGTTGAAACCGCTTACAAACTATACATTCAGAAGAGCATTAGTTTCGCACTAGTGTGGGCCCAAGCTACACCTACCAAGATACGGGGCATGAATGGCGGTCGGAAAAAAGGCGAGGCGTTGGCGACACTGTGACAAAACGTAAGCGTAACGCATCACGCCGCGCGCTTTTGACACAATTCCAACGACTGCACTCGGACTCTGAATGAGCTTGGAATCTTCCAAACGACACGCTGGTCAGTCGCGTTGGGCTCGTATGACTTCCACTGCTTAAATCATCCGCAGAACCTTCAAACTGTTGCTAGATGTGCATATTGTATGTGCAGACCCGCTGTTCGCCTGGCGACGACTTGGAACCAAAAAATCCTCCGCCATGCCTTTTCATCTTTCCCCTCGCCGCGCCTGCCACAGAAAAAGGACAATAAAGTGACCAACTATCTCCATCACCTCCTCGCTGCCAGCAGGGATCCGCTCTGGCGCGTGGTTCTTTCATTGGACAAGCCCCTTCGCGTGTCGCTGTTCGAGGCTTTGGACGACGAGGTTGTCAAACTGCAGGACTTTACGCACTGGCGTACGCGCGTCTACTCTTCCGATATTCAGGACGCATTCGAGACTGCACCGGTGGTCTCGCCCTCCAGTTATCCTCCTTGGCTTGCACTCTACCTTGCAGCTTTCAAAGTGCGCAGCTCCCATCACGCGTCTGGTCCCTTGGTGGACCTGAGCTTGAGTCTGCATCCCACCAACATCGCGGAGCGACGGGTCCTGTCTTCTACCGTCCAGGCTTCGATCCTCGTCATCACGATGATGCATCTGTGTCGATTTTCACTCGTGGCGCCAATGCACAATGTTCTCGATGCGTTCTTGCAAGTGCCGCTTGCCCAGGATCAGGACTTCCCGTCCCTTCACTTCAACCACCTACTTCTCGCTATGGCATCTATTCCGCAGCGGTCACACGACATGGGCGGCAAGACCGTGCGAATCCTGCAGGCCATGGAGGCTAGGCAACTGAAGCTGTGGCCCAAAACCTACAAAGCGCTGTTGGAAGACAGATATGTTGCATTGCGGCTCACAAGCTACCTCCGACGCCAGCAGACACAGCTGGGCATCGTGCCTGATGCAGCACAGCTGGAATCGTATCTGCGCATCTACGCGCAGGACGGTGCGATCCACCATGTTGGGCAATATGCCAAGGCTGTCCGGGGCCACCGCGCCGAGCACGATGCGAACGTCATGGTCTTGCAGAACAAACCCTCCAGTGCCTCGGCGTTCCAGTTTCTGGCGAACCTGGCTCAGAAGCAACTTCCGGACCGTCAATTGCTCACGATCCGCAAGAAAGCAGTCGATGCCGCTGACTTCACCGCGGCCCTTTCCGTCGCTGCTCGGGATCCGAGGATTGACACGCGAAGATTCAAGCGGTTGTTCCAGCAGCGGAGACCGAAAGCTGCGGAATTCCAACCCACGTTAGCCATGCACACTGTGTTTATCCAAGGATTGCTGGACAGACGCGAATGGCGACAAGCTTATATGCACTGGACGAAGGTCACTTGGTCTGGCTTAACCGTCGATGAAGTGGCCCTGGGCGTCGGTTTGCAGGCAGCCACTCTCTCTGGACAACCGGGCGAAGCTTTTGCGTTGCTGGAACTTCATGCTGCTCGGGCAGATGCCGCGTTTCCTGCGACACACCAGTCTCGCAAGCCAGTTCACGTGTCGATAGGGCTGGTGAACATCTTCATGCGTAGCTTGCATTCCATCTTGCGTCCTGATCTGGTCTTTCGACTTTGGGACTGGATGGACAGCTTGTACTACCTACGACCGTCGCCCGAGACGTTGCGGATCATGCTGGCAGCTGCCGAGCTTCCCTACGTATTGGACGACTCGGTGAAGGGTCAGATTGCCCATCTGGCTCTGCGGAATCCCTTCCGTCACTCTCATACACCGCTCGCCACTCGCCAGCAGCACATTGAGACGCTCATACAGCAGTCATCCGAACCCTATCGATCCGGCATCTGGCGCGATCGACCAGCCGCCCATGCCGCCAACCACATGTTCCTACAAGCTCTTTTCGGGGACGCGAGTCGTCGCCCCGTTGCGAATGTGCCCCCGCCTGCTTTCGCCGTCCGACCCCACGCAGAAAGCGACAGCGCAGCATTGAGACTGCGACTCGACATGCCACCCTCCTCATTTGTATTGCCGACGGACATCTCCACTCCCGAAGGAAAGACTTGGTTCCCGGAGCTCGTTGTCGGCGAGCGCGAGTTTGCCTCGTATATCATGTTCCTTGGGATGAACCGCCGGGCCCCCGAGATCGCGCGTGCCCTCGGTTGGATGCGAGCGCTCGATATCAAGCCGAGCGAACGCACCCTGGGTACGGCGCTGGCGTTTTGGAGCGAAGTCAGTGTCCAGCCGCCGCTCGTTGCTGCCATCGCCGGCAAGAACGCGGACCAGTTTTTGGCACTTATGGGATGGTTGCGAGAATGGTGTGGCGCTGAGCTGGTTCCGGATGAGCAGACCGTGGGATGGTGGAGAGCCAAAATTGACAAGATCAGAGCGCAGAGAAGACAGATGGCGAAAACCGGGCGGTTTGTTGATGAGGAGTCCATCTGGAAAATGTAGCATGTATGTACCAATCTAATATAAACGTAGGCGCTAATAGCAATAGGCCCGATCCTCTGTAGTAATGTCTCTTACTTACAGTCACTGCTTATGTCACTGCGAAGTGGCCCTGACTTGTACAAAAGAGGACCCTTGCATCGGACATTTTATTCCTACTCTGTTACTAGTGGGACAAGTGAACCGCAACTACAGATCTTCGCGGATATTCCGAGCATACCATAGTCGTGTAAGACTCTCAGTCCTTCTGTTTGTCGAATAAAGCTCTGTCCCGGACCTGCAAAGCGACAGGATCGCTCGTGCCCGACGAGACCGTAAGCAGCCAGGCGAGCACGCTGTTTTCTGCAGGGCCTTCCGTTGGATATCGGGCGAGGAACGCAGAGACGGATTCGGTGAACCGACGTTGGATTTCGGGGGGAACCGCCACATCTGGCCACGATCTCGACGTGTCCAAGTCGGAATCGAAGCGACTGATGATGCATGTGAGGGTATCGAAGTCGAGCTCAAGCTCCGCTTCATCTGAATTCTTGACACACTGTTCGAGGAAGGTGGTCACAACACCGAGTGCGGCGCAGCAGCGAATGAAGTCGGCAATAGAGTTGGTTTCTTCCCGGGGGACCGCCGTCTCGACCCACTTCGCGTCGTCATCGAAGTGGAGCGCGGTTCGGAACCAGTCCTCGTCCTCGAAGATGTCCAACCCTCGAGCTGATTCCCAAACGCTCTCCGGCACACAGCAAACTGCAACAGTCTGAACCAACGCAATTGCATGATGACGGCGAACAGATGCTGCTTGAGCCCCGTAATTCCGGACGGCCCAAAGCGTCAACAAATGGGCATCGAGGTCTTCCGAGGACTCTGCATAGAATCTTTTATCGTTCAGATGGTGATATATCAGCCGGAGGGAGTCGATTGTGGTTTGTGGCTCCCGTCCGTGCTCCGCATTGAGAACCAGGCATTCGCACAGGTATCTGATGTACTGTTCCTCCGCGCGGGGCTCCCAGAGTGAGTCTGGTGTGTAGCGGGCGATGGAATGATGGCGGACGATGAAAGAGGCGAGATTATTCGGAGCGTGGAACTCGATGTCAGTTTTCGATCGAGGCGATGTCACAGCCAGTGCGCAGATCAACTGGCGGACAGCAAAGACGCGATTGCTCGTTGTTCCTTCCGCCTGTGATCCGAGCATCGTTTCGAGGGCCTCGACCATGACGCGGTCGAACTTCCCGGCCAGCAAGGGGACGGCGTTCAAGGTATAAAAGAGCGCATTCGTCCGTTCCCGCTGGAAGCTGTCACGGGTTTCAGAGAGATGGATCAGATACTGCCCGTATGCCCATCGTTTCTCCTCTTCGCAAGTGCTCTGAGTAGTCGCCGAAAAGAACGTGGGCGTAAAAATACGATCCTTCTCCGTGCGGATGGATTTGATGGCCAGGCGACCGAGCGCATTTTCCACTGCTTCACCGGCTGGCTGCGTGACCCAGAACTCGATGGTGTTCAGACGAATGAGAGCTGAGACGGCGTGGACCAGCTCTTGCACCGAGGGAGTATCATGAAACCTCGAGCTGAGCAGTGCGTATTTCACGTCAAGCACCCCGATCGGATTCTCCATAGGCGAATTGGTGCTGATGGAAAAGGCACAGACAGCCCAAATGGCCTGAAGCACGGAGTGATGCCGGCGGAGGCAAACGGAGGGCTCCAGAAGATTGCTGTGGGAGCTAGCCATGAAGTCCGCAAGTCGCTGACACAGACGGACTTGTGGATCTCGTAGGAGGCGTGTGAAATGCTCCTGATAGGCCCTACGAGGCTCGTTTTTCTCGAAATCCCACAGTGCCGGGGTCAGCCCTTCCACAAACGGCTCGAGCTCGTTATCGTCTGATAGAGAACGTATCGTCCATGAAAGAGCCCGGGTCTCTGTGTCTACCGTGGACAGTAATGCGGCTGCTATCATAGCTTCCACCATGTTCTGGGTCTGCGGAGGAGTGTCTGAAGGCCAAGAGAGTTCCGTGGAACCTTCGGGGTCCGAAACCACTGGCTTCTGAGAATATGCCCTGAATCTCTTTCTCGAGCTCTGGTACAGCGACCAAAAGATCCGCGACAGCGGAGTCTGGTATGGGCTGTCATGGAAGAACAAAGGAAGCACAGTGAACGTCCCGTACACCCCGACGAAGAGGAGTAGAAGGATTGAGGTCAGGATCGTGACGACGAGATTGATGGGCGCGAGGAATACCACGAGACCGACCAAGAACAGGACCAGGGCTCCGTGCAGAAGAAGCGGTGGAACGCCAACGACCGCATGCATGTTGAAGCGTTGCAGACCGTAATAGAGATACATGTATACGCGGGCTCGGATGAGAGTGGAGGAGAACATGGAAGTACGATGCTCGTACTCCCGTGCCCACTGATCGATCAACGTGGCAACTAGGGCGGAGGACAGGCTCAGCGCGAGGCTGATGAACCAGAGCGCATTGCATATGAGGGATGAGATCGATGGAGAGAATGCAGAGGGCGGCGGAAGTGCATCGATATTCGCCGTGCCGTTTTTCAAGCCCGCAAGCTGCTGTGAGATCTGGTTGAGGATCGCGAGGGTCTGGGTACCCGAGTCGGAGCTTAGCGTCTTGTAGCTCTCGAGGATGAACGACGTCACGACGCCGGAGAAGAGACCGGCCTAAACGAGTTAGGGAAGCGTTGTCATTGAAAGGCACGGGACGCACGAATATCAGCAGGCCATCCATCTCACTGCGCCAGCCATCGACCAGACCTTGGTCGTAGTTCTGGGCCTCGGAGATGTAAGTGTTCCAGAGCTTGTTGCCGCTAGCCTTCTCGCGCTCCGGAAAGGATTCGTCAGACTTTCCCATTGAGGGTGGTAAGCGTTCGTCGGCCTTGGCCATTGAAGGTGGTAAGGATTTGTCGACCTTTGCCATTGAGGTGGTAGCAAGTGCGTTGCGCTTCGTCAGCAGCCTCGTGTCTGGAAGCCCTCCCAGATACACATAGACACCGAGTCTGATTGACACAGTGACAGTCGAGAACAAGCGCTCAACCCGCGCATTCGAAGAGAGGTTCCCACACAGTAAAGAAGGAACAAAGATTGGCCGACAAGACGCTGTCGCAGTGCTTCAGGGCACTGCAAGTTTGGACACTGACAAGATGGTGCCAGGTCCGAAAAGTGGAGATGTGCCAATGAGTTCATCGAATATCCGTTGGCAGTTGTGTTGAGTGAGAAGAAGTGCATCGTATGATGTGACGACGAATGCAAACTTTGGGTCTATGTTGAGGCCCAATATCGCCAGAATACAATACCAAAAAACGAGAGTCCACATATCAAGGGAGCAGACCTTGACCGCCTTCTTCAGTAAACAGCCGAAGCAAAACACTGACGGATATCGAACTCAAGCGCACATCTTCGTCCGACGCACATTCCATCGAATTCAGTAATAACAAACACGATAAGATAGAGATCGCCTACGCCATAGCCAAAGCCCCTTTCACATCGTCCCGCCTGCCGCGTCGAGTTCTGGTGGCCGTGCGTGCAGATCCACATCCCCATCAGCATCGTTCTGGTCCACGTCCATGAGCATCCCCTGCGCCGGCTCGTCGTTGTCAATCGCGTTGTTGTCCCGGTCATGATCCTCGTCCTCGGTGTCAGTGTCGTCATCGTCATCATCGCTGCCGACCGGATCCAGGCCCATCGCCTCTTCGACCGTCATTGAGATCTCGGCCGCTTCCTCGCCATCGCCGTCAAGCATCGCGTCGGGCACAGGAGTGGCGACGAGTGAATCCGACGTCTCTGCCATGGAACCAGCAGCAGGCGTAGCAATGGTGGCCGTGGACGATGAAGACGCGGAAGCCTTGTGTTGGCTCCGTTTTTTCTTCTGGTTCTTCTCCTCCATCCGCTTCACGACCTTGACGATGTAGTCTTTCGAGAACTTCTTGATCTTGGCGACTTTCTCGTCAGACAGCGCTTCCAGTTTGTTGTCCTTGTAGCTCGACGATTTTTTCTCCTTTTCCGCGATGATGGTCGTGAGCTCGAGGTTCGTCAGCCACATTTCCACACACATGTACACACGGAAGAGAGACGAACCTCTTTGGCGTGTTTTTTAAACGTCTCGCGCTCCAGTCCACGTCCATACTTGGACATGCACTTGACCACCACCGCACCGATCAACTTTTGCAGCCGTTGGGCCTTATTGGCCTCCCTCTCCTCCGGCGTGCGCTTCTTCTTCTTCTCTTGCGACCGCTGCTTCCGCTTCTCTCGCCGCTCCTTCTTCTCTGCCCGCGCCTGCGCAGCCGCCAGCTCGGACTCCTTGGCCGCCAGCTCTGCCGCCGCTTTCTGCGCAACCGCAGCAGCGATCACTTGTTTCACGTCCTCCTGCGACGCGACCAGTTGCCATTGGTACGACGGCCGCTCGGGCTGCGATCGCCCAGACTGCTCCCTTCGCTTGGTAGACGGATAGAGCGGGCGCTCGTAGCCGTCGAAAGGCCACGAATCATCCCGGCTACGCTTGTACGACCGCCAGTCGTGCTCGCTGACTGGAGACTCCGATCGCTGGCGGAGAGCCGCCTTTTTATACGTTGGAGCCTGATAGAAGAGGTGGGCAGATGTACTGGTCTGAACGTCACTTTCGACCTGGGCACGTCGTGGAATGCGATATGCCATAACCAGTGTGTCCCAGTGGTCGGAAAGCTGTACAGACTCAGTATGGCTACTGCCGGAAAGGCACTTGAGCTTACATCTTGCGCCAAAGCTTTCAGCTTCTCGTCCTCTGACTCTTTGATCTTGTCGACAGCGATATTGACTTGCGAATCTTCCACTTTGTTGCGAGCTGCCAACGGCCAAGTGCGCATTGACTCGAGGACCTAGATACGGCATGAGCAAGTCACGAAGAAAAGTGATGAATTGTTTGGCGTACCAGTGTGACAATTTCCGGATCCCCTCCATTATCGTCGAGCACGTTCTTCATCAGACTCAGACAACGCAAGCGGAGCATTTCCCGCATCGTTTCTTCTTCCGTCGTGACTCTGAATCGCGTGAGAAGCTTGATAATCATTGTACGGCTGGTTGTTTGTCGCAGCGCTTGGATCAGCTTAGGAATCTCCTTGATCTGTATCGGTCGCAATTGAGGCTGGAAAGCGCGCATCAGCAGTGAAAGGAGAAACAGAACAGCTGGCAATAACCATAAAGTCAGCGTCATCGATCTTCTTCCCCTTCTTCTTCTTGTTGCCCTTGAGCGCCATGACCTCGTCATCGTCGGTAATCCCGAGCGCTGTTTTGCTGACATCAGAACGGGAAGAGAGATACGTTCGTCGCGCGCGTACCATCCAAATATAAATCATCCACTGTGACGAGATCTGTCTGCGTCTTTCCTCCAATATAACCTACACAGTTCTCCTCTCCGCAATAGCACTCCTGTGCCTTGTGGCTATGGCCAGTTCAACTACCAAGCCAGAAGAAGGATAGACACAAATGGCCCACCCGTATCGATCAACATTATAGTTGAAAGTGAGTTCTTCATACTGCTGAATCCTCCGTTTCGCAAATATGCCCATTCGCACGTGATCTCCGACAGTCCATTTAGCGACATAGCAATTTGGGCGGCAGCTGTGATTAGCGAAACGTGCGATTCCGCCGCTTTTCGTGGCATCGATGAACTAGATGTCCTCAGTCAGAAAGTTCGAACGCTAGAGAGCTGATCAAGCGCACCTCGTCCTTCTGTAGCATCATAAAATAAAAGTGCTGTATCCCCTCCTCCGCATAGTCTCGCATGCGCTTCTTGAACGATGACGGACTAACCACATCGCCAACGTACTCGTAGATGAATGTGTCTCTTTTTGGATGTCAGTGTTCCAGATGTATGGGGGACCAATGGAGATACACACTTGGGGATGTCCTCCTCGACCCTCAACCCGAAGCCCTTCTTCTCAGTCTGTACAATATCGATAGAAGCATATTCCTTGTGCTGGAACCTATCAGAGGTCGGCGGGTCATCATTTACATAAGCGAAAACGAGGGGCCCGCGCGCACCGTTGATTCTGACAGTGAGATCCACAACGGCAGTCCCCAGGCAGACATTCAATCTGTGTTAGTCGGTTAATACAGTTGGAGCCGGGACCGCAAGCTATATGGGGCGGATCCACATCTGCGAAAATGCATGGTCAGTGACGATTTTGCACGGCGGCGGCCCTGGCCGCCCTACTGGGCTACTAAGATGGGGTTGCACCTCGACGGAAGAAACACTCGCACGACATCCCCTCCATTTCCTCTCGTGAGCGCCCGAGGTTCTTATTCTGATAATTGTTGGCCTCTATCACAGTAAAGGTGGCCAGGGCCGCATCACGCGCAATCGGGAGGTCTCCGATGAGCTGCACGGGGGCTTCCGGTTTCTTTTTGCGCCCGTTGGCAGCAGTGGCCGCTTTTACGGGTGGTGGGGTAGGTGAGCTAGAAGACGACGCTTTGGATGAGGCCCGGGACGGCGAAGAGCTACAGAGGGCATCTGGCATGGCCTCATCCTCCTCCCTCGCATTCGTCGTGAAATCTTCGGGCACTCGTTCCGCATCCGAGTTGGAAGGTGCGTCGTCCTTGGTGGCAACAACCGACGGGGCCTGTGGAAGAAGCGGCGCCGTCCCATCCTCAGATTCGGGGTTCATGGGTGGTGATGGAAGAGAGACGCTTTCGGCTGCGATGGAAGTCGACAGCAAAGCCGACTCCTCTCTTGCGGGCCCATCCTCCTTCGTCATGGGCTACCAACGACGGGCCAGATGAAGCGCCCTGTAGGGGCGTATAGCGATCTCCAGAGTGCTCTGGGAATTTATAGCGTCCCACACGGGCAGTAGATTACGCAGTCCAAAGTTTCACCCTATAAAATCGGCATATAGTGAGATTCGTCTTTAGTACAATGGCGGGCTTGAGACCTGAAAGACTGCTAGAGGATTGAAGGCAAGGCAAAGAACCGGCACAAGACAGGGCGTCCAGTGGGCGATCAAGAGAGAGAACCGATGTACAACTTGAATTTGGATTTGTTCTTGTCCCCGACCTCCATCCTCTCGCTGTCCTACTCCCCCAACCTCATTCGCACAGCTACAAGACGCGAACCTATGACTTCAACAAGTGCTAACGCTTCGAAAAAGCGCAAACGTGCGACGTCACCGGCAAGAAGGATTGCCTTCAAATTGGCAGAGCACCAATTGGGATCGGATGAAGTTGGGCCTACACTGGGTGCGTCTTGAATGTCCTTTTCTTTTCCAAACCTTGCATTGAGGTTATTTCTTTGCATCTCAGTCTCCTTTCCCTCTCTGGAGGCCCCGCCTTCCACTGCGTTCAAATGCTATCGCAAGAAAACGAAAACCTCCCCCGACGCGGCGGAAGATATCATCGTCGCTGGAGAGACCGATTTTGTGGAGTTTGAATCCAACGCGGAGGAAAGCGAACGCGTTTCGCATTCCGGGTGCAAGTACCTAGTTGCCGTGCACAATAAACGGACCGGAGAACTGAGCGTTCTGCCCACCCTCCTTTCTCCTCACGTCCTCACTCAGACCGTGAAAGCCCTCAAGTCCATCGAGCCTGCTCCTGCTCCCACCGCCCTCGAGTATTTCCAGGCCCGAACGGCCCTCGGTGAAACGTTCGGAACCAAGAAGGCCAAAGCCGCCATCAAGGCTCGGGAGCGTAATCGGGTCGATGTGGGCGCAATGGAGGGCGTAATGGATCACGTTATGGCTGGTATCGACAAGGCCGCGGGGGGCTTGATGACGGCAGGCTCGTTCTATGGAGTCCGTCCGACGTTTTTGGACTGAAGCAATTCACAGAGGAAGCCCAAGATCTTGCAGACACTAATCGCGCGGTGCCGCCCTTCGACGCCGAAGCGACGGATCCGGCCGACGTCTACCCTCTTCACGGCATCATCACAGAGCCGGAGTGGAAAGCGCTCTCTGTCAACACCTTGCTCCAGGCCGGAACTGCGGCCGACCGCAAAAAGTGTCTGCCTTTTTGGCATTCTGAATGGGTCAACACACGTCTGGAAGCTTCTCTCAAGAGCTCTGAGAAGAAACGTAATCTGTGCGTTTACGGTCGATGATGAAACATGGTGGTGAGAGAGCTAACACGATGCGTAGCAAGATCCTCTTCTATATGTCCGCGATGATGGCGTTCCGTCGAGTAACTGACCGCAAATTCAAGAAAGAGGACATCTCTGCGAAGATCCCTACTGTGCCTTCGGTTGTCATCGACAGCTTGATGGATCGCTTCACTGAATGCGCGAGGGGGAGCACCGAGTGCGGCTGTTTACTTGCCTAAGATACTCCGGACTCATCTTGCTACAGGCCACGGACAACGCCACATCTGCAGCTACTTCTTCTCACACATCTCCTCGCATTGTCTTTGCGGATCGACAACTACGCCGCAGACTTTGGCACTCTCGCTCGTGACCTCAGTATCTCCAACGAAAAAATGGCCACAACCTTCAGGTCTCTCGGTGAGTGTTCATTCTGAACTTGGAGATCCGTGCCCTCATTCTACGCCAGGCTGCAAGATTGTCACTCTTACGGAGAAACAACGGACAAAGCTGGGTCTTCCCGATAGTGTGGCGGATGAGAGACGTGCTGTGTTGGAGGTCCCGCTCAAGTTTCCACAGCCGAGACTCAAGCAAAGGAGTGGACGGTAGCCGCTGCCATAAAAGTACTATACTATCTATTCTTGTTATTCGGTAGTCGGGCCAGGTAGTCAACGCTAGCCCCGGTACCCAGATCACAAATCTTCGGCCATGATCTCTCGTTCATGTCTTCCTTGCGACGTCAAGTAGTCATTCATCACCAGCGCAGAATGTCACCGTGACAGGGCGACTGATTTCCGCACATTTCACACCCCACCAACGGCAACCCGACGAGACATGTATGCTCACGCGACAACGGCCAACACCAGAAATGATTTCTGTCCCTCGCTCTGCAAGCGCTGAGTGTGTTGGCACAAGCTCTTGGCCATAACAGACCACAGCTTTCAAGCACGTCGTTCGCTCTGGGCAGATGTCCAGGCCCACGATTAATCAGAGACTATGCATCGCATTATTGAGATGATTCTGCTGCTGCCGCTGGCGTCGTCGATACTGGCTCTCACAGGCGTGCCATTCGCAGAGTAAATCCGCTCCAGCAGGGAAGAGAGGATATCGGACGTCAGTGCTGCTCTTGCCTAGACCGCAGAACTCTTCAGACATCCGCCTTTGACCAGCACGTGGGCCAGACCTCTAGTGCAGCGAGAGCGAGAGCGTGATTCTGGTCAGAAAGATGCACGACCCAGTCGACTTCGTACAGTTGACATCTAGGATCTCGTAGGAAACAGGCGAGTCCGTGGGACAAAGCAGTCGCAAGAATGAATTGTATTGCCTGTACAGCGGTCTAAACTCCACGAGCTGCAGGGATAGCGCCTTCCTCGTCCCGCCCTGTGATCACTCCGTCAACCAAACCATATCATGCAGAGGAGACCTCATGAGACACACCCTGGTAGAACTTTTCCAAAAACGTCTGCTTGGGACGTGTCTTCGGGAGCAGCATAATCTCGTAGATATGGTCCGGCTGCTTCCACAGGTTCAGCGTCTCCTGCAGGTCCTGCCGGCTCTTCAGCAGCAGCACATCGATGCTGCGCACGTCGGTGACATGCCGGTTCGCCTCGAAGCGCATCCGGATGGCGTGGCGCAGCTCGGTCGTCGAGACCTCGAGCGCGTACTGGTCGACGATTTCCGGGGCCTGCGAGAGATGACGTTGGCGTGCGTGTGCTACATGCGCGGAGCGGGCATGCGTACCGAGCGATACCAGTCTCGGTATAGGATGATGGCCCGCTGGCGCGCGTCCGCGGGGCTGGCGGACACCCGTGTCACTTGCGCGAGCCGGGATGGGATGGTGAAGGACATGATCAAAAGCGGAATGTGTGAACCCTAACCCGACGGCGTCGCGCTCCAGCTCGAGTCACGCGCGCAATCATCGCTTCCGTCCTTTACAGCGACCTCTCCCCTCGATCTCCCATCTTCTACTTCTGCTCCCAATCCTCACGATGGTCCGTGGATCTGGTCAGAGATATCCCGTTATCCCAAGCCGCGCCGATCTGATTTTTCGCAGGCAAGTTCAAACAGAAACGCGGTGGAGGACGCAGCTTCAGGTATCTTATCTTGCTCGCTCTGCTCGTGATGATCGCCCGAGCTCACCCTGCTCTCAGCAAGAACCTCGTCTTGGACGAGAATGGCACGGCTGTTTCAGCCGATAGACGGTATCTCGGCCCTTTTTCACGCCAGAACGGGGATCTGATTCAGCCTCAGACCGCGCGGGCAAGGATCGGACGACGATTCGAACGAAGACTCTGATGAAGAGGAGGACGAGGAGTCGGAAGAAGAATCAGAGGAGGCAGAAGCCAAGCCCGAGCTGTCTCGGGCAGAACGCAAGGCCTTAAAGAAGAAGCAGGGCGATGCAAAGCTTGCAGCGGCCGAGGAAGAGGACGAGGACGACGAGCTGATCAACCCCAACCACGTTACGAAGAAGATGAATATCTCGGATCTGGGGGCACCCAGGGAGCTGTCGCGTCGCGAAAGGTCGGCCACAATCTGGTCCTGTGCAAGCCCGCTTTCCTGACGTCCCTGACAGAGAGGCCAAGGAGAAACAGGATGCCAAGGATCGCTACTGGAAGGTGCGCCAGCATGTTTCTGTTGCCTTGCGCAGACGCACGACTGACATCTCACCAGCTGCACGCTGCCGGAAAGACAGACGAAGCCAAGGCCGATCTCAACAGGCTTGCGAAGATCCGGGCTGAGCGAGAGGCCGCGCTGGCGAAGCGCAAGGCGGAGGCCGAAGGTATTGCATTGCCGCTACAGTCTCCACGTACTCAACGACCGCCATCCAGAGAAGGAGAAGGAGATCGCAGCGAAGACCGCCGCTCAACGGACCGGAAAGAGGTCATAGGCGACCGAACGACAACCAGTTACCGATGTAGTTGTAACGAATGTAATACGCATCCAGAAGCAATCTCTCAGATCTTTGGCCTGGCCCTCGATATCTTTTTCGAAGAATTTCATTCCGGTAATCATCTGACAGGAAACCTGGCCTCAAAGGCGCATCTCTTCATCAAGCAATGCTGCAAGGCCGCTCCGAGCCTCGATCGCGAATGGAAAATGCTCAGGATGACTATTTTCAAGCATCCATCAGCGCGTCCGAAGGCCATGCGGAACCGCTCACCAGTCAATCCCATCCGTCATCGCCGTAGAAGGCACGATAACGCGGCCCGCGGCGTCCAGAGCATTCTTGATGTTGCAGGTCGCAAGCAGCGTCGCGGCGGCAATCCAGATACTGTTCGACGCGAGCTCGTTCCCCGTGCACAGCCTGCGATCAAAGCGGCGATGAGCAAATACATAGGTCGAAGAGGAATGTGATGACCCTCACCGGCGTCCGAAACCGAATGCGGAGGCGAACCGGGGCTCCCCTCTCCCTTCGGGCCGCGGAAGGAAGCGCTCTGGCTGGAACGCTTCAGGGTCGTGGTAGACGCTTTCATCGCGAGACATAGCCCTTCCCACAGAGACAGATGAGTGATCGTCGAGCACTGCGCTGAGGCTCCGCTGACCTGATATTGGCGTAGACCGTGGTTCCTGCTGGAATCAACATGCCGCGGTACACGTCGTCCTGGATGAGGCGATGCGGAACGCCTTTTGGGCATCGTCAATGGGCAACAGCGGGGCATCAAGTCAGTCTGACTTCGGACTTACCCAGCGGGACGATTGGATTCCATCTCCATCACACCACCATCTGAGTGGGCACGCCTGGGGGTTGATCGTTGGGAGAGTAGCACACACCTTAGTGTCTCCTGGATAACACATTCAACAAACGGGAGCTTGGCCCTGTCCTCGTAGGCCGGTATCTGATCCGCTCCCAGAACGTGGAGGATCTCCTCCTGCGCCCGTCTTTGGCTCTCGGGGTACAGGACCATCGCCAGAAGGAACACAGTCAGGATACTGCTGGTCTACCCGCGAAGAAGAACTGAGCACTGGGAGCAACACAGCTGTGAGATCTTTCGACTCGACTGAACGCACCGTGGCCTGCCCCGTCACGAAAATGGTCAACGCGTCGGCCCTGAGCTCGTCGAGATCGAGATCCTCCTCCTCCTCGGAAACACCGCGATTCTGCAACTTCGACAGCAAGAAGGACGGCTGTGCCGTCCCGCTCGCCTTGGGAACTTGCGTTAGCCTTGCGCTTCGCGCGTGTAGGCGGCGCGGCGCGATCTCCCTACCTCGGCGTCCTGGACGTATTTCACGGGGTATTCGTAGACGGCGCGGACTTGGTCCTGCCACTCGCGCGCGACGCGCGCGTAATACGTCCCGGGGACCCAGTCGGGGAAGAAGCGCACTGCACGGACCGTCACGGTCAGATGCGCGAGATACCGAGTAGCGGGACTTACGGAGTGGGAAGAGATCTATCAGCGTCCCACCGGGCGGTCCAGTGACGCAGAAGGACTCGTAGAGCTGTTCGGCCAACCTGACGAAGTAGTCGTCGTCCGAAACGATCTCGTGCCCCGTGAGTATGTCCGTGATGATTGCGGTCGAGAACCTGCGAACGAGCGAGTTCGTTTCCGTCTCCTACACACCACAGCAGAGCTCGTGCAAGTACCTGCTGAGCGCAGCATGCTGCTGGTCCCCCGACGCGTGCAGGAGATTCCGCACGAGCTTGCGCGCTTCCCGCGTCTGGACGGGGTAGAAGGCCGGGCAGCTCTTCCGGGCGAGTAGATTGTGGTGCTGCTGGCGGTGGCGCGTGTGCCGTTTGCCGTACGGGAGGAAGCTGAGGATGTCTCCCCAGCCCATTCTGGAGCGGCGGCGGCAGTCAGTCAGTCCATCCAGCGGATCACATTGCAATCAACGGCCCGCGGAGGCAGACCGGACGACGCACATGTCGTACAGGACGAATCGCGGTCTGTCGCTATAGATAGCGCTCCGCTGGTCCAGGAGCTCTACCGCCGCCTGTTCGCTGCCCAAGATAAGCTACGACTTGCTGAGGGCTTGCAGGTAGATCACATCCCCTGCCAGCCGTTGATCATAAGTACTATGCGCGCAATCGAGATGCACATACCGTATATCTTTCTCCATTCTGTGTAGACGACTGCCGGCTGCGACTGGGGCAGGTGCCGCAGATGTCCTATGAGCGGGTCGCGCCGTGGGCCGGGTGGAAGCTTTTTCCTGGTGGAGAGAGCCCAGGCAAGGGCATGGTACCCAGTGATCACGATTATGAGGGCCGAGACAAGGGGCGGCCAATACAGCGGGGCGGCCAAAGAGATAGTAGTCATGGGCGAAGATGCCTGGGCCGTTTAGGAAGTCGCTTCATATGCACTTGCGTTAGATGCCGTCGGCAGAGCTGCATGGGACCAGCCTGAGAGTCAGATGCCGGTGTTCATTGAATGGCAAGTGACGTTGCGTGGCGGTTTTCGAGTTCATGCCACGGGCAGAAGTCTCGTTCAAATTGGCCTAGGCAAAGCAGCAGGCATACGGAGCATGTAGTAGGCGTTGGGCTTCGTCAGAACGAGTGGTCACTGACAGGGTCTTCATACATAACCTGATCTTACCCGAAGCAGACAGGGATTTGTCCAATAAACATCACGTGCTAGCGGCGGTTCTTGCCTGATCTAGGACCAGCGGCTCTCATCGCTCGCATTGCGGGTTAAGCTAATCATCGTCCAGCGTTTCCTTTTGGGCGCTCCGGAACTGATGTATTCTTCGATCTGACGACTCATACTGGGTCCAAGTCAATGTGGTAATGCGCACGACTCGCTCATGTCAGTGGGATGTGTGAAGCATGGACTTCGACTTTGGTTCGGTTCATGTGGAACGAGGACGGCTTTGGAAGGAATCGGGCTGGATTTCACCCAGAATTCTACGCGCGTGTCATTCAGTGGTGTTTGCTACGTGTTTCTCCTGGGACGAACCGGGCTTGCTAAATATTGCCGGCGGTCTTACAAACGATGGTAATCTATCAAAATTTTCCGCTGGCCATCGGGGCTGGCTTCCACACCGAGGAGTGCTTGGCCCTCAACGGACGAGGCCGTCAAGTCACGTGTAGTCATCACAAAATCATGTGATCGCGTCTCCTTGTTTCGTGCCATGATGATCATGCGCACAAACACATTTGCTGATCATGATTTGTAGAGCGTGCGCGCGTCTCTCCTCATTGATGTCTTTCATATTTCGTTTGCCTCTGTACCCCTTTGACACTCCAGACCCGTGAGACCTGCTGCGGAAGAGCGAGAAATGGAGGTCAAAGTCTCACCTACCCGCCCACCATAAGTTCCCGCACCTGCTCGTACTCCTCCAACAACTTTCTTGTTCTGCTACCCCCACCTTCCAGTGGAATTTTCTTTGCTTTTACCTGCTTTCACAATGCTTGCCTCCTTCCCCGATATTCAGGTCGGCCAGACTCTCGACGCCGGACGTCTCGAGCTGGTCAAGCTTCTCGGTGCGGGGTCGCACGGGGTCGTGTATCGCGCGCGCGACACGACGTCCCCTTTTGCCTGTCCCGTTTTCTACGCAGTCAAGTGCCTGGGTGATGCGTCTCCACAGATTGACAACGAGGTCGCGTACCACACCGCGTGCTCGGGCCACCCGTCGGTCGTGACGCTGCATCGCCCGTTCGTCGAGGACGGCGTTGCGTTTGCGGTGCTGGACGCGATGGACGGCAACCTGTGGACGCACATTGACCGCGGGGTGTACCGCTTCGGGGAGGCGGCGCTGAAGACGGTGTTCCTGCAGATCCTCGACGGCGTCCAGGCGATCCACGCGCAGGGCATCGCGCACCGGGATCTGAAGCCGGAGAACATCCTGTGCTCGAGCGACGGGCTGGCTGCCAAGATCTGCGACTTTGGACTCGCGGTCGACAACGAGGTCCCGGCGTGGAATGTCGGCGGCACGCAGGCTTACATCCCACCTGGTCAGTCGATCCACTGCGACGCCCGCGCACATGCTGATGACAGCGACAGAGGCTCTTTCGCCCGAGTGGACACCGACGACCTTCGATCACACGGCCGGCGATCTGTGGGCGCTCGCCATCGTCTTGCTGAACATGATCGGCGGGTGCTGCCCGTGGGACGAGGCAGCGCCGCACGACCCCGCCTGGGCCTCGTTCTGCGCGGACCCGGCGGTGCTCAAGACGCGCTTCCCGATCTCGGACGCGCTGCACGCCGTGCTGCTGCGCATGCTCCACCCGGACCCCGCGCAGCGTCCGGCCCTCGCGGCGCTGCGCGTGGAAATCGCGGCGATGGACCGCATGATGCGCACCGAGGGGCTGGTCAATACGGCGGCGATCGCTGCGTTCGGGTTCGTCGGGTCGCTCGTCAACTGCGCGAAGGGACTCGTCTGGGGCCATGCTGCGGGCGGGTGGGAGCCGGCGCCTGCTTATGTCGTCGCCGCTTCCTCTCGTGTCAGCCACGCGTCGTCTGTGTCCTCGACGAAAGCCGAGTGCTGCGCCTCCATGTTCAGATTTGGGCCGTCGGACGAGTCGCTCGGTCACGCTGATTCACTGTTTGATGTCCAGTCTGTCGTCGAATCCGATTCCGTCGCCACCTCTGGGTAAGATAAAGAAAAGCTTGCACTCCGCTATCTAAGCTCACCTTGCCTCTAGCACCGATTCTCTCGTCTCCAGCAGCACGGCCGATTCCGTCCAATCTTGGTTCTCGGCGATGTCGACCCCAGACTCCGAGCAGGATACCGCGTTGGCCCGCAAGGAGTTTGACGACGATCACCACCACCACTACGACGACGACGACGACAAGGTCTACGGGCACTCAATGCTCGCCTTTTCCGCGCAACGATACGTGATGCGCCCCGACCCATTTGGCAAGATGCTGCTGCTACCCGTGGCACCGCCGGTTCCCGTCGCCCTGGACGACTGCTCCGGGCTGCGGCCTCCCCCCGCTCGCGCGTTCCTCCGCCGCCCGAAGCTCGCATCGATGCTCACCAGTGTGTCGGAGAAGAACACGCGCTCGATGCGGCGGCTGCGTCACTGGCTCCGGCGGACGCAGTCTGCTTGAGGGGGTCATGTTTTTCTTCTTCTTCTTCTTCTCTTCTCTCATTCTCTTGTCATTCTTGCTAGTTCTCGTGTTGTGCTGCCTGCTTTGTTGGCTAATCGCCTCTTCCACAGCGTGGATCCTACTATGTTTTGCTGACGGTTTTCTAGCTGTGATTTCGTTGATTCCGCTGACCTTTCCCAGATCGCGTTCCCGTCACTTCCAAAGCCACTTTGACCCTTACAACGCTAACGTGCTCCCCCCTTCCGCGGCCGAATCGACTCGCATAGTAGCAGCAGCTTATCGCATTGAGCATCCTAGGCCACACAACAGCACAGATGAGTCGATCCTCCTCCTCTCCCTCCCCCCATCCCGCTGTCGAGTATCAAGGGACTGGCCATCCCAAAGACACCTCGCCGGCGGGCCCCCGGGCGTTCTCCTCACCCCCCGCACAAAATTCTGACCCCCTTTCGCGGAGCAGATCCAATATATCGCGCTGCATGCGGTATGCGACGTATCGCGACCCCCACGAAAAAGATGAGTCGTCCTCTCCCATCCGATCTCGCTGGCGCTGGCTTTTTGTGGAGCGGAGAGACTGGCCATCTCGATGCCGCTTCTTGGAACCGGTGCCGGGGATCGATCATACCGTCCTACCTACCTCTGCTCTCATCCGGATCGTTCTGACCCCCTTGTTGCACAGCGCTTTGAGTTACGACGACGCCCGGGACCCGCGCGGATAAAGATGAGTGTTTCTGTCCCTCCCTCCCTCCCTCCCTGCCGCTCAGAAAGCTCCGTCGGGATTGGCCATCCCGTCGGAGTTTTCCGATCGGCGGCATAATCGTCTTTGCTTCTGGATCTGCCCGCTCGCTGATTCCTCGTTCTCTTAGTATCCAGTTCGCGGCGCCGGCGGTATTCCTTCACGCCTGAGATTTCGTTTGCGAGGTACGAAATCTGCCTGTGTACTCGGTCACTGCTTGTAGCCTCAATGTCGCACAGATCGCTCTGCAATATGCGATGCGCGTGTGAATGGGTGCAATGGCGCTGTTTCGTCGACGCTGCTGTGGATGTATGTATGTATGTACCGTACCGTGCTTGAAGTGTATCAACGCGAGATGTCGAACTGCCGAGAAGCTTTCACTTGCTGTACAGTACGCACGCATCCGCGAGACGATTCCTCGCACGAGACGAAGCGACGATGTAAGGAACAGCCAGTCCAGGGCAGGGCAGGACAGTGCTCGTGGAGAGCACATTTTATTTCTTTCCTCAGTATGATCGTATGACGCATGTGTGAGCGATCCGAAGGAGGTATGCCAGTGCACAATGACGGGGACGTAGGAGCGCGTCGGTGGCAGCACGGCGATACGTACGGCACATTGCCTTGCCGCAAGCCATGTAGAAATGAAGGACAAGTACAGGCATTTATAAACACGGTTCACTACTACCGCTGCCTAGAAGCAACACAGCTTACCAGTCCTGCAGAAAACGTCAGCACGCGGTTCATCGGTGGCAGGACTACTACAGCGAGACGTGGGGGAGGGATCAGAGATTCGACAATATCAACAGCGCAGCTGCCCGCCTCCTTTTTGTACACGGGAGACTTTGGTGTGAGCAGCCGGTTCGTGTCCGCCCGTCGAATGTTTTCATCAGGGAATGGGATGCGGGGGGGGCGGGGGTATGGAAAACGAACGGAGAGAGACGATGGGGAGAGGGTACTGACCATGTGGAAACCGGAACGCGAGCCACGGACGTTGAGAGGAAACCTGAAATACACGCGCGTCAGCTCGAGCTTGCCCAATACGACGACGACGACGACGAGACGGGAAAAAAAGTTCAGACAAGGCTGAAATCGATAAAGTATTCCACAGCATGTTTCGGAATGTGGTAAAGTATGGTATGATTTGGATCATCACTGGAAGAGATGGGGGTTCGGACGCGCAGACACATACCTTGCGTCCGAGGTCAAGATGGTGGTACAGGAAAAAAGAGGTATAAGGTGGCGGTGCATGTCTTTGCCCAATTTGGGCACCCGCGATGACGCACCCAGGCCCCCACGTGCTGAGCCCCTTTCAATCTTGCCTCGACCTGCCACTGAAACCCAGAGCGATATCATATATATGTTCTCCTTGCTCCCGGCTGCCCTGCGCCTATCCGTGGCGTCTCTTCTCTGGAACAACGGGTGGGAGACAGGCACGCCGCACGCCGGCTCCTCGACTCCACCAGCGCCACCCGCGACACGCTTCCAGCTGCGGCACGAGCACGCGATGTTCGGCGCCGGACGCAGCGTCTACTCGAACATCCCGCCCCCTCCTCATTCTTCTCCGTCCTCGCTCGACTCCGGCACGCACAGCGAGGGCTGGGAGTACGCTGTCCCGACGACGGCCATCCGCACGCACCGACCCCGCTCCCCTCGCGCGTTCGCGCACGCGCGCTGGAGTGCCGGGCAGACGCCCGTGTCGACGTGGGACCTCGTGGAGGATCTGCCTGCGCCCGACGTGTCGAAGCGCGCGACGCTCCTCGCGCTCGCGAAGATGACGTCCAACTCGTATTACGGCGATGCGGGGCACAAGCTGTGGTACCCGCTCGAGGGATGGAATACGGTTTGTTCCATTCTATTCCCTTGCATTGACTGCGTGCTGATCGCTGAACCTGTGATTGTTCCCGTGCTCAGAGCATCCCTTTCGGCTGGGAGCCAGACGCGGACGGGTTCCGGGGCCATATCTTCGTGAGCGACGATAACAGCACGGTCGTCGTCTCCGTCAAAGGGACCTCCGCGCCGTGGATCGCAGGCGGCGAGGGGCCCACGAAGAAGAAGGACAAGCTGAACGACAACCTGCTCTTCTCGTGCTGCTGCGCGCGCGTCGGCCCGACGTGGTACCCGGTGTGCAACTGCTACGCTGGCGGAGACAAGTGCGACGCCAACTGTGTGGAGGAGGCGCTGATCGATGAGAGCTTGTTCTACCATGTTGGGATTGTCGGTGGTCTTCTGTTGTGTTCCAAATTAGGAATGGGCTAACATTTGGCCAGAATCTATATAACGATGTCGCTTTTATGTACCCTGAGGCGAACATTTGGCTGACAGGTATATGTAGATTTCATCCTTCCCAGGATATCTATCTCACAGCTATAAAAGGGCACAGCCTCGGCGGATCTCTGGCCGCCCTGCTTGGAGCCACGTTCGGTGTACCCGTCGTGGCATTCGAGACCCCCGGGGAGAAGATGGCAGCAACGCGTCTCCATCTACCTTCACCTGTAAGTGACCCACTTGCTTGTTAAACTTTGTGATATCAAAGTAGCAACTAGCCCTCGACGCACCATATCACGCATGTGTACCACACGGGCGACGTACGTCCAACATTCACCCCTAGATCCAGCGATGCTCACGAAACACCGCAGCCGATCCCGATGGGAACCTGCACGGGAGTCACGTCCTCTTGCGCCATCGGCGGATACGCTCTCGAGTCCAAGTACGTCTTGTTTGGCCCGATCGTATACCGACGCATAAAACCCTCTTGCTAGATGTCACCAGGGGAAGCGCATCCTGTATGACACTGTGACGAAACGCGGCTGGTCGGTTGACTCTCGACAGCACGGCATCGCCTTCATTGTCGAGAAGCTGCTGAACGAGGACTGGGATGCCGAGGCTGGATTGGAGGTCCCGGAGATCGACGAGCAGACGGACTGTGTAGTGCGTTGTTCAATTCTTTGTGCACGTTTCTCGAGGTGGGCTGATGTCGTGGGGTGTGTGATAGGATTGCTTCAATTGGGACTTTGGGTCGTCCAAGTAGATGTGCCAGAGCGCGCTGGGGAGTTCTCTTTGCGGATCCGAGTGCCTCCTAACTAATGGACACGATTCTGGTCGCTCAGTGTGCAGCTTCCACAAGAGACTCGGCTGTGGGCGAAGCGCTCATTAATTAGCGAGCCAAGCTCTGTAAATTATCATGATTTACGTGGTTTCTATGACCGACCACCCTGGTTCCTACTGGGCCAGCGGATCCGATCCGGTACAGCTCAGAATGTTTTTACGTCAAAATGCCATGGTTTGTCGACAAATTCATCCCGCTCTTGACCGCCCGAAGCCTCGGTAACCTACTACGTACATTGACGACCAAGACCCGTGGACCGTGTTGCCACTCTTGCTGCCGATGGTCACTGGCAATGGTTATAGTACGAGGCCTCGCTCGATATATTTTTGGTGACAGTATGTCAGAGTTGCTGCCGGTTGACACTCGTCCTCTCATTTGAGTTGCTTCGGTTGGGGGGTCTGTGATCACGTGGCCTTGCGTTGCCGAATGCTTGTTCAAACTCATGTTCGGATGTTCAAGCTCTGGAATTGATGGTCTCTGTGAGCCCAATGAATGATCTTCGATGCGTCTAGCTGAGTCCTCGTATAAGACTCTACAGAATGACTCTTAACGAGAACAGATGCGGACCACTTCCAAGTTTCGTACTGTACAATACAGATAGCCAGCTATTAGAGGAAGACGGCAGTCCAGAGTGCCGACTATCTTACGCTAAACGCCAAGATAGTATATTCAGTCTGCACGGCGAGGTTTCGTAAGTGTGTCGAACACCAAAATGGCTCTCTGTGTCAGACGATCCGCGTATGAAATCTAACCTGTGGATACAGCAGGTGTCTTTAAAGACAGACAGAAGACAGGACTGAAATCACTGCAGACATTGGAAGCGGACCAATAGCTACATTTCGCCAAAGGCCACCCGCGCGCAGTTGTGGGGTGCCCAGTGATAACTGCAACATCCCATGGACGATTTCGACACGCAGATCTCTGCATTCCGTCCGCCATCGGGACCAGTCCGAGTGCTGAGGTTCTTAATGAGCTAGGAGATTTGAATGAAATATTTCCGACTCGGAGATGGTTCGGCTACCATTTCGGTTTTCGGGTCATTTCAGTTATGTACGCGCTTCTGGTGAAAGACTGTTTCATAAGCTTTGGGGTCGTATGCGAGACATTTCATGCTTAAAAATCACGACTGATAGCATTCATTTCAGGTGGATTGGGTCATAGCTTTTACTGTAATCGAATAGGCACATAAGAAGATGAAGGAAAGGAAAAATAATGAATTGTTCAATTCAAGGCCGTACTGGTCTTGATCGGTGACATAAGCACCATCAACCGTTGCTGTTGACCACTTTTGACACCGTGCTCGAACTCAGCTGACCGCATTCACGCCTACGCACCACGACCCCCAATCTCTGATCTACAGGTCGCTGTGGAAATGCACATGTCTGCACCCAGGGCCCTGCCCAGGGCTCTCGAGTCTAGGCGCAGCTTACGCATAGCTATTCTGTCAACGGGCCGTGCATGGGCCAGCGCAAGCATAACGCGACGGCATAACGGTATAGCCGTAACGCGACACGCTCCTGTCGTCACCTGGGTTTTGCCGACGCTGTGCCGGATATACCATCGCGCCACTCATCGCCTGGCCCCTCAGTGCCGCTGAAGCTGGGGAGCGCCTCCTGCGCTGAGAAAAAGTCGCTCGCTGGTTTCCATAACGGGATGCACATTCCTAGGATCCCGCTCGTGTATTCGGCGCTTCGATATCCACTTGTTTGACTGCGATATGTCACAGTATAAGAAGTAGATCTGTGGGAGTGGGAGTGCGTCTCGCACTTTCTTACTTCTCTTACCACTTTACCACACTTCTCTTCACACTCTCTCATGAGCAACTTGGATGCAACAACCGTTGCGGTCTATGGGCTTGTGGCTGTTCTACCGGTCGCAGGTCTCTGGGCTGTGAAGACTCTCAACCAGAAGGTGCGCCGCCTAGTAATCACGTCGATGATCTTCCGCCGATTTATGTCCTGCAGAACCCCGTGCCCGCAGTCATCGGCTCGGAGGGCTGGATCGCCTCGCTCAAGGCTGCGCGCTACTTCATCGAGGAGCCGATGAAGGTCGTGCAGCAGGGCTACGACGAATACAAGGACGGCGTGTTCCGGATCCCGCGTCGCTGGCGCTGGGACTACATCGTCTCGGGCACGCAGCGTATCAAGGAAGTCGGCTCCGCTCCGTCGGATGTCCTCTCGTTCATCGAGGGCGCTGGGGAGGTCTGTGTGTCTCTGCAACTTTCTCGACGGCACGTGCTGATTAGATTTCTGCAGGTCATCCAAGCGAGATACACGATGGGCGCTGAGCTGATGGAGCACCCATATCATACGATCACCGTTCGCACGAGTCTGACGCGCAATCTGGGGCGACTGTTCCCCGAGGTCAAAGACGAGATCGAGTGTGGCTTCGAGGATGTCCTAGGGCTGCCTGATGACGGTGAATCCAATGTCGTCATGATTCTTCCGCCCCTTCTGATGATCCGGCAGACTGGAAGCTCGTCCCGGTTCTTCCGGCGATCATGAAAGTGGTCGCTCGAACCAGCAATCGTCTCTTTGTGGGATTGCCCTTGTGTAAGAAACTGATCCTACGTGCATTGTCATTGGATCTGACCCGTTCACACAGGCCGAAACGATGCATACCTCAACTTGAACGTGATTAACACCATGGAAATCGTACAACGCGGTCAGCAGCTGGATTCCTGGCCAGATTTCTTGAAACCGTGAGCTTTGGCGGGCCAATTCACCGCATACCAAATGACGTATTATCCCAGACTCGTGGCGCCCTTCATTGTTACCAGACAGAAGCGTTTGCGCGAGATGATGGGCTTTTTGGGTGGCATCATACAAGAGCGCATCGCCAAGGAGGACACTCTCGGTCCCAATTACGAGGGTAGACCTGTGCGTTCTTGAATCTCTTACGACTGTCCATGAGCTAAGTCTGGACAGAATGATCTGATCTCTTGGCTCCTGGAACTTGCCGGACCCGAAGGAAGACACCCTGAACCTATTATTGCTCGCATTATGTCAGTCAACATGGCTGCCATCCACACCTCTTCCATGGTATGCACGATTGTTTCTGTCTGGAAAATATCATGACACCTCGCTCTCTAGGCGCTCACCCACGCTATTTTCGATCTCACGACGTACCCGGAATACCTCGAGCCTATGCGTGAAGAAGCGGAGAGTGTCGTCAGGGCGGAAGGCTGGACCAAGTCAGCACTGAGCAGCATGCACAAGATCGACAGCTTCATTAGAGAGACACAGCGGATGCGCGGCAACGGACCAGGTATGTACTTGTTGCTCTGCTTTTGGGAAGCGAGAGCTCGCTTTCTGATCGGCTGCAGTGACTATGGCTCGTAAGGTCATACATCCCGATGGTTTTATGTTCTCGGACGGAGTCAAGGTGCCTCGTGGTTCGTTCATCTATGTCTCGGCAAGACCTGTCCACTACGATCCCAGTGGGTGACACTCCGTCCTTGCTCCATTCCGCCGCTTAACGGACCCGCAGACCTCCACAAGGACCCGGAAGTCTTCAACGGATTCCGTTATTCCCAACTTCGAGAGGAGAAGGCCGATCATCACACCGTCGAGGAAGGCATCTTCAACAGCCATATGGTGACGACGAGCATGGAGCATTTGGTCTTTGGGCATGGCAAACACGCTTGCCCCGGTCGATTCTTCGCGGCCACCGAGCTCAAAGCTATGCTAGCGCACATTCTCATCAACTACGATATCAAAGCCGAGGTGCCTGGTGTCCGCCCTCCGAATCTGGAGCGCGGAATGATGTCAGTGCCGAATGCGACGGCGGGTATCTTCATCCGCAAACGTCAACTGTGATTCAGAGTCCTTGTAACTATGTATATTACCCAGCAGTGTCATCCATACCCCCCTTTTCACAGACTGTTACTTGGCCGTTCCGCCTTATCTCATACAAAGAATCTTATCGATCTGATACCATCAATCTTGCACACGGGACAAAGCTACTCTCGACTTCCATGGCCAAGCGAGCGCTTCTCGTCGTCGACATGCAGGAAGACTTTTGTCCACCGGTAAACCCCTCGGGATGCCTCTCTAGCGATCATCGTTCAGTTTTGTGCAGAGTGGGAGTCTCGCCGTCTCGGGTGGCCGCGATATCGTTCCTGTTATCAACCGCTTACTCTCCTCATCCAAGTTCGACCTCAAGGTCGCAACGAAAGACTGGCACCCAGCGGATCACGTCTCCTTTGCGGCCAATCACCCCGCACCGGGTAACAAGCCGTTCGAGTCGTTCGCCACGATCGTGAACCCCCACAACACGGCGGAGAGATACGCGACACGGCTGTGGCCCGTGCACTGCGTGCAGCACACCCCCGGGGCGGATCTTGTGCCTGAATTGGATGTGTCGAAGATAGACAGGGTCATTGAGAAGGGACAGGACGCGCGGGTCGAGATGTACTCTGCGTTCTCGGACCCTTTCAAGAGCCCATGCGTCGCGCGGAGCGATCTCGGGGCATATCTGAAGGATTGCGGGGTGGGCGAGGTGTATGTCGTTGGGCTGGCGATGGACTATTGTGTCAAAGCTACGGCGCAGGATGCGGTGAAGGAGGGAATGAGGACCTTTGTTGTCACCGATGCTACCAAGGCCGTAGATCCGGGAGAAGGGTGGAGGAGCTCGAAAGTAGAGATGGAGAGTAGTGGGATCATCTTTCTCGAGTCCGGGGATATCTAATCCTGCTAGCTGATAAGATTAGAGGAAACCTACCGTATCCAGTGGGATTCTAGACTGTCAGAACGATCAGCTGCCCCGTCGATGACCCTGAACTACCAATGCCGCTGTTACATAATTAGACATACAGGTCCTCAAGCAGACGTTCAACAGACAGAGTGGACGTCTGACAACGATCTGAAAGCTTGCAAAGTCTCGACTCGGAGCATATTAAATGCCCGCTGATGCCCATATGAGCGTTCTCCACGCATGCTGAGAGTAAGAATCAGAGCGAATTCCTACGGGCGCTCAGCTCCGACTGACATCTTCCACGCAGCACACGCGCGCTGGCCTCGGGGCTATGGCGCGTCCGTTGATGGGGTCAGTTCCGGAACGTGACCGCGGCTGTAACAAAGTTTGTCATGACATTGATGTGCACTGCCGCCGGTCAGCTTTGGCGCACAGCGCTCAGCATAGCTTCCTTCACGCAAGCGTGTCCGCTGCGGACATAGAATATCACGCCCCTACTCATAGCATCTACAACTCCCTCATTCACGTTAGAGACTCGCCACTTGCTCTGCGATGCAGCCTCCACCGCCAACCACATCTGCGGCCGTGTCCCAAGAATCTGCGACTGCCACCGATCTTTCCTTCACCCAAGCACTTGAGCAAACTGGCCCCGAGGAGGTCAGTATCGTCTTGCGCTGAGTCCTGCAGGACAGTGCCTAATAACATGCCCAGTCCTCGATCTTCCTTGCTGCGCAACGTGGAGATATCGAAACGGTCCGCGAACTGCTCGTGTCCGGCAAAGCCCAAGCGACGGACCGGGACCCCCAAAACATCACCGCGCTCCACTGGGCCGCTATCAACGCGCAGGTCCCGACATGTCGGCTGCTACTCGAGCACGGGGCGGAGGTCGACGCACTCGGAGGCGATCTCGTCGCTACCCCGCTGCAATGGGCGGCCCGGAACGGGTATCTCTACGTTATCCAGCTCCTCATCGCGCACGGCGCGGACCCGACCATCACCGACTCGCAGGGGTACAACTCCCTGCACCTCGTCACGCACTCGTCCTCCGTGATGCCGCTGCTCTACCTCCTGCACCAGCCGGTGAACGTCGACTCGCGTGACGCGCAGGGCCACACTGCGCTCATGTGGGCGGCATACCAGGGCGATGCGCTCAGTGTGGACCTGTTGTTGAGGCACGGCGCGTCGCCAACCGTCACGGACGACGCTGGGCTGACTCCGCTCCATTGGGCCGTCGTGCGGGGTAATAGGGTCAGCATCAGGAAGCTGATGGAGAAAGGAGCTCAAATTGGAGCCAAGGACAATGAGGGTCGGACACCACGGGATATGGCGCAGGAGCTGAAGAGCTTGGGCGCTTGGAAACGCGCGCTGGAGGAAGGTGGATGGGATGACGAGGGCATGAAGAAGACTCGACCCCTCAGCGAACGTAATGCTCGAATTGTCATCTTTTGCTTGCCGACGATTGTTTTCTATGTCGTGTTCAAGACGTTGGCCGTCTTGCCCTGGTATACCGGCATTTTGCTTGCCATGGCCGAGTTCTTTGGAATGCATCATGTCGTCACCCGCGTTCTGCTCAACAAGAATAGCTACACCGACACTGTCAGCCAAACGCCCTACTTCGCCGGAATCATCTCTGCGTCGATGATATGGGTCGTTTTCTGCTGGGCCACGCGTTTGATACACCGTGAGTGGCGCAACAATTTATAAGAATGCTGTCTGACATCTGTCAAGAAACGCAATCGCACGCGTTCTCGCACTTGTGCTTTGCACTCGCCGTAGGCCTCTGCGCTTACAACTTCTTCCGCGCCATCACGCTAGATCCTGGAGTTTGTCCCAAGCCCTCCAGTGATGCTGAATTGAAATCAGTGGGTCTTTCTCATCGAACAGTTCCTCTTTTTCTCACCATAGTGCGCAGATAATCGAAGATCTCGCTTCCGAAGGTCGACTGAATGGCCAGACTTTCTGCTTGCAGTGCATGGTATGCGTTCTGTTACACCGGTCTCTCTTCCAGAGATTAATGGACGAACCAGGCGCGGAAGCCGTTACGGTCCAAGCATTGCCGGGTCTGTGACAAATGTATCGCACGGAGTGACCATCACTGCCCATGGGTTTGGAATTGTGGTATGTCAACATCTTGCGAGGCATAACATCTCTCATCCTAATCCAGTTGGCTCTAACAACCATCGGCAATTCCTGATATTCGTGACCACTCTGGTCCTTGGAATCACCCTCTTCGATTATCTGACCTATGCCTGTGAGTGGCAATCTCGTGATAGTGTTCATAGGATTAACATCAGAGCATCAGACTTCTCCTCTATCACTCTCCCTGCTCTTGACGCTTCAGTTCCACCCTCTACATGCCCACTTCCCCAAAATCTGTGTGAAATCACAGCCACTGATCCTTTCCTTGTTGCGGTTACTTTCTGGGCCACTCTGCAGCTGACTTGGACGTTTGTGTTGCTCGGATCCCAATACTGGCAGGTCGCGCGTCAGATGACCACGTTCGAGGTATCCAACCTGGGCCGATATGGATTCATGGGCGGCCGCGGGGGTGCGAGTCTTCAGGGCCAGATGGGCCACAGACACACTCACTCGCAGGAAGGCGAGGGCCTCAACAGTGCCCCCGCAGCTCACGGCCACAGCCACGGGTCCGGTTTCCTGATGAACCTGCTCGGCTTCGATCGGTTTACCCGAGGCAAAGCTGTCGACGGGCTCACGCGTGCCAGCAAAGCTAGCAATCCATTCGATCTCGGTCTAGTCCGTAATTGCCGTGATTTCTGGACGAACGGCAAGGAGCTCGGCGTCGAGTACGAGAGACTGTACGATGTGCCGCTAGAGGGATTCGAGGAAGCCCGGAAGCGCCGCGAGCGGGAAGAGCAGGAGGACGGGCTTTCAGCAGGTGGGAGGAAGAGCTCTGCGAGAAAAGGACTGTTTATGGGCATGGGTCTGGGCATGGGCCGGGCCGGCAGCAGTCGTGGTGGATATGAGCCCATCAGTCAAAGTCAAGTATGATCAGTATTTTACGAAACTTTGACGAAAACCGGTACTTATTTATGTAACGAGTTGGAATGAACCGTTGTAGATTTTTGAAACCTAGGGTCCTCTGTCCACTCAAGTTCCTGGTCTTCGCTGCAAACGGTGGTACAACCAGAGGGCCTGCACCTAATGAAAATTCTCAAGGTTGTTTAGGCAAGACCTCGATGCGAAGGATATCGTTGAATTGATCACCATGAAGATGGGTATGATTACTTATTAGATGATATAGCTTTGAAATTAATCATCGGAGGATTTTAAGTATCATGTTATGCAACGTTTGTTCTAGGACACGGTCACATGAGAAGATCCCTTGCTGAAGTAGCCCTCCGTCGCCACGATCTGGTAGTTGAAGTTGCTGCCGAGGTGCATGCCATGCGCGGCCCACGCGTTGAAGTGGTTGGCAGTGGTGACGGTCCCGGACGAGCGGTGGTTATCGCGGACGGACCAGAACTGGTCGAAGGTCGCGGTGCCTGAGATTGAGGGCGCGTTGACGCGCTTGGTGCGAGAGATCTTGTAGTTCGAGCCGTCCGAGTAGACTGTGCCGACCTGCGCGGTGCCGGTCGAGGGGTTGTATGTTCCTGCGGTCGGCCGGCAGGGTCAGCCAGAGCAGAACAGAAGGGGTGGACAGAATCGCTGTGGGACAAGTCTCACCGAAATTCTCCGTGATATAGTACTCGACAAGCGGGTTTGTCGTCCATCCGTAGACGGAGAGGTAGCTGTTCCCGTTGGGGTAGTACTGCGCGCTATAAGTGATCGACCTGTACCGTCACTCAGCCGATCTGCGCACTGGCTCTACCTGATTGCAGGGTCTACCTGCGGGAGCCCGGGTTCCATCCCTTTCCGCCGACGAAGTTACCGTTCCCGCTCCAGATCACGTCGTAGTGACCTGCAGCACCGTTTGTGTAGTAGACGGTCGCGCCACCGTCCGTCCAGAACGAGTAGAAGAACCCGTTGCTCACTCCCTGGCTGGGCCGCGTGCCGGATCGCGCTTCGATGGCGGTCCCGTTCACTGGGGAGGCGCTGACGGTGATGTTCGCCACCAAGGCGGCGAGGAGCATGGTAAAGAGCGTGGAGAGCATTCTTGCCGATGGAGCGAGAAACAGGGTCGGAATGAGGAGACTACTCTACGGGTACGCATGGACCGAGGCTTATATTGCTGTAAGCAATAAGGGCCGACCGACCGCTCGCTGAATAAATTTGAAAGTCTGGCACCCATAAAGATTCCGGCTAGGGTTCACGAGAAAGGACATGGTCTGTTCTAGGCAACGCAGATCGTGATGCAGAGTTGGGGTCTCAGTGCTACACTGTGACGGTGTCATAGTCATGTCATCAGGTGCATAACACGACGTATCCTCACGTGATCCAGTAGTCACACTACGAGCTCGTGCAATCTCCTCCCAGGCATCATAAAGACCTATGATCCAAATACAGGCTTTCAGGACGTCTAAATATTCAATTCCATTGAAATTCGACTAATCCATGTCAAAATATCGGGGATCGACTAGCACAGATAGCGTTGAATGTGCCGGCAGCGGTCTACAGAGGGTGGCTGTGCTTTGAAGTGCCGCAGAGATGCCACATGTGTCACACTGGAGTGCCGCAGACTTGTTTGCAGTGCCGCAAGAGGTCCCGCCTGAGTGCCGCAGTGTGCCGTGGAGTCTGCGGCACACTGTTCTGGAGTGCCGCAGGAATGAGATCTCCATTGCTGCCGCCGACGACAATGGCGTCTGGAATAGTCCCGCTGCCTGCGCGGATCATTCCCAGGTCCATCAACGTCTCAGCCGACGTGTTGATCGTCGTTGATGTCGTCGAGATCAATCATGTGGAGTATTCGGAGTGCCGCAGGGGTACCGTGGCAGTGCTCCTGCAGCACTTTCAATGAGCCCTATCACCTTAGGTTTTAAAAGCCTCTTTGTAGTCTAGGAGCTACATACTGAGTGCGCATTTCAAAAACAAGCCACAAAGGCAGGAGATTTCCTGAAAATGGCGCGAATTGGCAGGCTCGAGCGCGCCGCCATCAACGACGAGCACGCTTATGACGTCGGGAACGGTCATCAGAGGCTTCGAGTAAGCATATTCACGTCCTCGAGTCACGGAGTGCCAGGACCCCAGCACATCCGATCGATCCATCGGTCGAAATAGACCATGTCCTTTGTCGTCGACCGTATTCCGGCCCAGGGGTGAGGATGTCATCGCACTCGTGCTTCAGGAGGTTTCTGGGTCCGAAGAGTTTCATTGAAAGTGATCGAGGAGGACGGAGCGGACATTTCGAATTCTTGCCCCAGACTGATGAGTACGACACAATCAGCCAGTACTTTCGTATAACGAAGCCAAACAGCTAGCTGCCTGAGAAAGCACATACTGGGTTCCTCCACGGCTGGCTTAACAGTTCAAGAGCACACTACCCTGACGGATTCGCGAGTGTGCTCCGATCTCCGAGTGCCAAGAGCAAGTCAAGCGTGCAAACCCGTTGTGGCTGTATGTCCGGAAGATCCGCACGTGATGAGGATGCTCGCGCGATGCAGCTTGAGTTTGTTGCAACTTCAAGTTAGAGAACAAGTCATCTCCAGATGAAATCCACGAATGCATAGGATCAATTACGGGTTTGTTTATAAATGAGTGACTAATAAGTACATCCTTCGACGACCGATGTTTACGACACAGTCACAGTCGAGGAGCCCTTGCTGAAGTAACCCTCGGTTGCTACGATCTGGTAGTTGAAGTTGCTGCCGAGGTGCATGCCGTGAGACGCCCATGCGTTGAAGTGATTCGCCGTGGTGACCGTTCCAGCCGAGCGGTGGCTGTCGCGAACGGACCAGAACTGGTCGAAGGTCGCGGTGCCGGAGATGGACGGCGCATTGACGCGCTGGGTCCGGTAGATCTTGTAGCTGGAGCCGTCAGAAGTGACCGTGCCGACCTGGGACAGGCCGGTCGAGGGGTTGTATGTTCCTGGAGCTGGTTAAGTACGAGCAGTACGAGAGTCGGCCGACAAAACGCACCGAAGTTCTCTGTGATGTAGTACTCGATGAGCGGGTTCGTTGTCCATCCGTAGACTGAGAGGTAGCTGTTCCCGTTGGGCTTGTACGTCGCGCTGTACTTGATTGCCCTGTAGATCATATCTCAGCCGAGAGTACTTACCTATGCTTGGAAGCCAGCAGAGGCGTAGAGACCTACCTAGCAGAGCCGGGGTTCCATCCCTTGCCACCGACAAAGTTCCCGTTCCCACTCCAGGTCACGCTGTATTGGCCGGCGGCGCCGTTGGTGTAGGTCACGGCGGCACCTCCGTCGGTCCAGAACGAGTAGAAGAACCCGTTGCTCGTGCCCTCGCTGGGTGCCGTGCCGGAACGCGCCTCGACGGTCGTCCCGTTCACAGGGACGGCACTGACGTTCGCCACCAAGGCGGTGAAAAGCAGGGCGAGGAGAGTGGAGAACATTTCAACTAGGGAGGGAGATGAATGAGGAGGGCGGTCGTATGGTTGCGCACCGCCGATCCACCACGACTTTTAAATAGGTCGCTCAGCCCGGCTGCTCGGTGGATAAACTCTGAGGTCACAACGACGGATAAAGCCTCCGGTGTGATCATATGCTGCAGTCTCGAGGTGGATCTATGTAAGTATCCGAGGATTTTCATTGCAACGGCCCGCGGGGAAGAAGTCGTTTGCTATTGACCAATGGTGATGGATGACTGCGGAGGTGCTTTTTTTGAAGAGACACAGCTGAGGGGTTTGCCAGGAGCGACTTTGAGCTCCAGTTCGTCCCCCTTCGGCCCCGAGTTCAGGAACACATGGTTACGGTTGTACTTCGAATTTTGAGCGCGACGAGCGTGTGATCATGATCGTCGGGAATGAAGTAGCGACAGAAACCGTTGCCGGCCGGCACTGATCGGGGGCCGTCAGTCACGCTCGCATTCATTACAGTCATGCTTACAATTGTCTACAGCAGGGAGCTTCAATCCGGAATACTGATTGGTTTTGTGGGTGCGCAAGTGTGGAAGTGGGTGTTGAAGCAGAAATGGGTATTAGCTTAGAGTGGCTGTGCAACACTGCAGAGGCCGTCAGTTGCGCTTCAGAGACCATGTCAGGATGGGATGCATGTGTTCTCTTGTATGTACATACAACAGAAGAATATTAAGAAGTAAGCTGGTCTGCAATGTGCTGAAGATCTATGAAATCTGAAACTCTGGGTTCAGGTCTAGCCCATGAGTTCTGCTGTAAGTAGTATCCCCCAGGATTCTTTTGCTTGAGGGCTGTTGTGACAGCATGGATGAGAACCTGCATGGGCCGAGAATGGCTGCTCTGGTGGCCCAAATCCACCAGCAGTGCCTTGGCCTTGACAGTAAAATTGTAATACATTGCCCAGTGCAAGCAGCTGTCAAACACCACAGCCAACTCAGCTGCTGATTGCCCTGTCTCTGCTTCATAATCAATTGCCTCCAAGGATCCTGCTGAGGTCTCCCCAAGTTTGTCCAGTATTTGCGGTAGCAGTGCATTGGGTGGATCCAAAAGCCGGGATAGCAGAGGCCACATATCCACCTCATGCACTCTATGAGCAGAGAAGTGCCATTGCAATCTGTCCACCCGGTCAACTAGTCCCAGCAAGGCTGCGGTGGTCAATGCCATGAAAAGAGTGGCTTCAGCCTTGTCCGCATCAAAACCATTGAGCCGCTTCACATACTCCTGGGCTGTGAAATGGACAAATCGAACCTCCGAAGCTCCATTGATTTCAAGGAATGATGAGGCACAGCGGCGGATCACATCCCGGGCATCAAATGGATCAGGTGGCTGTGGTGCTCCAGTCCCATTGACCCAGTCCACACCAACCATCACAATAGCTGCTGCAGTTGACTCCTTTAGTGCATATGAAGCCATGGCAATAGCATCAAGCAGATTCTGAGAGCGATGGAAAGACCCATTGGCCCGGAGTCCCTCCATGATCCGATCATATGTTCCTGTGACATCCCGAGGCAACTCTGCCAACTCTTTTTCAATGTCACTTGTTTCGCACATCAGGAGATGGGACATCTGCAATGAGACCAACAGAAACCTGCCATCATCAGCTGACCTGCCATGCACATTAAAGAAAACACTTACATCCCATTTGCCCTCCCTGTCAATATCTCCTCTACCTTTCTCTGAATAGCATGTGACCAATCTGGACGATGCTCCTGGATCTGAGCTCTGACAAAGCTTGAGATGTCCTCTTTACGACTGCCGGCCTTCTCTTCTAGGTTCATCCAATGAGTTGCTTCTGTTTGAAGAACATGGTGGATGTCCTGCTCTGGCCGGCTTGCTAACAAGAGGCGTAGGTTGCTGAGGTTGGCACCATGTAGCTTTCGTAAGAAAGGCAAAAGATCTTGAGTGCGGCCAGGGTTTGGATACTCATCCAGGCCGTCAATGAGAATGATCACATGCTTTGGTGCACATTTGATCATGTCCAGAAGGCACTGGAACAGTGTAGGTGGTGATGCAGAAAGAGTTGATCCACGCTGGTCATAGGACACCCTGAGTTGGTCATGGAAACACCTTGCCTTGGTTGCAAGCTGGTATACCAATGCAGACAGGACACTTTGCAAGTGCTGAGATTTCTCCTCACGATAAGAGATGAATGCAAATGCAATGAGCTCCTTCTCAGTCTCCAGGTGCTCAACCACTGCAGACCTGCCAAGCCAAATGGTCAAAGAAGAAGACCAAAGATGGATTGTACAACATACATTGATACACTCTTCCCAGCACCAGCTGCTGTGTAGTCAGCACAATGCTACAGTGTAGAACTATGATTGCGCTCACGCTTGCCATGGACCCAATACATTGAGTTTTCCAACCCAATCCACTTCTCAAATCGCTCATCAAAGAACCATTCACATGTTCCATCATGCTTGACTTGAGAAAGATCATCAAAACGCTTGCCCGTGTTGTAGGGATCAAGCCATGTTTGGATATGATCCTCAACTAATGAAGACAAGTGAGCACCAGGCAGCAAATACAACTTCAAAACACACCAATCAACCTTTGTATTCCCAATGACACCAGGAGGTTCTCCAGTGATGTGGCAAGGCTCTCCTCCTTGGTGAGCTGGTCAAGCTCATTGAGAGCACCTTGCACATCATCAGATCCAAGCATCTGGAGCACCCAATCCTCTATTATGCAAGTCAGCATTGTAAGCATGTTAGTAAAATAGATCTCACTTATGCGCATCTTTGCTGGCTGGAGCCGGAATTTACTGGGCTTGGGCATTTTCTGGATATACAACGTCAAGAGCCCAAATGTCTTGATTATGAGGACCAGAATCTTCAGCAACGTGTTGTGGAGCAGCTGACGGTGAGCCGCAGGGAGCTTGATGAGATAGATGTCTAGGCGAGTTAAACAGGGCTGGAACCGATCGAGGATGAGTTCCAGCGAGTCGTATTTGGTGCTGACTCTGTTGGTAGCCTGTTTGCCACGCACGCTTCGTTACTTTCTGTGCCACAGGAACGTGTTAGACAGCACTCACCTCGAGCAAGGCCGCAAAAGCAACAAGGATCCCTTTCCCTCCCGGAACCTGGAGGTTGAATGAGCTCGATGGCTCGTGACGCGCAGAATCGATACTCACCACAGCGGACGTCCCTTCAGCCACAGGGTTGATGACGAACTGCAGGACAGCCGTGAGGGGCTTGAGAACGCGTCTGATGCCGTTGTCCTGAGAGCGGAAGTCTCCGAAAGTCTGCTTGTGCTGGGCCAGAATAACGCAGAAATCGTCCACCGTGTTGCATCGCTTCACGTCTTGAGCAAACGGCAGCTCATCCAGCTTCTTCCTAGTGATCCTCTCGTACTCCTCAACGGCTTCGGTGAGCAACGTCTTCCAAGCATCGCCCGATGGAGGAACAGGAGTTCCGGTCAAGTGTAACGGTGGCTGAGAGTTTGCCATGGGCGAGGAGAGTGAGGGAGTTGTGCGTGTGGGAATGCCGCTACCTATCGTCAGACCCTCGCTGCATGTGCGTTGGCAGCCGGTGCCTACTTCGTACAGTGCATCAGATACAGAAGCTGATACAATCAGAGGTGCAGAGATTACAATTGAGTGAGACCCGCAGGATCGTGGCGCCAATCTTGCACGCCGGTCAAACCAACACTCCGGGAACAGCATCCCGTGCGGCCCGCGCCAACGTCGGAGGTGAAAGAGCCGCCCTGGCGGCTGCCTGAGTGACCCCGCACCGGCCGCTAGCAGATCCCATGCTCTCCTTTGCGAACTTTCAGCAGTCGCATACCGCACACGGGGGGTTTCCTGCGCACTGCGAGAGGGAGAAGTTGCGTATGCGACGTGGCACATTGTGGCATCGATCTGTCACTCGGCGTTGCAGCACCGGGTTCTTTCATCTGAGACTGGTCCGATCAGACATGAGCGCTGTTCCGGAAGGCTAACCGCTCGATCGTGACGAGGTCCTGGCGAGTTGCTCTCCAGGGGAGGGTGTCTTGTGTGCAGTCAGCCCAGATCAAAGACAGACACGAGTCGAGCTCGAAGGCTGGTATACCCAATCGTTGGCAGAGAATTTGCATAACCGCAGGATTGCAGACAGTTTCTCGTGTTGCGATCGGAAAGGCTGTATATGAGTTCAGCAATCGTTTTCACAAATGTAAAGGGAGAAAAAACCATCTTCCGGTCATTTGATCCTCCGTCAACACGGGCTGAGTGCAAAATTGAGCGAGGGACCCTGGGACCCTTCACCGGGTGTCGCATCGTGTCTATCAGTCCCGAGGTGAGTCAGGGCGAGGTCCCACTTCTGATAGCACTCGGGATACATAACATGTGCATTGCAGGACCGTACAGATTGATATGTGTATATCCAATCTGACGAAACATTGAGCTAGAGTCGGGCGCAACCCAGGCAGTGAATATACGCACCACAAATGTCTACGTAACTCGTGCTCTCGCCGCGAAACAACAACTGTCACTGAGATCACGCCTGTACTTGTGCACCATGTCCACGGACGGGAAGGGCTCGTTCTCCAGACTCGACCAGAAGAGGATGTTCATCGAGATCGCGGCCGTGAAGAATGTAGGTATGGAGACAAATGGTGTCCCTACGCAGCAGTCAATGAAACACATGCAAAGCACGGAATGCACACTCACGCTCTTACTCGCCAGCTCTGCTGCTCGCTCTGGTACCGACGCGGTGGCCCTTGCACAACATAAAAACGGCCAGACCAGCGAAACAGACACGGCGCACGGTCGCAGCCCACTCTCCATCCGTCATGTGTTAACATCTGAGCGAGTTTGACTTGATCCCCGCGGAAACCCATCGACCTGCCAGAGCCTCCTATTCCAACTGATCGAATCGGTCAACTCTGTCTACGAGCTCGAGATCTCAATCCAGTGGCGCAGCAGTGAAAGAGACCAGAGAGCTCAAAGCCCGGCCGAAGTCAACTCGCCCGGGATAGGAGTGGGGCAAGTCGATTGTGAGACGCGTGTGCCTCATGATCTCCGGGATGGTTGCTGGAGCAGTGGAAACATGAGGGTGGATTCGATTGGGCTCTCTGAGCGGGTTGAGAGGGGGGGGTCGGATCGTGCCTCTGCGCTGAGGCCAATGTCATTGACCACGCGAGAGTGCAAGAATGTCTGAACACACCGTCAGCCCTCTGAGATGAGCCTCGTCCTGGAGAAAAAACGAGTTGCATAGCAGCCCATTTGAGATTGTGCTAGAGGACTGGTCCGTTCTGATGACCTTGGGCGCCACGTCGTTGCGGGCTCTACAGTTCGTTGTCCGAAGCTTCCCGTCCATCGCCTCCGCACGAAAAGCGAAGCAGCCGGTTTCGAGAATGCTCGTTGCGGGAAAGTTGTTGTACTCGAGGTCTGGATGTACAACCATCCGTCTCGTGAGAAAATTCACGCCGGCGATGATATGCGGCACGAATATTTGCGCGAGATCTTCTTCGAGAGATGCATGATCGAGGGCGTACTCAGGGAGCACACCTACACATATTCGGGAAGACGATGTCCTCAGGTGTCGTGATGATTCTGAAGCGTCCAAGTGCCCAGTGATTGCGGTGATAGCGGACGGGCAGACCATGACGCAGACGAGGATGTCTGAGCACCGGAACGTAGAATGGAAGGGTTCAAGTTGCACGCGCGTGTTCATGCGGCCATTTGCAGCAGCAGCGTCCGATGGAGACTTCAAGGAGACCCCGACGCCCGGGGCTAGACTTGAGGTGGTGTCGAGCGGATGTAAAATAGACAGACACGTTAGGCCGTTCCGAACCTCCCAGCGGCGATTTCCCTGAGCGACATGTGCACCCTGGACTGATGTCGAACGGACTGGTCATGATAGCGCTGGAAGACAGGTTACGGTTGATGACTCAGATTGATCACGATATCTGTGATTGGCAACACCCGCACCCACTCTCGCTCTCGCAGTCATCAAAGCCAGACCTGATTTTGGGGCTGTTCTTCTCTGTGCGTCCCTGCTGGCAACAGATCGTTCGCTACCTCGACCGTTCAAGTCGATGCTGCATCTAGTAGCGTACTGATTGACACGAAGTGCGAATGATAACAGTCAAGTGATGTATCCTATTAGTCCAAATATCAACTCCATGTAGGATATGGAAGCCGTAGCGAGGAAATGTAGACATGCCAGAGGCAGATAAGCGAGCGTCACGCGTCCATCAGTACCGGCGTAGCGGATAGCTGTCACAGGAAGAGCGTTTTGGGTCAGACTAGCGGTGCTGAAGGAACAGATGTGATCTTCCAGTAGACACTGCGTCCCCACCGAATATCATGCCCAGGTCAAGCCACGTCGCACCGGCCAAGACATCGGTGTTCAGGAGACGAGAGGCGTGCGTACGGTTCCATTTTACACGCCTATGAAGAGAGTCTCATCGGTGTGGAGTGTCGAAGAGGTGTAGAGACGAGGGATAGACGCGAGGTATGGAAAATGGCCGACGCGCAGACAATCTGCAGGACATCACACGCAAGCGCGCATTGTCATAAAACCAGCGCTGCAGCAAGAGAGACGGACATAGTCTCAAAAAAGAAATCCTTGGCATCGACGGCCCTGATGGCTTTGGGCGCCAATACAGCATGCTTAGAAATAGCAAAGTAGCCGGGGCTTTGCAATCAAAGAATTCGTCGTCGAGTGGAGGGCTTTCTCGAGCATGAGATTCCGACCTATGACCGTCCTTGTATGCTTAAAATTCACGCCAGCAATGATCTGCTGGAAGTGGCTTCCCGTGAGATCCTTGTCGAGAAGTGCGCGAGAGAACACATGAATCGCTCACCGTCAGCATATCCGAGCGCGAAGACGACGTGCGCAGGTTCAGTGATGGTTGACAGCCCTGGCGTGCGGGGCGGCAGACACCCGGGGCACCCTAGAGCGTGGTGCGTGAGGATGTCTCGCAACATGCAGTAGTCTTCAAATTCACAACAAACGCGGGTTTTCATCCTACTTCTGGGAGCGTCCCAAAACTGTCGAAGCGACCCAGCGTCATGAGACCCCGTAGAAGGCCTCTCCGAGAAGATGCTCGAGGGTTGTGTCGGGGCGCATGCAAGATGGTCATGCTCTTGGACTGTCTCCGACAGGCCAGCCACAATGTCGTCACAAACGATGCGCATCCGGAGCTTTGCAGGATGGGAGTAGGGTCGGTCTGCTGTCGACTGGAATGAGAAACGATGGTTTGTGAACAACAGCCTACACCTCTGCTCTCGCTGCTTCTGAGACCGTGCTTGATTTTGGTGGCTCGACATGTCGGATGATGCCCACACGAGCTTCATGGCCCCCATATGCACTTGTGACGAAATCGAGACAGCTGACGCCGATGCCTCGAGTCGACTGAGTTGTCGCAACTGTCTGGCCAACGCTCCTGTGGTTATGCTAAGTCGACACACGATACGACTGTTTGTGCACCAAGTCGGACCTGCGGTCTTCGAGCGCCGGGTACTTCTGTGTCCCACAGATGGATATCTGTAACGTTCTTAGAAGGAGCGTCGATACTGACCGCACGATCTCACATTGGTGCCTGCGTCTCGGTTCACCGGATACCACAGCAATCGGGCCCGTAATTTAGGCCCACGCATCGCAGTGACCTGCACATAGATCTCCCGTGGGAATTCACAGGCGGCCTCGAGCTTCAGATCCCCAATCCCGTTTCGAGCGTATCTTGTATGTTTCCCCGACGATTCATTGCCAGATCTCGGGCCATTCATCGACCTCCTCCGCACCAATACAGCTCAGACGATTCATGAAATGACTCTCGACCCCAGCCAGAGCATGTCAGAAGTCTCGGCAAGCAAACTTTGGACCACGCATTGGTCGTCGTTTCTGGGAGTCATCGATTGGAACGAGTCCGACACGGGAATGCATTCGAGTGAGCTCTCTGCGTGGATTTCCGATTCAAGTGGGTCGACAAAACGTGCTTCAGCACTGAGACAAGGTAAGTGACCACGTGAGAGAACGAGCAGGTCGCGGCCCTCCACGTCTTCAGCCAACGGCAGCTTGTTCAGCTGCTCCCCAGTGATCCTCTCGCGGTTTTCGATTGTATCATTGGGTAACGTCCTCCAATCATCGTCTCGAGCAATGGCCGGGATCGTGGACGAGCACAATGAGGGCCGTGAGTTTGCCATGGGAGCGGAGCAAGAGGGGGGCTTGCAGGGACTGCGCTACATATGTTCATGGCCTCGCCGCATGCGCACGAACCAGAACTAGTCGAAGGTCGCGGTGCCGGAGATGGATGGCGGATTGACGCGCTGAGTCCGGGAGATCTTGTAGCTGGAGCCCTCAGAGGTGAGTGTGCCGACTGGTCACTGGGGACAGGCCGATCGAGGGATTGTATGTCCCTGGAGCTGGGTAATTAAAAACAGTGGAAAATGAAGCTGACAAAGCGCAAAGTCCTCTATGGTGCAGCACTCACTCAGAAGGCTCGCGGTTTATCCGTAGACCGAGAGGCAGCTATTCCCGTTGCGCCTGTACATTGTGCTGTACTTGATTTAGCTGAGGGCCAATTCGCTCCGCGGGTCCCATGCGTACATTGTGCATCTGACTATCCGGCTAAGTATTTTCGAGTGCGCTGCGGATAGAGCGGGTACGCCGACGCAGGATCGGGCAATGGCATTCCGGTGGCTGTGCGGTATGGAAAAGACGGTGTTAGTTCCAGTCATTACAGGCTTTCTGTCGAATCTACGGAGAACTGTCCTCCACATCAGCTGTGCACTGGAATTGTATGCAATGCGAAACAGCAGGGTAAATGCGAGCCCAAGAGTTCTTGTTGAAGTAGTAACTTCCGGGATTCTCCTGTCCGAGAGCCACTCTGGTTGCACGGATGAGAACCTGCACAGGCCGAGAATGGCTTTTCTCGTCGCCCATCTCGGCAAGCAGCGCCTCGGCCTTCTTGAAGAACTTGCATCTCATCGCCCAGTGCAAGCGGCTGTCGAACACCGCAGCCAACTCGGCAGATGACCGCCCCGTCTCGGCTTCGTATGCGATTGCTCTCTCTGAACCCGCAAAAATGTTTCCAAGTCCATCCTGTATTTGTGGCAACAGCGCATCCGGTGGATCGAAAATGCGGGACACCAAACGCTGCACATCCACCTCGCGCACGCGTCCTGTCAAGCGAGACCAACCCCCCCTCCCGTCCCAAGGAGTAACAAGTTTCAGCACCACCGCGGTGGTGAACGCCGTGAAAAGAGTGGCCAAGGCCTCGTTCTCGTTGAAATCCGCAAGTCCCTGCACATACTCCTGGGCTGTAAAATGCACAAATCCAACCTCCGAGTCTCCATAAATCTGAAGAAATGATGAGCCGCGCCGACGGATGACATCGCGGGCATCAAACGGATCCGGTGGCTGTGGTATTCCAGCGTTGGCCACCCAGTCCAGGTCGACCATTGCGATAGCTGCCGCTGTTGATGCACGCAAGCTATAGATTGGGGACGTTTGAACAGCCACAGAATCAAGAAGACGCCGAGAGCGATGGAAAGACGAAACATCGACCCGCAGTCGCTCTATCATCCGATCATACGTCCCTTTGACGTCCGCAGGCAGGTTTTTCAGCTGTCTTTCGATGTCGCCCGTTTCGCACGTCAAGAGATGAAACATCTGCAACGATACCCACAGAAACCTGGCACCATCAGCTGACTTGCCATAAACATCGGAGCAACCACTCACATCCCATTTGCCCCCCTAGTCAATGCCTTCTCCACCTTTTCCCGAACTGAAACCGACCAATCCGGATGATGCTCCTCCATCTGAGCCTTGATGAAGCTCGAGATATCTCCTTTACGACTGCCTGCCTTCTCCTCAAGGTCCAGCAGATGAGTCGTTATTGGTTCCAGCACACGCTGGATATCCTGCTCCGGTCGGCTCGCCAACAAAAGACGCAAGTTGTTGATGTTGCACCCATGAAAATTCCGCAAGAAAGGTAAAAAATCCCCAGCGCGCCTGGGGTTGGGATACTCGTCCAGCCCGTCCATGAGAATGATCACCCGCTTGGGCGCACTCTTCAGCATCTCCACAAGACACTGGAACAGTACGATCCGAGAGGCAGAAAGAGCCGACCCGCGCCGATCATATGCTATCTTTAGCTGGTTGTGGAAACACCTCGCCTGAGTGGCGAGCTGGTAAACCAATGCCGACAGGACACTTTCCAAACGCTGGGATTGTTCTTCGCGATAAGAGATAAACGCAAACGCAAAGAGCTCCTTCGATGTCTTTAGATGCTCAACAACCGCAGACCTGAAATGCAAAATGGTCAGAAAGGACGACGCAAGACAGCTCATGGAACCCACATCGACACGCTCTTCCCAGCGCCGGCTGCGTTGCAGTCAGCCTAATCCCACGGTGCGGTAACGTCATTGTGCTCACGCTTGCCATGGGCCCAATACATCGAGTTTGGCATCCCAATCCAATTCTCAAATCGCTCGTCGTAGAACCAATTACATGTCCCGTTATGCTTGACTTCGGAAAGATAGTCAAAGCGTGTGCCTGTATCATATGGATTGAGCCAGGTTCTGATATCTTGCTCGACTGATGCATATGCGGTGAGCACCTGCAAGTAAAGACAAGCTTAAAGCACACCAATTAACTGTTTTGTTTCCACCGACACTAGGAGATTCTCCAGCGATGCAGCAAGCCCTTCTTCCTTGGTCAACTCATCGAGCTCGTTGAGGATCCCTTTAACATCGTCGAATCCAAGCATCTGGAGCACCCAATCCTCTGTCAGAATACGAGTGAGCCTTGTGAGGATGTCCGCAAAACGGGTCTTACTCATGCGCCGTCTCACTGCCTTGAGCCGGGGATTTTTGAGCTTGGGGCTTTTCCACAGATACGATGTAAGGAGTCCGAACGTCTCGATCATGAGGACGAGGATTCTAAGCAACACACCCCGGAGCAACTGACGGTGGCCCGAGGGAAGCTGCACAAGATAGATGTTCAGGCGAGTCAGACATGGCCAGAACCGATCAAGGATGAGCTCCAGGAAGTCATATTTGTAGCTGACTTTATTAGCAGCCTGTTCAAGGTACACGCTTAATGGTGTATGCGCCACGGGAACGTGTCGGACAGCACTCACCTCAAGCAAGGCCCCAAAAGCAACAAGGATCCCTTTCCCTCCCGGAACCTGAAAGTTGAATGAGCACGACGGCTTGTGACGCGCAGAATCGAAACTCACCACAGCGGACGTCCCTTCGGCCACGGGATTGATGGCGAACCGGAGGACAGATGTGAGGGGCTGGAGAACGCGCCTGATCTTGCTGTCCTGAGAGCGGAAGTCTCCAAAAGACTCCCTGTGCTGGGCCAGAACAGCGCAGAAATTGTCCACCGTGTCGCATTGCTTCAGCTCTTCAGCAAACGGCAGCTTATCCAGCTTCTTCCTAGTGATCCTCTCGTACTCCTTAATTGCCTCGGGGAACAACGCCTCCCAAGAATCGTCCGACGGGGGCAAGCACAATTTGGTCTGAGAGTTTGCCATCGGTGAGGAGAGCAAGGGGGTTGTGTGGGAGTGGCGCGAAATACAGCGACAGCCTCACACCGCATTCATCAGAGGCAGAAGCTGTGACGATGAGCAGCGCAAAGATTAGAAATGAGTCTGACTTACAGCATCATAGCGCCAAACTCGCGTCCCTGTCAAACCAGCACCCCGTGGACGATCTCGCGTGAGAACCGCATCAATGTCCGTTGTGAGAGAGCCCCCAAGTACGGTCCGCAAGATTGACCCCGCGCCAACCGCCAACAGATCCCATGCTCTCAGAAGCGAACGCCCTGCAGCTCTATGCCGCACTTGTGGAGGGGGGAGGGGGGAGTTCCTGCGCACTGCGAGAGGTAGAAGTTGCGCATGCGACGAGAGACATCGTAGCATCGGTCTGTGGCTCTGCATTATAACACCAGATTTTCTCATTTGAGGCTGGTCTGATCAGACAGCCGGTCGAGCTCATTGAGAACATGACGGGCTAAGCACTGGGTCGAGACGAGATCCTGGCGACTTGTTGTCCGCAGAAACTCTGCCGTGTGTGCTGTCACCCTGGATCAAGGCAGTCAGAATTATATGATTCGCATGGAAGGAACATGCCACGATCAAGGCTTCGTTCCCATCACCGCAAGATGAGGCTCGGTCGTTCCGCGTTATGGGCAGAGATTTTTCGAAAATTGGTACAGTCTTTCACATTCCAAGCAGGGGCATTCTGTTCATTAGGGCCGGAGTGAGTCGACGCACGATATGACTTCTTGTGCACGAAGTCAGGCAGTAGAATTGTGAGCACCAAGTCTGCATTGCAAGACAGTACAGATTAGTGTATATATGAATCTGACGGGGCATTGAGCTGGAGCCAAGCGTAACACGGGCAGTGATGACACGTACCACGAACAACAGCTACCACTGAAATTGCACCCGTAATTCCACACCATGTCCACCGGGTCAAAGACATCCTGGAGCACAGAGGCGCGCTCGTCATCCGGATCTCGAATCGCTATGTGGAGTGCTTCTCGTGCCCTCCCTGGCGGGTGTTTGTCGGCCGGAGGGTTGGCAAGACATTCCCAAGACGCGAAACTCGATGGTGCGTCACTGCGTCCGCGTCGTCTGAGCCTGGAAGCTCATCGGATTCGTCATATCCTCATCGTAAATGCCCTGCTCCGGCTCCCCCAGAAAGCGACGTTCGTCGAGATCGGGACTGTTGGGGGTCAAGGCGTTGGAAGAGACTTCAGTGGAGGCAGGTTTGACACGCACTTGAGACAACCCCGAGCGTCCCAGTCGCGATATCCCTGACGAATAATGTACGTTCCGAGCTTTGCAGGACCATGTTTATCACGACGGGAGGGTCAGGACGGGTGTCCACTGAGGTGATCATGAGAGTTCCAGTCTGAGGTCAATGACAGATAGAGATCTGCGATCGGGAACACCGGACTCTGGGCCAGATTCTCACTTCACTCTCGCAATGATCGAAGGCAGACCTGGTTTCGAGCGACGTTCTTCTCTGAGCGTCCGCACTGACACTAGATAGTTCGTGACCTCAATCGCTGAGCTTCTGGTCCTGTGCTTAGTCCAAGTCATCGCAGTCAGTGTACAGTATCCCATTAGTACAAGTATCAACAAAATCCCACACTTGTGCTTCCACCTTGGCACACAAGAGACCACCAAGATCGTGCCCGTATTTGCAGTCCATATCCATCAACGTCACCAGCGCATCGATCTCCTATGGCATTCCAGAGCCGAGCTCCAGATTCCGACCCCCCTTTTTGTGAGGGTGTCGTGTGTTTCGTTGAATCCCTCCCAGATCTCAAACCATCCGTCGGCCTCCTACGCATCAACACAGCCCAGCCTATCCACAGACTAAAACTCCCGATTCGACGTTGCAGGAAGAGAAGAAGAGTTCAGAGAGTGCAAGGCCCGGCCACAGCACCCAGCATGGAGGCGGGCGGGTGAGATGTCTCGGTGACCAGACTTGGGACCACGCATGTTTCATCATTTCTGGGAGAGTCGTCGGCTGGAACGAGTACAACGCAGGTATGCATTCCATCGGGATCTCTGCATCGATTCAGGTGGTCTGGCAGATCGAGCTTCAGTGCAGAAACAATTTCAGTGACCATGCAGTGAGGGAGCGAGAAGGGCCAACAGAGATTCGATCCTCTGAGATATCTCGGTGATGCTCACATAGTCGGAAGGGAGCAAGCCACACCGTAGAACGTGCAAAGACCAAATTGACCGAGTCCCCAAGTGGAGCATTCGTCGCGGTGATCATGTTTTCCAGCTGGGGTCCCGGTTGGGGGTCGTCCTTTGCGCATGGAGTCCACTCCTGCGATGATATGCTCGAGAAATCTACGCGCGTGACCGCGGTGGAGCGTTCGTGCCCGTGCTTGCACATGGAGTGTGTGCCTCTAGAAGATTCCCAAGTACGATTTCATCCGGGAATTCGAATGGGCCGGCAGCCCGTATTCATGAGAAGCGCATGAGGGATTCTTTGGCTTGGTCGGGATACGATTTCTCAGCATCGAAGTGTATTCGCTTCCGCGCCGTACGCGCGTTTTCGTCCCAAGATCAGCAGCAGCAGCTTGCGATATTCTGTCATGACGGGAGGGTCAGGGACGGTTCCGCCGAACTTCGTCCGGCGGCCGAGAGTTCCAAGAAAGCTCCGAGGCCAATGACGACGGCCTGTCATCGATGCATCGCCGACACCTCTGCCGGCTCACCCGCCCGGACCGACATATGTGGCGATGGGGATCCACGGAAACAATTTCGATCTCGTACGGCGCGTCGCCAAGATATTCAAAGTGCAATGGAGCTTGATCTAATATCGACTAGTCCCTAATCTCTATGTTTCCTCACCCGGCGCTGATGTGACCTGTCGTGCTCGTGAGTGAAACCGCACCGTCTTCCAGTCTTGGGAAATCTCGAAAGCTTGCCCCTGGTTCAGCCATTCTGTTATCTGTGAGCATCCACAATGACCGATGCATCAGGGTGTTTATGGGTGATCGAGAGACCGGCACAAGTCGAATTTGAGATCAGAGTAGACATGGCATATTGTACAGCGGATAAAGTCCAACACCGTGGATTACACCATCCAGAAACTCATAAGAGCCCCCGAGGTCCGACAAATATTTCGAGTCTGTTGATTCCGGGGGGCATCAGAGCAATACCATCGGACAGCTTGTGGCCTGAGGTCAGCCGGCTGCACCACAGACGACCACAAACGAGTTCGGCTTCAGCGTGGGGGGCTCAAGAAGTGTCGCGGGCTTCAAAACGTCCAGGGCAGGCGCGTGCACAGGTCGACATGACGACGTGCGCAAGAGAAAGAAAGCACAGAGCAGCAACATAGGCAACAACGTAGGCAACAACCCCCGTTCCATTGGCATGGTCTCGCCTACAGCCTCGCATTTCGGTGGTCGAGTGCGCTGGCTGATATTGAGATTGGTCTCAATCCAGCGGCGTCTCACGAGTCGGCTCGTCGTCGTTCTTAGGACAGTCCTCGTCGTTGCTGCTGACCGAGTGTACGCCCATCACCTCCGTGAAAAGGACTAGTGGATCTCTTCCTTGATTGCGAGCGGTCAACAGTCCAGCGCACGTCCATTCGAGGACCGAAATCAAGCCATGAAGAAGAATGGTAGAAAGCACAAAGCACCAGCATCTCCAGGTCCAACGCCCGTTTCTATTGTCCAGCACGGTCTTGATGACACTCAAGCAACGGGATCGGGGCCACCTCTCCATTGTCTTCCCAGCGCTATTCACCCCGAATCGTCTGAGCGGCACGGTTGGATCAGATTGAGAATCTCTGTGCGCTGCATCGCCCATAGTCGAGGCCGGATAGCGCCCACCGGCAGTGGGGCAGAGGGAGCTCGTATTCTGCCAAGAGCATCGAGCTGACATCGTTGATGATTCGGTTATCTCGGATGCCCTTAGGCGCCTTGACCTTATGAGGATCCCAATCGCTGTTTCGACAGTATCAGACTGGAGGCAGAGCGCGCTTCGTTGTACACGCACCAGTTAAAAACGCTTCGGCCGCCGGAACGACATCAGTCAGTGTCCGTCCCCTGTTGTGGCCTGCACATCCCTCTGAGGAACGATCCTACTCATGTGCTGAGTGGCCATGGCCGATTTCCCGAGCGCACCAGAGAGACAGCAGTGAATCACCTCTCCGTGTCGATCGGAAGAGCGCTCGCAATACTGCGTCCAGCCGATGCCCCAAGCTGCACGTGATCTCACATCGTAGGGGTCCTGAGTAGCGATAGATCCATTTGGATGGCGGGAGTCATTGACGCAATAAGAGAGTCGGGCGCTGCGTGCGGCATCGATTGAGTGGATGCAACAGATCAGAGAGTGTAAACGGCGGATACGCTGGTCCCACGCCCAACCTGACAGAAGATTTGGGAGGCTTTAAGCAGTCAGGTCCGTCACAAATCGATTGGTGGACCGAGACTCACCCCTCAGCATGTAAGCCAGTACGAAACCGATCTTGCTGGGATCAACGGACTTTCGATCGCATGAAAAGCGCAAGTAGCTTCAAAATCACGGCGAACGCGGGTTTTCATCCCACTATCGGCAGCGACAGCGTTTCACAACGCGTCAGGGACATCCGGCGTCACGAAACCCTGCGGCAGAGCGGTGCTCTGGGAAGATGCTTGATGGCGGTATCGGGAAGCATGCGAAATGGTCAGCCTCTCGAAACGTCTCCAACCGGCCGACCACGATGTCGCTGCGAACGATGTGCATCCAGAGCTCTTTGAGATGGGAGCCAGGTCTCGCTGCTTCCGAGCTCGTGCTTGGTTTTGGTGGCTGGATGTCTAGAATGTCCCCCACACGAGCGTACTGCTGCCCCCCCCTATGCACTTGTGACGAAATCGAGACAGCTGACGCCGATGCCTCGAGTCGGCTGAGTTGATCGCAACTGTCTGGCTAACGCTGCTGTGATTATGAAAAGTCGACGCCTGATACGACAGCTTCTGCATCAAGTCGAACCAGCGGTCCTCGAGCCCCCAGGTACTTCTCTGTATCCCACAGATGGATGTCTGCAACAACCTTATGAGGAACGACAATACGAAACCGCACAAACTCACACTGGTGCTTGCGTCCCGGTTCACCAGATACCACAGCGATCGGGCCCGTAATTTAGGTCCACGTCCATCACCGTGACTTGCAAATAGATCTCCTGTGGCATTTCAGAGGCGGCCCTGAGCTTCAAATCTTGAATCGCATCTCGAACCATTCATCGACCTCTTCCACATCAACACAGCCCAGACTATCCAGCGACTGACTCTTGACCCCAGCCACACCATGATGGGATAGGGATAGAAGATGTGAGAATCTAGGAGAGTTGTCGATTGGAACGTGTCCGGCACGGGGATGCATTCAAGCGAGCTCTCTGTATAGATTGAGCTGGGTCGACACAACGTGCTTCAGCGCTGAGACAATGTCAGTGAGCACGTGAGAGAACAGGCAGGGCCAAACAGACTTTCGATCATCTGGGACAGCTCGGAGTCTCTGGGCACAGTTCAGCTGGTAGAAGTTGCCCTGGAGCTGGTCGTTTCTCGCGCTGGTCAAGTAATCAAGTGGCAGTTTGTACAAATCTACATTACGTCAGATCGATACAATTCGACTACACTCTCTTTCTCCAGAGGACGCGAGAATCCGACATCGAGGAAGAGGTTACATGGCGCACCAAATCTGATCGTAGTAGACTGCACAGGCGCGCCGCTGGTCAGCGAGTGAAACCGAAACACCAAACAATCACAACGCACCGATCCTATGCACAGCAACATCGAGCTCCCAACCCTGTCCGGATCGTCCGCTGCAGCTTGGCATCCGTCTCTACATCAACACTGCTCGGCGCCTCGTCCAGTACGATGATCGGGCTGTTTTTTACCAACACTCGACAGAGGAGAGCAGTTGCTTCTCGCCGGCGCTGTAGTTCGGTCTCATCGCCGATGGTGGAGTTCAGACTGAACTTGGATTCGGCTATGGGGTCAGACGGTTCCCCGGGTCGCGGCAGTAGCCATGCACGCTGCAGCACGGTTAACAGCTCTGCGTCCGTCCTCGAGTTTTGTGGGTCCCTAGTAAACGCAGATCAGTTTCAGCAGCGCGTATTTGAGACCAAAGGATGACGCACTAGTTCTCGCGCAGAGTGCCCAAGAACAGCACACTGTCCTGTGGGACGAGCGTCAGCCGGCCTCTTAACACATCCAGACCAACTTCGGCAATATTCGCTGCGTCAATGCTGACTTCACCCGATTGCAGCCCAACTACGCGGAACAAGCACTGCAGCAAAGAGCTTTGCCCGCCTTGGTCAAATCGACAATACCGATCTTCTTCCCGGCCTTAACGTCGAAGCTGACGCCTTTGATCACGAGCGGACGAACTTCGCGATAACCCATCTGGATGTCCTTTTGGTTCATCGCAAAACTCTTCCGCCATGTCGCAGCCCTCGACGTCTTCAGCCAACGGCAACTTGTTGAGCTCCTTCCCAGCCATCTTCTCGTGCTTTTCGATCGCATCGTAAAGATGGGTCTTACAACTATCGTCTCGAGCAGTGGCCGGGATCGTGAGCGGATACGATGAGGGCTGTAAGTTTGCCATCGGAGAGAGCAGGAGGGGAGCTTGCAGGAACTGCACTGCATATGTCCAAAGCCTTGCCGCATGCGCACGGACCAGAAATGGTCGAAGGATGGAGTGCTGGAGATGGAAGGCGCATTGACGCGCTGTGCTCGGTAGATCTTGCCGCTAGAGCCGTCAGAGGTGACCGTCACAACCTGGGACAGGCCGGTCGAAGGGTGGTGTGTTCCTGGGGCTGGGTAAGTACAAGCGGGGCAAGAGCCGACTGAAAAATATTACTGGAGTTCTCCGTGATGTAGTATTCGATGAGCGGGTTCGTTGTCCATCCGTAGAGCAAAAATAGCTGTTCCTGTTGTGCTTGTACCTCGCGCTGCACTCGATTAAGCTGCAGACCTCAGGGCCGATTCGCTCAGCAGGTCCCATGCATACGTTTTGGATATGACTGTCCGGCTCAGTAATTGCGAATGCGCTGTGGAAGACACGGAGACCGCAGTGCAAAGCGGGATGGGCATCGAATGGCATTCTAGAGTTCCGGCGACTATCAGGTGACAGTGGCTGTGCGATACGGAAAAGCGGGCACGCCGCGATGTTATTTCCAGTCCTTACAGGCTTTCTGTCGAGTCTCCGCTAGATGTAGCTACAGAGAACCAGTCCTCCCTGTCAGCTGCGCGCTTGAGTGCTTCGCACTCCGCGACACTGGGGTACCAGGTAATCCATGAGTTCGTGTCGAAGTAGTGTTTTCTGGGATCCTCCTGTCTGAGGGCTTCTCTGATCACGCGGATGAGAACCCGCACAGGTCGAGAATGGTTTTTCTCGTCGCCCATCTCGGCAAGCAGCGCCTCAGCCTTCTTGGGTAAATTGCATTTCATCGCCCAGTGCAAGCGGCTGTCGTACACCGCAGCCAACTTGGCGGTTGACCGCCCCATTACTGCCCGTGAGCCTGCAAAAGTCCTTCCGAGTCCTTCCAGTATTTGTGGCAACAGCGCATCCGGCAGATCAAAAATGCGCGATAGCAAAGGCTCCACATCCGCCTCGCGCAGGCGTACCCCCGAGTTAGGCCATTCCCACTCGTCCCTCGGATGAACAAGTTTCAGCAGCGCCGCGGTGATAAAGGCCGTGAAAACAGTGACAAAGACCTTGTGCTTGTCGAAATCCGCTAGTCCCTGCAAATACTCCTGGGCTGTGAAATGGACAAATCGAACTTGCGAAAATCCATCAATCTGAAGAAATGATGACCCGCACCGACGGATCACATCGCGGGCATTAAACGGATCGGGTGGCTGTGGCATTCCGTTGTTGACCACCCAGTCAAGGCCGACCATAGTGATAGCCGCCGCAGTTGACTCATGCAAGCTGGAATTGGAGACCGTATAGAAGACCACGGCATAGAGAAGACGCTGGGAGCGATGGAAGGACCCATTAGCCCGAAGTCGTTCCATGATCCGGTCATATGTCCCTTTGACGTCCGAAGGCAGGTTTGCCAGCTCTTCTTCAATCACATCGGCATCACATTCAAGGAGACGGTCAATCTGCAGTGAGACCCACAGAAACCTTTGCTCTTTGAGTCACCCATGCCAACATATCATATCAGTGACTCACATCCCATCAGCCTTCTCATTCAAAGCCTTCTCTGCCTTCTTCCGAGTGGCAATGGACCAACGTGAGCAATGTTCCTCAAGCTGAGCATGGACAAAGCTGGCAATGTCGTCTCCGCGAATCTTCTTTTTGTCTTCAAGGTCAAGCCAGTGAGTAGCTAGTGGCTTGAGAGAAGATTCAATGTCATGCTCGGGTCGGCTTGCCAGCAAAAGCCGCAGGTGATGGATCTTGGCAGCATGCAGTTCTTTCAAGAAGGGTAACAGGCTTTTTGAGCGTTCAGGATTTGGATACTCGTCTAGTCCATCGATCACAAGAATCACACGCTGCGGCAAGGTCTTCAGCATCTCCATGAGACATCCAGACACTGTCTTCTGCTCTGCTGTGAGACTTGCGCCTCGGTTGTTGTACGCCGCTTCCAATATCTTGTGGCACAGTTTCATCTGGGTGGCGAGCTGATAGACCAGTGACGACTGGATATTCGGCACGGTCTGCGACTCCGCTTCACGGTACGTGACAAAAAAGAAGGCAAATATATGATTGTGTTGCTGTAGACGCTCGACCAGGGCGGACCTGCAAAAAAGCATTGTCAACCACGAGACCATGGAAAGAGCCGTGATACATACATCGACACGCTCTTCCCAGCACCCGCTGTAGTGCCATCAGCACACCGTGCACATTGAACAACGTCACATCACCCACGTTTGCCATGTACCCAGTACAATGCGTTGGGCGTCTCAAGCCAGTCGTCAAATTCCTCGTCAAAGAGCCATTCGCAGGTCCCCTCATGCTTATCATTGCGTAGATTGTCCAAGCGAATGCCCGTGTCATACAGTTTCAGCCACGTCTTGATGCGGTCTTCGACTGTTCACGAGTCAGCGCCAAGCGCATCAGAAGGGAGGAAATGGAGACCTATGTTGTTATGAACAGTCCCGGTGAGTAATATGTTCTGTCTTGACGCTATTTCGGCACCCAAAGCGGCAAATTCAGCGCCCTCAGCGGCAGTTTGAGCACCTTCGGCAGCGACCTGAGCACCCAAAGCAGCGACATAAGCGCCGTGAGCAGCAGATTCAGCGCCCAAAGCAGCAGCTTCAGCGTTCTCGGCAGCGACTTCGGCGTTCTCGGCAGCGACTTCAGCACATTCAGCAGCAATTTCCGCGCCCTGGGCTGCGTCTTGTGCACCCTGAGCAGCAAATCGAGCCCCCAGCGCAGTATCCTGTGCAGCCAGTGCGGCCGATTGAGCCTGTTCTGCCGCTGTTCGTGCCCTTTCTGCCGCAATCAGGCTTTCCATCACAGCAGCAAGCTCTTCTTGCTTGGTAAGCTCGTCGAGCTCACTGAGAGCATCTTTCGTATCATCGGCTTGCAGCAGCTGGCCTACCCAATCCCCTGTCACAGGTGCAAATCAGTGCGGGGCTAATTGGAGCAGCCTCGGAAAGAAAAAAGAGCGCACTGATTCGCTTCTGCGTTACCCAGCACCGGCCCCGCTTGAGTTTATGGATCGATTTCAGATCCGTTGTGAGCAGACCGAAGATCTTGATCATGAGAACGAGGATCTTCAAGAACGCATCACGGAGGGCACGACGCTGAGCGAAAGAATTCAGCCCGAGATAGATCTCCAGACGGACGAGACACGGCTGGAACCGGAGTAGGACAAGCTCCAGGGCGTCGTAATTGGCGCTGACTCTCTTGGACGCCTGAAGCAAATGGATTCTCCTTCAGTTCTGCATCTGGAGGGATAACACAAATAGCAGGTACCTGAAGAAACGCCGCAACAACGACAAAGATCCCTTTCCCTCCCGGAACCTGACAGAGAATGAGACCGAGAGCCAGCAGCACGGAGAGGCGGAAATCACAAAAGTGGCTGCCGCTTCGGCCGCAGGGTCGATGACAGCCTGAGTGAGCGACGCAATGGGCTTGAGAATCGCCCGAATCCTCTCGTCTTGGGAACGGAATTCGCCGAAAGCTTTCTGGTGTTTGTCCAATACTCCGAAGAAATCGACCAGCGTGGTGCAGTCCTCCACGTCTTGAGCAAACGGCAGTTCATGCAGCTTCTTCCCGGTCTTTTCCTCGTATGCCGTGATGGCCTCGCTGAGCAACTTCTTCCAATCATCATCTGGACCGGTGGGCGACGAGTGCGAGAGGGGCTGAGTGTTAGTCATGGGTGAGGAGAGCAAAGAGGTTGCGCTGGAATGCCGCGACACAAATTCAGAGCCTCACCGCATGTGCATTGGCAGCGCTCGTCTACCTGGTGCGTTCATTAGAGATAGAAGCTGATACGATCAGATACACAAGGCTTAGAATTGGGTTAAACCCGCAGCATCGCAGCGCCAGACTCGCATGCCTGTCAAACTAGCACTCCGGGGTCAGGATCCTGTGAGAAATGCACCAATGTCCGAGGCCAAAGAGCCGTCTTGCTGACTGCCTGTAACAAGAGTGATTGTTCCCGTCTGGGCTCCAGGTGCAGTTCGCGGTTCACAAGAGTGATCCAGCACCAGCCGTCAGCTGATCTCAAGCTCTCATTTACGAACTCCCGAGTTCGTCGAGAGCATAACGGGCTAAGCGCTCGATCGAGACTAGATCCTGGCAAGTTGCATTTCAGCGGAGCGATACCTTGGGTGCTGTCAGCCCAGATCGAAAACAGCACGAGGCGAGGTTAATGGCTGGCGTGCCAAATCGTTGGCGGAGAAGATGGTCGAGAGGGAGGCCGGCGGTGGGGAATCGATATGAGTGACGTGGACCTAGAACAGTCACAATTGCATAATTCGCAAGGAAAGAACGTGTTAAATCGTAGCTTTGTTCTCAAAACCCCAAGAAAACTGTCAGTAGTTCGTGTTGTGGGCTGGGATGTCGAAAATGAATTCGGAAGCCAGTTTCAGGAAGATAAAGGAGGAGAAAACCGTCTTCTGGTCATTTGATCCCACTGTCAGCGCTGACCAAGCACGAAGTGGAGACCTATAGAATTAGCATGGTAGGACCGTACAGATTGATGTATATACATTCTGACGAAAGATTGAACGGGAGTCGAGTGCAATCCGGATAGTAACAGCACACACCGAAAGCTCCCTCACTCATGCTCTCGCCGCAAGACAACAGCTGCAACTGAGACCATGCATGTACTTTCACATTTTGTCCACCGGCGTGGCGACCTCCTGTAGCACAGAGGCCAGATGGTGCTTGAGATACACCCGCGAATCCAAATCCTCGGAATTGCCACGTTTGAGAGGCAAACGGGTGCGAAAAATGATGTCCTTATGCTGCAATCTGTCAGAGGTATGCATGCAAAGCACAGAATACACACTCAAGCCTGTACTCGCCGGCTTCACTTCTTGCTCTAGTACGGAGACGGTGGTCCCTGTTATAACATGAGACATGACCAGACCAGCAAAACAGATATGACGCACGTTTGTGATGTACTCTCCACCTGTCATGTACCAACATTTCAGCTAGCTCGACTTGATCCTCGCGGGAACCATCGTCTCGACGGAGCCTCCCCTTTGTAGCATGCTGCTCAACAAACTGAGCAATCCGGCCCACTCTGTACACGAAATCCCAATCCCAATCCAGCGGTGCGGCAGTGAAAGAGACCATAGAGCGCAAAGCCCGGCCCAAGCCACGTCGTCCGGGATGGGGGTGGGGCATGTCGACTGAACCGCACCTGTTTCAAGATCTCTGAGATGTTCTTCTGCTGGAGCGAAGCCAGCATGAGGATGCATTTGATTGGGCTCTCTACGAGGATAGAGAGGGGGTGGTCAGACCGTACTTGTACGCAGACGTCGATGTCAGTGACCACGTGAGAGTGTAAGAGTGTATGAACACACCGTCGACATCCTGAATTACCATCATCTTCGAGAGAAAGCGAGTTGCGTGGCAGAGCGTTTAAGATTATGCCAGAGGACCGGTCGATTCTGATGAGTTGGGCGCTGCGTAGTTGGGGCTCCTGCAGCTCGTTGTCTGGCGCTCCCCGTCCATTGCTTCCTGGCGAAGAGCGCAGTAGTTGATTTGAAATTTGGAATGGTCGTCGCGGGGAGAATAATGTTGTATTCGAGGTCTCAATGTAGAACCATTCGTTGAAGTGTACGTCGACGAGGATATGTTAGAGGCATCGCGTGGGGTCCTCGTCGGGAGGTCCGTTGTCAAGGATGCGCGCCTGCAACATGTGCGTGAAATCGATGTCCTCAGGCGTGGTGACCATTCTGGAGCGTTTGAGTGCTCAGTCAGAGCAGCGACAGCGAGCGGGAAGACCATCACATGGACGAGGATGTCGAAGGACCAGGATGAAGAGTAGAGGAGCTCCCGCTGCACGCGCGTGTTTATCCGGTCATTCGCAGCAGCGGGGTCCGATGGAGACTTCAAGGAGACCCCGGTGCCTGGTGAGAGGCTTGAGGTGGCGTTGAGCGGATGAAAGATCGACAGAGACGTCAGGCCGTCCCAAAATACCCGGCGGCGACATCCCTGAGTGATCTGTGCACCCCGGGCTGGTGTCGAGAGGACTTGATCATGGGAGTGCCGGAAGACAGGGTTGGGTAACTTGAGTGACACATGACATTGACAAAGACGTGATCGGCAACACCCCGCCTCGCACTCAGTCTCTCACAGCCATCCAGGCCAGACCCGGTTTTGGGTGCTGTTCTTCTCTGAAAGTCATCATTGACACCAGATTGCTCGTAACTTCGACCGTTGAAGTCAATGCTGCTTCTGGAGGTGTGCTGACTCGCATGCGGTCCAAGTAACAATAGTCAGTCGTGCATCCCGGCCCATTAGTACAGATATCAACTCTATGTAGGATATCCAACCCGTGAGTGAAGCGTGGTATGTCGTAAGCCTTTCTTTTGTACGTCATCAGCCCGGATAGTAGATACGCAAGATATCAGCCCTCGAAAGATTCGCCTCGTTGTAGAGCGAGTGGAAGATCGAGTCCTCCTCGTCAAACACGTTCTAAACAAGACTGTGTCGTACTCGGCCACTGGTCCGCCACCAAAATGCGGTCGTAGTAGGCTGTAAATGCGCGCATCTGATCAGCGAGTGAAAACTCAAACAACAAAGAACCACAGCGTACCAATCGTATTGAGCCGATGTGCGATACAAAGCAACGTAGAACTTGCAAACTCTGTCCGGATCGTCCGCTGAAGCTTTCCATCCGTCTCGACGTCGACATTGCTCGTCGCCTCGTCCAAAAGGAGAACAGGGCTGTCTTTCACCAACCCTCGACAGAGAGCCAGCAGCTGCTTCTCGCCGGCGCTGTAGTTGGATCCGTCGTCGCCGATGGTGCAATTCAGACTGAACTTGGCTTCGGCTATGGGGTCAGACGGTTCCCCGGGTCGCGGCAGTAGCCATGCGCGCTGCAGTACGGATAACAGCTCTGCGTCCGTTCCCGAGTTTTACGGGTCACCGTGGAACCCAGGTCAGCTCAGCAGCGCGAGTCTGCGATCCAAAGATGACGCAGAGTGCTCAGGAACAGCACGCTGTCCTGTGGGACCAGCATCATCCAACTTCACAACACATCTGGAACAACCCCTACAATATTCGCTCCGACAATGTTCGGCGCGGATAGTCGAGATGCCGGTCAACGTTTCTGTGTCTGACGCGCGCAGGGTCGACCGCATGACGGATTCCAGTGGCTCGGTCTCAACCGATAAGCGTCGATAGTACAGCGCGATCAGATGGTACATGATCAACATGGGCGCAAAGATGATGCTGAGGGCACGGGAAGGTGTAGAACACCAGCGCGACGGTCCCGAGAACGTTACTGGACGTCGAGAGCAACTGGTCAAGCGTCATCCACAGAATGCTGTCGAGCGTGTCTTGGTCTTTCACCAGTCGTGAGACAATCCCGGGCCGGCCTATGGGCGTCGTAACGAAGAAGGATGTCGGCGAGCGCGGGACAATGGAAAGCCCAGCCTTGAAAAGATTCGGACTGGCCACCAGACTCGAAATGCTGTGCGAGAAGTCAAATAGTGAAGGAATGGAGATGAAAGGGGCCCCACTCACGTTACTAGTAGCGCATTCGGCCGTCTATAATCCAAGGAACAAGTAGTTCCTGACCTGCGCCGCCTGCGACAAGGTCAGGAGGAGCAAGATAGCTGGCGCCCAAGGGATACTCATGCCTCCCCGCGAAGAGAGCAGGAGCCGATTTGAAATTTGGAATGTTCGTCGCAGGGAGAATGTTTTCGAGGTCTCGATGTAGGATCATCCGTCTTCCCTTGTAGTGCACGTCAACGAGGACATATTAGAATGATTGCACGGGGTCTTCATTGGGAGGTCCGGTATCGAGGATGCGCGCCGAGAGCGCGTCAGCGAGATGTGCGTGAAATCGATGTCTTCGGATGTGGTGATGATTCTGGAGTATTTGAGTGCCCAGTCAGAGCAGCGACAGCAGGCGGAAAGACCATCACATAGGTGAGGATGTCGAGGGAGCAGGTTGTAGAGTGGAAAGGTACAAGTTGCACGCGCGTGTTTATGCGATCATTTGCAGAAGCTGCTTCCGACAGAGATTTGAGGGAGACTCCGGCGCCCGGAGCTCGGCTCGAGATGGCGTTGAGCGAATTAAAAATTGACGAACACGCCAGACTTTCCCGAACGTCCCGGCGGTGGTATAACTGAGCGATTTGTGTACCCCGAACCAATGTCGAGCGGACTGGTCATGGGAGCGCTGGAAGACAGGTTGGGGTCGATGTCAGATTGATTATGATATCTGTGATCGGCAACACCTCGCACTCGGTCTCACACCATCAACTCGGCCAGACGTGGTATTGGGTGCTGTTCTGCGTCTCTCCAGTCCTGGCGACGGGCCGTGTACCGAAATTCTCGCTCCTTTTTGTAGACTACGGACTACCGCAGGTCGTCGAATCAGCCTTGGCCGATGACCGTACCCCCTCAATCTCGATATCACCAGAGATGGGATTACACTCATGAGTGAGTAGATCCCGGTGATTTCTCTATATCTCAGTGCACGATGCGACACGCTTGTCTTTCTGAAAAACGCTTGCAGCGCTTCTTTACGCTCACCGCTCCTCCTTTGCATATGCCACCTCCAACTACCCTAATGATCCTATTACGAACTCTCATGCGCCGTCATTTTTGGCTAGCTACTGGCTAGCTAACACAGTGCATGTGGAATCCTTTCTGCTCTGAGAGAGCAGTTCAATGTGTTTCCGTCTGAGATGGCTTGCTTTTGGGTGCTGTGGACGCAAGCTTTCTCTATGTCGGTGCTCCCCATCTGCGCCCGTCTCTCCGTCTCAGACCCTCACAGATCGCGCATTCTTCCCTTATCATGTCCCAGCTCCCGAGCTGGCAGGTCTGTCCCAATCGTGGAGCAACTGACCAAGCGGGCGCTGCATCTGTTCGAAGAATCTCGCAATGGCGCTGCAGTGATGATCTAGGTCAACATCTTCGAGTCGTCCCGGGTCGAGATCGACGAGATGTTGCTCTTCAGCGGGATAACGCATACGCCGAGCAAAAACATATGCAGATCCAGCTTCAACAGTGCTGACCTCGCTCATGCGCGGGGGGCTTCTGATCATCGTTCGCTTGCCAGGCGGTTGACCCGCGCAAATCCCCCTTAACCTGCCTGCCTGGCTCATAGCCTCAAGACTTTCCGAGTGCATCTTCGACACGATCAGCATGCAAGCCGTCTTCGATCATTCACCGGCAATCTCAAAGCCGACGGGCTTTTCATCAATCTTTGAAGGACTCTTTCTTACGGTGTGACGCGCAATGCTGAACACCCATCTCTTAATGGTTCTCGGCGGCTTTCCGAGACGATGCAACATGATCAGGAATACACCCAATGGGGAGAAGGTAGCTGCCCTGACGGAGATGGTCGAGCGAGGAGAGCTCCGTGTGGTCATCGACGAGGTTGTTGAGGTCCGCGCTGCCTTGTCGGTAGGATCCATCGATGGAGGAGTGTCCCAGATGACCTGTTCTCTCTTGCAGGCTTATGATCGGACGCTGGGAAAGACAGTCGTGAAAGTACAAGACCTGTGACTTGGACTGCTGACTGGAAAGAATGAAGCGCGTGATCCTTTCTTCATCGAGTGAGATTACAGAATGCGTCAAAGCCTTTTTGTGCTCCTCCGTGCGAGCTTGGCCAACTGCTCTTGACGTGCCGTGATCTGACCTCGAAGGGAATGCACGTTACGCCAAAGGGATACTATGTATGCGCAAAATTCGCCTCGCGAAGATTCAGGCATCATTCCATGCGTTCCTTCCCGTGAAATCAGTACTCAGCAGTTGTGAGTTTGACAAGCCAGGGACGCGTCCCCGAGATTAGCCTTGAGAGCACGTGACCGCGGACATGAGAGGATGCACCGCCCGCGTTGACTCATTCTTGACTCACCTATTGACACTTGGACCTAACTACCACAGCTTTCTCGCTCTTGAACGCGTGTTCGTTCGGCCCAGCTCTTTTCCGCTCGTAAAAAAGGTGTGCATATGAAGATGTTGTACAAAAGTGTCCCAGGCGTGTGCAGTCTGAATCCAAGTCTCCAACACTCAGACCTCTGATAACAAGAGCTCCCACTCGTTCTGTTTGTTCTGCCTCAGCCCTTCGAACCTACTCCCTGTGTCCAGCATGTCGATCTTGCGCAGCCCAATCTGCCGCCCATCGCCCGCGCGGCGCCCGCTTGCCCCCTGCCTCTCGCGAACACCCCTCCTGGAACCCTCAGTTCTGAGATCCGGATGGTCTGCTGGCTGGCGATACGCGTCGTAGATGGCCTTGTACACGTCGATGACCCGCAGCGCACTGCCCGTCCTGACGGTGATGGGGCCGACGAGCGGGCACGCGACGACAAGCTCCATCACGACGCAGTGTGTCGAGACGTTCATCCCGCGGTGGGCCTCGAGCATCTCGTTCTGTGGCCCGCGCTCGAATGCGACGGTGACGTTCCGCGGGTCGTGCGGGTCTAACCGGATGTCCCAGTGCACGAACGGATTGTTGCCCTTGCGTCTCCGCGCCTGGCCGGTGACGCTGTCGATGCGGTATGTGGTCGTCAGCGGCCATTCGAGCGCGATCGCTTCGGGCTTTAGTTTGCCGTAGACTGGCGTGGTCGCACGCTGAGCAGGACCCTCAAGAGACACCAGGCACGCACCTCGGCTTCCCGGAGGAAGGGGTTTGGAACCTGTCGTCGAGCATGGAGCGGGAATCGGTGCAGTCGGCAAACATGCTTACTACTGGTGCACTGGGGCGAAATCGGGGATGTCACACGCGGCACCGCCGCCGGTTGTGCTGCTGCCCCCTCGACTGGCTGGGAATTCCTCCTACCGCTGTATCGACTTGCATTCTTCAAGATTCCCCGTGGCGGGCTACCTTGTGCCTCCGATCGAGCGCAATCGCGTAGACGGTCGGGTTCAGGGCCGCATCGCTCCAGGTCGATTTTTCATCAGCCAATTCTCGGGCTGTGCGCGACGATTCAGTCTCGATCCACTTTCAGGTCCTGGCCACTCACTGCGCAAAGCCGGTGCTTCCAACAGCGGGTGGTGGAGCTCGACCGGCGTCCCGGGATCGGCCCGCAGATTCGCTACAACAACCCGTCAGCGATCCGACGCAACGCCATGATACGACAGGACGAGCCACTCGCCTGTTGCGGATGCGGGCACAAAGGCGTCCGGCGCGGATTCGAGGACCCGGATCGTGCCGTGGTGGAGCGCCGCCTGGATGAGATAGTTGTGCGGGTCGGCTCTGGCCTTCGCGTCTTCAAGCTCCTTTCGTTTCCTCAGGTCGGCCATCATGTCATTGTACTTGCGCCGCTCCTCGACCGTCTTTCGGCTGGCCGGGCGAGCGTTGGCGGGCCGATCCTGCTGTGATTGCGGTCGGCCAGGCATTGCCTGGGCTGGATTCTCCTGCTGGTGGTGGTGCTGCTCTGGCGCGATCCAGGGCGCGGCGAACGGCACAGTCTGCACCCCAGGGTCTCTCGACGGCAGGCCGTGGCGGTACCCCGAGGCAGGCGCATCAGCTACGATGATGCGGCGCGATCCGCCCTCGCGCGGCCGCGGCATCGACGCCGCCATCTCCGGTGACCCCGCACTTTGCCAGCCGCTCACCCGGCTCTGGAAGCTCGCCCATTCATGCGGTCGGCTCGCACGTGGCTGGTAGACCACAGGCGAGGGCACGGGGGAGCGCCCCGATCCGAATCCGAGCTGGTCATAGTGGGACTGCGGCCGCATCGTCGGCGGCAGCCCCGGCGACGCCGCAGGGAGCTCGACTGGCGCGATCTTCGCGGCTCTGCGATGCTCACGGCGCAGACCGTGATGCGTCGCCGACACGGTAGCGACTTGACTGGTCGTCATAATCCGGGATGATGGCACGGGAATGTCCGAGATTCTGCACGTCGGTGGATGGCGACGGATCGAGGCGTGTTTGACGGCGGAGACGTGAAAAAGCTCGTTCAGGCGGTCGACTTGGACCTTGTAATCGACGGGGCTCAGAGACCTTGCGCGAAGAACCCAAGATGCCACACGGTGTCTTTTAGCGATCCGAATGTCTGATGTTCCCAGTCTTTTCTTGACGTGCGTGTGTAGCAGTTTCGTTGTGGGCGCCAGTACGGCCCGGTGGAGATAAGCGCGCTGGATGCAAACGGGTTCCGCTCATGCGTAACTCGGTCTTGTATGAGCCGTATATTCCCACTGACACACCAACGTAGCTTCTACAACATGAAACTTTCAACTCAAACCATGAAAACACAAATCACGGACCTACTTATCACCACCACCACCACCTGGATAACAACAACACCACAGTGAGCATTATCCTTGTTCGCGGCGTCTGCTCCGCAAGTACAATTCCCTTACGGAGCGAGATCAGCGGTACATCCCGGGATCTGCACACTGGACCCTCGCACGGCCCTATGGTAAGTGAGGTGGTGTTATCCGCCTCGAGGCCGGCCGGCCGGCATTTCGCCTTCGGATTCAGGTCCGATGTAGATTTGTGTCGCAAAATATATCCGATTTCCCTGTCTGTACTTACACCGCTTGGGACCTCGCCGGAAAGCGACATCGGTGCGCTCGCTGTGTGTGCATATCTCGCCATCCTCGTGTCGCTTTCCGCGCTCTGCACATCTCGCGTCATATAGTCGTCTTATCGATCGGCCGTGGTGACAGGCGGCTCTGCTGACCTCTCAAGCCTTCGGAGTCGGGTGCATCTCAAGATTGCCCGGTCTTGTGGTATCCGGACCTTGTTCATGAAGACCGGGGTCCGTAGTAGAAGACAGGCATGGGTGCTGCTAACTAGGCTCGCTTCCACCCTCTATAGTAGTTCTAGCCGAGTCTCCTCCAAGTATTCGGAGCCACCTACTATAGAGCTGCCAACAGATCTGACGGTTATTTTGTGTCTTACCCGAGATATGCAAGCCACGCTGAGTCCTCCATACTCTCGCCAGTAGTAATGTACAGTATACAGTACAATCCAATTAGTTTGTGACGTTATCCGTGTGTCCTTTCTCGCTATCGACTTCGCCTGGGATCTCGTCCAACTGGGGGGAGGGAACAATCATGAGCTAAGCCGCAAACATACACACACGGTACTCACGGTGTCCAAGTCCACTAGACACTCCCCAATGATCTTCACTGCGCGCAGCAGATCCTCCTCCGAGATGACCAGGGGCGGAGCGAATCGAATACTGTGCAGTCGGAGTATGCTCAGTAAAAGAGCTAGTGCAGACTTGGCTGTCCTCACATATTGACGTGTGTGGGCTTGGCCAGCACACCGCGGCTCTTCAGCAAGAGACACAGCTGCCAGGCCGTGCGCCCACGCCTGCTCTTCTGTTCGTCAATGACGACAGCGTTCAGCAGGCCCCGTCCGCGGACGGTCTGCACGAGCGGAGAATTGAGCCCCCGGATGGCGGAGCGGAAGGTCTCGCCCAGTGCATCGGCTTTGGCGGACAGCTGCTCGTCGACCAGCACTTGCAGAGCTGTGATGGCCACCGCGCATCCTAGTGGGTTACTGGACTCGACACATTAGCATGAAGTCACGGTGCGCCAATTTCGACACGCTTACCCGCCGTAGGTGCTGCCGTGCTCGCCGGGCTTGATGCAGAGCATGATGTCCTTGTCTGCCAGCACGGCAGAAACAGGATACACTGACAAAGGGGTTCGTGAGACTCTTGTGTGTGAAACGACCGGGACGTACCACCACCCGAGAGCGCCTTGCCGAGCAGAATGATGTCCGGACGCACATCCTCGTAGTCGCACGCCAGCATCTTGCCGGTGCGGCACAGCCCCGTCTGGATCTCGTCGCAGATGAAAAGCACGTTGTGCTTCCTGCAGAGCGCCTGCACGTTCTTGAGGTACCCGGCGTCGGGCACGACGATGCCCGCCTCGCCCTGGATCGGCTCAACGAGGAACGCGGCGACGTTGCCGCCGTTCAGCTCCAGCGCCCGCTCGAGATCAGCGAGGTGATTGTATCGGATGGTCCGCAGCTCCTCGCCATCCATGAACGTGGGGCCGACGCCCTCGAGGTAGGGCCCGAAGCCGGTTCGGCTCTCCGGGTCGGTGCTCATGCTGTGTGAGGATGTGTGAGGATGACATCGATTTGCTTGATTGATGTAGGGCGCAGCTCACCTGATGACACCGACGGTCCGACCATGGAAGTTCCCCTCGACGCTGAGCACGACGGCCTTGCCCTCGGGGACGCCCTTCTTCATGTACGCCCACTTGCGCGCGAGCTTGATGGCGGTCTCGACGGCCTCGGCACCGGTGTTCATCGGGAGCACCATCTCGTAGCCAAACATATCCGTGATCACCTGCGCGAAGCGCCCGAACACGCTATTGTAGAACGCGCGCGACGAGAGGGTGAGTTTCTGGGCCTGCTCGCACAGCGTCGCGACGATCCGGGGGTGGCAGTGACCCTGATTGACCGCCCTGCGAAATACGGTTATCAGGCGCCGAGATCGAGGGCAGGATGGGAAACACACGAATAGGCCGAGAGCATGTCGATGTACTCCTTCCCTTCCGGGTCCCATACCCTGCATCATCATCAGTGCCTGAGCGAAAATCCCGCAGAAAGTAAGCTCACTTCGCGCCGAGAGCCTTGTCAAAGACGACGGGCAGCGGGTGGTAGCTAGTGGCAAAAAGAACGCAGGTCAGGAATAGCACAGGGATGGAGTATAAGAAGGACGGAACGGGCCATGATTCAACCTGTGTACTCTCCTCCTACAACAACCGCTCCCCCACCCCTCTGTACTCCAGGACGCAATGTCGACCGGCAGAGTTTCTGTGGAGAGAACCGTTGCTTCCACTGCAAACACCAAGACGACAGTTTAGAAGACGATGCTCACTTGTGCGCTCCGTGCTCGTGCTCGAGGTGGATGACATCGGCGGAGGTCAGGCGCGGCGCCGCTGCGGGTGTGTTAATCTGCGGCTTCACAGCATGGTATTTGCCGTTGCTGTTTGTCGGGCTGGTGATCGCGGCGGGCGACATGTTTCAATATCGGTGATAATAGTTGCGGGGGTGGATTGAGTGTGTGCGAGTGGATGTGGTCGCAGTGCAAGGGGGAATGGGGATCTTGTTGACAGGCTGCCAATAGCTTGGTGATTGTGACTCAACTCCGCACGCGCTGCACAAAGCTCCGCCCGCGCCGCATCGGCCCAAGTTCGCCATCTTCGATGCTCCGGTCCGGCTCCAACACATCGGGTGGAAGTGTATTGTACATATATGGACCGATGGGGGCAGATTCCGGTCGCTGAGTAGGACCGCCGACGGAGATAGTCTCGAGTTCTAATCTAGATTTTTCGCTCTTGTGCATAACATCACGAATCTTAGAGATACAGACAGATGACCTCGTCCGAACTGTGTGCGATATTCGTTTCGCACCCCAGGGCTATCTGCCCTTCCAGCTTACAGGACCGACGAGGTAAGGCGCACTCAAGATCGGGCGGCCATCGCCCGGCCCAACGCCTTCGATCCCTCTTCTGAATCAGACGGTCGGAATCGAGGCGAAGATGTCGAGAAAGCACGACAGCCGGCAGGAAATCGTGCTTGATCACGAACTAATCCGTCCCATCGATGGTCGCCTCGAGCGGAGAGGGGTCCAGACGGAGCACATATAACGAAGGGCCTCGGATCAGTCACGAGCATGACCGGGTGAACCACGATCAGCCGATCTCCACGAATCAAGGGCGGCGCGCAGATCTCTAGGTCCTTAGCTCCGTGGCTTTTCAAGTTGATACAGCGGGGAGCGGCGAGCAGTAAAGACATGTGACAGCGACAGCTTCGGGAATCGATGGGCCTGACTGGTGGCTTCAGTCAAGCAAGGTGAATTGGGAGATGTGATCAAGTTGCTGCATAGTCAAGCCGCGAGAGTGGCTGGGGAAACTGAGAAATATTACCTTGTCTGTGTTCAGATTCAAGATATGGAGCAATAATGTAAGATAGGCAAGCGCGTGTCCATCTCAGCAGCTTCGCTATGATGAGTCGGCAAAGATTCAATATCTGACCACTGCGGTACACCACTTCTTTATACCACAGATGCAGATCGCGCAGCCTAGGCAGATAGTGAGTCGGGTGAGGTCCCCAAGAGTTTGGTCGGAGAATATAGACAAGAAGACAGTGCGTAGATCCACAAAGATTTGACGGCACATTGGAGACTCCATTCCGACGTGTACTGAGAGCCAAGAAACAGTTGCGTCTGGACCAATCCTCCTTGTCAGAGCTCCGTAGATGCAGTCCAAGTATCCGTGGCATGGCTCCGCTGATAATTTAGGGCTAGATCGCTTGAAGTAGATAATAGAAATAGGAGCTTTCTTGCTCATAACGTTCATTCATTATTCCAACGACTGAGAAAATTTTGATTGCCTTGCTTGTCAAGGCATCTCCACCACCATAATTCGCGATCAAAAAGCTGCCGGCTCTCTCCGTTTGACATTCCGTCTTCTTCCGTTGCTGTGCTCCATTGTTTGTTGCTATTCTCGCCGCCGATATATGATGATGTCTTTCGTATTAGGGAATGCACATTGTGCATGGCATACCGGCATATGACCAAGATGGCAGACTCATTGCACCGGAGGACTACATGTCCAAACTGCATGGTACGACTGTGATGCTGACAATGAACCGATCTCACATCGCCTTCCAATCGAAGAAGGAAGATTTGGTATCTGCCGATATTGTCAAGATGTGCATAGTAGCTAACCAGTCTACTGCGCCGAGCCCCTTGAAGCATGGGAAGCTGGCACTGCATGACAGCAAAGGTGAAGAGGAGCAGAGCTATGGAGGCCCGGAACTATATGCTGATAAGCGAGCATCCCGATCTCAAAGGTTCGTGTTCCGTGTGATTGATAGTTGATCTTATCATATTCAGATTTCTCAGACCCCAAACACCGCCTGCTCATGCATTCAAGGATCATGTATGCTACGGTACAAGCTCAAGCAACTTTGGAGCAAGGGCGTCTGTAGTTAAGTATATACATGCTGTAACATGTAACCATTCCCCTGAAACGCTTCGCACATGTTTCTACCCACAAAAAACGCGATATGACCATCGGGGACAGACACAATTCGACGCAGGGCTGATGCGATCAACAATCAAATCCCTCATGCTCTCTTCCCTTTTGCTGTCGTTCTGCTTGACCCTAGACTCTGTGAGCTCGGGATTAGCCATCCTCTGACACTTCAAGACATTAGCGTTCTAGTTCTGGATGTGCTTGGGCCGTGCTATAGCTCAAATTTCCACTTTGGCTGCTCTATTTCTCTCCGCCTCGACAACTCCCCTTGGTGTTGACGTCGAGCCCGCGTTGCACCCGGATGACGGTCAGAGACAGGGAGAAAACTCCCGAATCAATATACAAACAAATGTACAAACATTGAGGGACCCTATCTTAACAGTCCCCCTCGTGCAAATGACCGCTGCGTCTGAGCACGACCCACAAATCTGAAATTTCGTCACTTGAATTCCAGGCCTTGGCCTTTCGCGTATCCATATCGCGCCAGCCACCCGTAAGCCATGACGGTTTCCCTTTTTGAGTGCCCACTCCCACATGCGTGATTCCGCCTTGCCGCTCCGTCGAGTCCCCCTGATAGCTCTCCGAATCGCCTTCGTCCGGCTGAGCTTGGTCCGACCCGTGTTGCAGCGCCCTGCGTTCGGCTCTGTGATCCAGCCGCCGGCCGTACCTGTCGCACTCTGTGACTCTCCACATCTCATGTGTCTGCTCCCTCCCCCTGCCCCTGCGTGACAATTCACATTGGGAGCATCTCCAATGCTACGTCCCACTCTCGCACCGTCCGCACATCCTCGGGCCCGCCCTGGTCCCTTGTCACCCCTATAGTCCCCCTCACCCAGATGACCGTTGCGTCTCTGAGTGACATCTGTCGACATTGGGTGAGGAGTTGTATGTGTGGGAGGGAGGGAGGGAGGGAATCGATATCTTGTGCCTGCAGCGAGTGCCTGTATTCGGGAAATGGAGTGGGGGATTTTTGAAAAGCAAGATGTGGTGGATTAGGGTGATATTGACAGGGAGTCGTCCTGCCCAACGCCGGGCCTGTGTTCGCGAGCGGGCCGCAACGATGTCAGAGCGGGTGAATCCCGCAAGTCTGACTGCGAATCTGTTGACGTTGAGCCCGCGTCGCACCCGGATGACGGTCAGAGACAGGGAGAAAACTCCCAAATCAATATACAAACAAATGTACAAACATTGATGGACCCTATCTTAACACTTGGCCCTATTTCCCCAACTGGCAGTCGCTTTGTGCTGCGCTCATCATCCCTGCTGACGTACTGACTGTTTTACATTTAATTCAATACTGGTCTTATCTCTAGACTCATTTTGTAAAAGCTCTATGTTCTGTACTCAAAATCAGCATTCTTTTTTCATTTTGGCATCTCTGAGCTCACTGCTGCCTCGATCTTGCTCCGGCTAGGGTATTCAACCCTTTACATTGTCTCACATCGTCTCGAAAAAGTAATTCTTTGAATTATAGAAATTGATGCACTTCGAGTCCAAATACCCCAGTAACTCTATTATCGGTCAAACAATATCCGATAAAATTGAATTACTGAGTGACATTCAGAACCTTTGGATCTCTAGGAACGCAAAGACACTATAGACACCTGTACTGCTAGCCCGATTTTTTTTTCCTCTTGAAAAACACTTCCTTTTAATGAGAGGAGTGATCTCTCAAGAGGGATTGCCCATAGCTGTCCAACTGAGTGAGTAATGGGATTTTGACATCCCCCAATTTGGCGTAGCCTACAAAAACAAATGTATCATATATTGAAAGCCCTTGCGGCGCATTCTGAGATCCACCGGTGCAATTTGTATTTGGTCGAGTTGAATTTTCGCACCTCAAACTGCAAGTCCCCGTGTCTCCAATCCACACTGCTATGTGTCCATCCACTGTATCATATGGTGCTCCCGGTGTCTGGTCATCTGCCAAGCCGGAAATAAGTGCCTTTGAAATATTCTCCTTCAGAGTGTCGTGCTCAGAGACCCAGATGTAATAGTCAAAATTTTGGTTTTGCCTGACCCGATTTGCACGCTAGTGCACTTTTGATGGTGACTAAGCTGCGCGCACCATAGTGGATTCAAGTAAAAGGCAATATATCCCTTATAGCAGGAGGCACTCTGCTTTTATACTATCTAGCTACTGTTTTGGTTTCATTGAGAAATGGATTTCTGATGCGTTTCAGTACTGCGAAATGTGCAAGATTTTTAGCATCACAAATGATGCGCTATTGATGAGTCATTGGGATCCATCCCGATAGCGGCTGCTTCACAGCGTGTTAATTAATCCAAAATTTACTTATTTCAAATGGTGTCAGGCCCTTTTGTACGCCGTGGAAGAGAAATGGCACTTCACAGATTTTGTGTCTGCCTAGCGAGGCTTATGGGGTCTCAGAAGCAGTCAATCAGATCAGCATCAACGGCCGAAACAATATCAATGATACGGAGGCCCGCCTATCAGCATATAGTTCCGGGCCTCCATACAGAGCCCAACTAAGAAGAGGTGCTCAGTTTATGGTGCCTGGTAAGTATTTGTCTACCGCCTGTAAAGTCCAAAAAAAATTGGTTTGATCTGTCTGAGAGGCAAGGCATGTCTGCCGACGCAGTCGGCGCTTCCTAGTCGGATGCCTGAGTATGTCACTCAATCAATGATAGACATGATGTCATCATTGGGTCTTCCAACATCCCACCCCAACATCAACGGATTTCGCTAAATCTTCCACAATTTGCTGTGAGTGACACCGTCCAGAAAGAGTGTGTATAAGGTCACAGACATGCACCCATGGCTCTGGCTGACGATCTAGGATATGTCTGCTGACATTTCAGCAGCTGCTGACCTCAGTCGGTTAAAATTTCATTCAAAGGAAGTATGATGCATGGGGACATAACGGGCAGCTGAATCGCCGAACCAGAGGTGCGAACCAATTCGAACCACCCCGGCAACCCTGCCTGCTGCGTCTTAATTTCTGTTTGAGACAGAACGCTCATGAGAAGCCTGAGGGGTCTGGAGTACACGAGCGGAGCTTCTCATCGCCGATGAGACGTAAAAAGCACCCCAAATCCTTTGAAGAAGTGCCATCTATGAGTACAAATACTCGGCGATGCTTCATCCCGACATTCTCATCTGGTCGCTCTCATCTGACTCCATGCTCGCGACGGTTATTCCGCTCTCGCTCTTGAGCGCGACTGCCTTGGCCTCCTCATCCATCCCACCGGCTCCGTTCTTCGCTCCCCTTGTCGCACAGTCTCCTCGAATTGGTGGTGCTGTATATGACACCAAGTATCTCATGAACATCGGTGTGGGTGGACAGGGTTTCATCGCCATCCTTGATCTCGGAAGGTCTGTTGTCTTTCCCCTCCATGCGCGCCAGGAGCCACGCTGATTCTTTTTCCAGCTCTGATGTGTGGGTCCCGTCGAAAGGCTTCCAATGCCTGAATCACACATCGGGGGCCGCCATCCCACGAACGGCCTGCGCTTTCGGCAGCACCGGTTTCAACGCCAGTGCATCCAGTACGTTCAAAGCGGGGCCTCCCCACACCGAGTTTGCGACTTCCTTCCCAAACAGCGATTACGTCGTGCGTGAATCCCCCAGTTGCGTTTAACACAGCCAAGTGAGCGATGCTCCTAGTCCGGCTCTGCGGCTTTCGATACCGTGATCTTTGGGGGACTGTCCAGTGAGCTTGGGAGAACACTTGCGGGTCGGCTCGTCCACTCACCGCGATTCTAAGTTCCCCAGCAAGAGTTTGGCCTGGTTTCGTCTGCCGCCTGGACAGGTGATGGTGTCAGCGCTGGGATCCTTGGCTTTGGATTCCCAGGGGGAACGAGTGTCTTCAACACTACGACGTCTACTTGGACGCGTCTGACCTACAATCCTCCCCTGTTTTCCGCGATCGCCCAAAAAAAGCTGCCGCATCCTTGTGAGTGGCATTCCTCGCGCTGCCATTCCGCCTGATCGCCCCTCAGCCTTCTCGATTGCACTGAACCGTCCGAGTTCCAACTCGAGTGGCTATATCGCGTTCGGAGGGATTCCCCCGGTTCCAGTCACGAACACTTCGGTCCAGGTTCCCTTGTACGGCTACTCCGAGGCATCTGGACCCACCCCGATCCACGGCGCCAAGGCCACATACACCGGGTATATGATTATCGTCCAACGATTCGATTTCACACACACCCCGGTAACAGACAACGAATCTTTCACTTACGTCATCCAGAACGGGGCTGCGGCGAGCACCTTCCCGAGTAACGTTGCTAGCGCGTATAATGCGCTGTATGGAAACAATGCCTCGCGCGGCGATGATGGGCTATATTTAGTGCAGTGCACCGCCCAGCCCCCTGCGTTCGCCCTCGTCTTGGGCGGAACAAGCTTTGCGTTGGACCCCAAAGACTTGATCGTGAAAATCGGAACCGACGGCTTTGGGAGGGACGTCTGCATATCTGCGATTCAGGACGGCGGGTCGGGCGAGATTCGGGGCAGTACATTCACTTTGTGCGTGCCCGTCGTTTGCCCTTGTTGCCATGTCTGATTCGGTGCAGGGGCGATGCTCTCCTGCGGAGCGTGCTGGCCACTTTCGATGTGGCAAATTATGAACTCACTTTGACCCAAAGACAGCCTTATTGAACCAACCATTTATACTTGACCCAGTCCGTCGAGCCCTTCCCGACGGTTCCAGCGCTGAAATTTACTCTCCAGCGTCGTCAGGAATTCTGATGTCGGGAACCATGAGCTTATTCGAACCGAAAAGAGTCGTATTGAATAGTCAATGTGTACAATCCAAGAGACAACAGTGACCGCATTTAGCAGATACTTGCGCGGGCGTTGCCGAGGACTGAGATGCCTACCAGAGCAAAGGCCGCCTCGGCGTCGGGAAAACAACGGCGCCGAATAGCCGTCCCATTGTTCGGCGGTAGCACGAGGTAGGACCCCTGGGACTCACGAGCGCTTTCCGAGTGGGCGGACTGACAGGCGGGGTTGGGTCGCCTGGAAAGTCGACCGAGTTCCGGCAGTCATCAGGAAGCAGAGGCTGGGGCGCTGATACCGACGTCGCGGTATCCATGATGTAGATGATGCCAGTGCGCGATACGGGGGTTCTTGGCCTACGCTGCAGTGCTGGAACAGTTTCAGAAGCCGGGCGGACAGTGAGAGATGACAGATGTGGCTCGACGGGGCATGATGAACAACCGCAAATGCATACGGTGCAGCACAAGGCGGTGTGCAAAGTTAGATCCATTTGTGGATCAACCCGAACGCGAGAAGTTGCGTCAGCCCGTGATGCGAGGAAGGGCGGGGGTTGGCTGGCTCTGGACCCGTGGGTGAGAAGCACTGCGCATGGCATGCGCACTTCGCCGCGGTGTCAGGAGGCCAGCAGGGAAACGCAAGGCGAGATGTACTGGCCCCCGCTGGCTCCACGGCGCTTGCTGCAGGCGTGGAACCAACCTATTGGCCGGATCCCGGGCGGGTAGACTAACCCAGTATAAGCCCCGCGTACTGCGATTGATGGCCACCCCCGTTTCCCTCTCCAAACGGCTCCGTTCGACACTCAACGCGCTCCGCTAAACGTGGTACTCGACCCTTCAAGTGAGTGGAGAGACATGATGGTTTGAACGACCCATTGTTGAGTCATGACAGCCTAGGGGCATCAATCATCCCGTGCCGTGTCGGTAGCCGAACCCGAAAACCCGCCACAGGACCGACGCACCGCTTCTTTCGGCTTCCATCCCTCTTCTCCACTGTCATCATCTCTTTTGTCTTCTACCACCACCTGCACCGTGGGCGCTCCATCTTCTCCCCCCTTGCTCCTCTCCCCCGCCTCACGCCAACCGCACCCACAACGCGTTTCTGACAGCGCGCGTTTCGCGTCTTTTCTTTAGCCTTCGGGATCGGTACATAATCTCCCCAGGCATCACACCCATCGTCCGCCCGCCACGCGCCGCATGGCTGACGTCGCCGTTCTTCTCAATCAACCGCACCCACACAGCGCCAGTGCTGCTGCCCCCTTGTCCCGGCCCACAAAAGAGGCTCTCCACTCTTTCTCCTCCGCCCAGGCAACCAACCCATATCCCCACAACCCTGACGTCGCCATGCCCGACGCATCTGATAAAGACCTGATCAATCACGCGACTCGAGCCCAGCTGACGCTTCCTACTTTGCCCCCCGTGCCGTCCTTGCCCGCCACGTCTCCGTCACCTATCCACGCGTCACCCACCACGAGTGTCGCCGATCCGACGAGTACCGATAACCGGCCCGCCACGCTTGCGGCGCTTCTCGCCGAGGCGTTTAGCGACATCGAAGGTCTGCAGAAGGAGCTCGCCACTGCCAAGAGTACGCTCGCCAGCTCCCAGTCCGCCCTTGCCCTGTCCAATGAATCGCTGGAAGCGTTGCGCAAGGGAGAGCTCGGCACATTGGCTTCGATTGCCGAGTATAGGAAGACTGCCGACAGCGCGGCGGAGGGCCGCAAACATGCTGAGGCTCGCTTGGAGCAGGTTGAACGGGTGCTGAAAGGACTGGGTGTTGTTTCCCGGGCGATGAGGGATGGATCGGGAGGAAGAGAGCTTGTCGTCGAGGGCCAGGAAGAACGAGACGTCAATGCCATGGATCTCGATGCAGACGAGACCCCATTAGATCTGGAGAAAATATCTTCGATCGTGGGTAACACCCCTTTGCCGCGTGCTGTTTCTGCGTTCTTCCTGCGTATCGACGCGCGGCGTGCAGCGGCCGAGACGTCACTCCACACGGCTTCCGCGGACCTTTCATCCGTGCAATCGGTCCTTCAAGAGACGGAGATGGCGCTCGGCAAGGCCCACAAAGAGTTCCAGAACTCGCAAGTGGTGTTGGCTCAGACGCAGTCCCAGCTCAAAGACACACAAGTCCAGCTCCAGGCGGCTGAAATTGCCCGGGATGAGAATCTGGGACGGCTTGCCACGATCCAAGGCGGATGGGAGCGCCTGAATGGCTATCTTCAGGAGGTCAGCTCACGTGTTACCGACTCGTGCGCAGGTTTTACGAAGATCGTTGGTGAAGTCGGCGGGCGTGTTGTCGTTGTATCTTCGTCTGCATTCGAAGCATCATCAGCCCACCCGCCATATCTGCCGTCATCATCGCCGTATGATTTTGATCGCAGAATGATGCCGCCAACCGCGCAGGCCGGTTCCAGAAGGCCTAGAGAAGACAATCTCGACTTTGGCGCTTATCCTCCGCCCAAGAGAGCGAGAGCAGAAGATGGAGAGGTGCGTTGTCATGGCTGAATATCACGGATTATGAAGCTAACTATCGCCCAGTACCATCACCACAGTACGCCAGTCTACAACCCTTCTTCACGATTCCACCCCAGCTCCGTCGCTCCATCGAGCCACCATAACGTACGCCGCGGTTCTGTTGAGCGACAGCCCACGCTTGTCCATCGGTCGCCAACGCATCGGGATTCGCGTGAGCTGAACATGGACAGGGCATCTCTGCCGTCTGCACCCGCCCCACATTCTGGCAAACAGGGTCGTTCGAGCTCCTCCGCTTCGGATGACGTTGACCAGATGCTATACGATACGGCTGCTGCTGCGTCTGCGCCGAAGGAGCGGTCCAGCATGGAAGCATTACGAGGTGCTGTTGATGTTGTCGAACGAGGACCGGAGCGAGGAGGCACTTTGACGCATATCCCGACGAAAGGCAAGAGTAAGTTCGTTGACGGTGGGAAGTGATTGTCGTTGATCCAGGTCGTTTCTACAGGCCTTCATTCAACGAGCTCGGCTGCTGCAGCTTCTGCAGCTCCGACGGTTGCGCAAACGTCCTCCCGACCCCATCTCTATCCGGCGGTCAACGCTGAGAACCAGCGGATTTGTCGCCAGTGCGGACTGCCTGGGCGATACAAGGATGGGAAGTGCGTCGAGAAGTGGGGACCCGGTCCTCTCGGGCCTGGAACGGTCTGTGACCGATGCCGGAAGAAGATGAAACGTGTCGAGCGGCGGGGAACGCTAGAGGCGGCGCAAGCCCAAGCGGCTGCCGCTGCGGCCGTCCCCATCGCCTCCAGTGGACCGACCCACGGAATGTCGGAGAACGATCCAGATTACACGCCGTCGAAGGTTGCGAAGCCACATGTCCACGTCTCGCCTACGTACCACGAGCAGCCGCGCAAGTCCTCCGCGATCCGCAGCTCGTTGAATAACAACAGCAACCACTACAGCAGCAGCAGCGCGGCGTCCCCGTCGAATGGGCGTGGTGCCAAGCACCGGTTCACGCCGCCGACGGGGTTAGCAGCGCCCCCGCCCAGCCTCCTGCCCCCGCTCCGGACGCATTCTCCGATGGACGAGGACGATCCAGACGGTGACGGGGAAGTCGATGCCGAGGCTGAGATCGACGAGCTCGAGCTGGACGGGGACGCCGAGCCGGAGGCGGATGCGGAGCTCGATCTGCTCGAGGCTGTCGATGCGGCCGAGAAGGCCCGAGTCAAGGTTGAGTGATCGTGCGATGTTGTCTGTCCGCTTTCCCCTTCTGTGTTTCTCCTGTGTTTCTGTCTGTCTCTTTCCCTCTGCCTCTCTCTCTACAACAGCTATCCATCTTGTTTTCATGCCACCCCTGCAAAATGTACAACCAAACATACTTTCATCAGTAGATAATTGGGGCCCTGTGTATCCTATGTAAGTAGCGCTGTTCCAGACGGACTTCTTGGTTGGACCGGAAGGTTGACACGTGGCGAAATTGTATCGAAGTTGCCGAATCGCGGATTGGGTACTGTGCACAGCAGAGTGACCCGAATACATACATGCATTCTAGTGAGAATACCGATACACACTGCAGTATATAACATATAACAAATGTCCATCCTTCATCCGTAAGTGCCCGTAAATTCCAAGCGTAGCGTTTATATCGTCAACACAGCAACCAGAAAAGAAACAACGCATCCCGTCAGCCAGCTGACGCCCGGCCCCATCATTCCCGCACGATTCGTCTTGCCCTGCCCCAGGGCAGCGACGGCCGTGGGTGTCGCCGCCGCGGTCGTGTACGCGCGAACGGACCGGATCTCGAAGTACGCGTCGTCGTAGTTGGCACCGTTCCCGACGACGTTGTCGGTGTAGCATGTTCCCGACGGACCCGTGTGCGCGCAGGTCTCGGCGTACGTCGCTGGGAGGCCGGCCCTGTAGAAAGAAAACGCGAGTTGTGTCAGTGCGAGCGGGAACGGGATGGGATGCCCGGCTGACGAACCAGTTTCCGCAGAGTGTGATGTCTAGATCGCGTAACGTTACGTATAGAGATGGGACGATGAGAGATTGATTTCGATTGCGGGGGACGGGAGGAATCAGCTGGACGCACCGATGACCAGGTTCTGGGGCGAGAAAAACTGCTCGATCGCGCAGCTCGTGTTTACGTAGGCCGCCGACGGGGGGCCCCAATCCGCCAAGTCCATGCCGGACGTCGAAGTGGCGTGCACGATCGAAGGTGGGACGTTTGCTCTCTGTGTGGGGAATCAGTGATCCGGGATCGAATGGATACCGGGAGCGACACCCACACTCCAAAACCAAAGACTTGAATCCCGGATAAGAGTCACGTGGGTTGGACGGATGAGAGAAGATAACTTACAAGACCCTGTGTGATTGCAATGAGTACCCTTGAACGGCGGAGATCCGATAAACTACTGCGCACCCGGTGTAATCGAACTGGGCAGCGTACACTCCTCCGCCGGCCGCCGCGAACCCAGGACCATAACTGTTCGGCTTCGTCTCCGTGACCAGGCAGCCAGCCGCCTCGGCACAGTCTGTCAGGCTTGACGTCCCGATTTGCGTCGTGGGTGTTGTGTGGAGGCACCCCTCAGTCGTATGCAGCGCGTACTGGTTCGTGGGCATCATGTTGATCCCTTCGATGATACTGCAGACACAACCATCCAATCAACCTGGGGTTTACTCAAGTACAGCAGAAACCCGCACGCACTCGATTTCGCCTCCCGCCGGCCACGCGGGGCCAAACGTCCAAATGCTCGGCCAGACCGAACATCCGAAAGGCATATGTACGGCGTCGACGATCCAGAGCGTGCCCATCGCGTACGTCTTGCGCGTCGTGATGCGCACCGAGTTGCGTTTCTGGCCCGGCGAGACGGGGGTGAAGTTGTCGACCTTGATAATGACGTTCCCCGCCTGGTTCACGAGCGCGAGCTGCTGCGAGAATGCGTCGGACTCGGTGAGCCAGTTCACGTCGCCTGTGCATCGGTTGGTCAATCAATCCTTCTGGAATGAGAAATGCGTGATGACGGACCCATCGTGAGATTGTCCACACCGCCTGCATTGCGGCCGTCAGATGAATGCTGCGCACAGACTGTGATCGACCGCCCGAGAAACGTACCGTAGAAATCCCACTCGTCAAAGAACTCGATTCCAGAGAAGTCGTCGACGAGCGTGTATGCGAGCGCTCCGGGGTGGGAGAGACATGACAGCAGACTCGGAAGCAGGAGGAGGACCAGGGAAGGGAAGAGAAAGTGGAGCATGATCGTCGCGCGGCGCAGAGGAGGAGGAGGTCGTGGAGGAGGAGGTCGTGAGCTCCAGATGGAGAAGGAGGAGAGGAAGGGAGGGCGCCTATCCTGGCTGAATGGCCGTCTAAAGAGAGAACTGGGGAGCGTTTGCCGCCCATCAACGCGGTGCCCACAAAAAGTGATTTGGGAAACACGAGGCCGGGCCGATTTTTGACAGGCGATCGATCATCGTGGATTGATTGGAGTAGCACGCTTTCTTCACCGTCACTCCAAGGATTCAGAATACTCGCCGGTATGAACTTGACTCGCTCCACCATGAACCTTTGCCTTTGCCTTTTGCGGAAGCATTGTGTGCGTACAGCTTTTCATTCGAATGCTGCTGCTTCCGCGGAACCTGATCAGCCTCTTCGCGGGTCAGCACTCAGGAACAGCTTGCTAATCTGGCCTCACAGCTCCCACCGCGTCCTCATGACTCGCCATGTATACATCTTGACCCCCGAATTCGCATCGGTGAGGGGCAGTGCCATTTAGTCTTTGAAAAATCACTTTGCATCACAGCGCATACTATGTATTCAGAAACATTGCAAGGACGTGGATGGATATTCAGAGACACTGCGAGTAATACGCGTTCGAAACCTGGCAAGTCCCCGCCGCACAGCAGGTCGCCCCCGCCCAGCCGATGCCTCCACACTGCGCCCAATGCGCCGAGCACTGTCGAACACCATCAGCGTCCATCATCCGTACGTCTGAACAAAAACACCTACGCCGGTTCCCGTGTTCCCGGGCGGACTCGTCGTCGTCGTGCTCGTCACGGGCGGCGCCGCCCCGCCGCCGCCGCCCTGCGAGACGGTGATGTCCGCGGAGCCGCTGCTGAAGTAGCCCTCGGTCGCGACGATCTGGTAGTTGAACGTGCCGAGCGTCATCCCGAGCGCGGCCCACGCGTTGAAGTGGTTCCCCGTCGTGACCGTGCCGCTCGAGCGGTGCGAGTTGCGCACGGACCAGAACTGGTTGAACGTCGCGGTGCCGACGATGGACGGCGCGTTGACGCGCTGCGTCGCGTAGATGTTGTACGTCGAGCCGTCGGATGTGACCGTGCCTTTTTGCGCGAGGCCGGTCGAGGGGTTGTACGGCCCTGCCACGCAGGTGAGAGGGCTGTCTATCTGTGGACCCACTAGGGTCAGCGCGACGCACCAAAGTTCTCCGTGATGTAGTACTCGACGAGGGGGTTCGTCGTCCAGCCGTAGACGGAGAGGTAGCTGTTCCCGTTCGGACTGTATGTGCCGCTGAATGAGATCGACCTGGAACACCATCAGGACTACGTATGAGGACGGGACAGAGATCTGAGAGTACCTCGCAGAGCCAGGGTTCCACCCCTTTCCGCCGACAAAGTTCCCGTTCCCGCTCCAGGTCACGCTGTACTCGCCCGCTGCGCCATTGTTGTAGTTGACGTTCGCGCCGCCGTCGGTCCAGAACGAGTAGTAGTACCCGCCGCTCGAGCCGGTGCTGCTCGGCGTTCCCGCCCGTGCCGCGACGTCCTGAACGGTCGCGTTCACTGGCCACGCGCCGGTGGGCTGGAGAACGACAAGGGCGCTCGCGATGAAACTAAGTAAGAGCGGATACATCACACTGCTGCTGCTTCATTTGGGTGCGATAGTCCGTGCTTATAAGGCCCCGGGGACGGAGGATAAACCGCGGTTCTTCGCTGTATCCCCAGCGCTCACTTGGTCTCCTCGCCCATGACGCGCATAAAGACCCCGCGCGGGTGACTGCATCATATGTCTCGCCCTCCGTGGATTCTCCTTGAACTTGACTGCCGGGCGAGCGCACATCCGTTCGGCGCGCGGGTCGCGTGGATCGCAGGTCCCAGCCGAGCGGCAGATAGCACAGGGGAGGCACTGATGGCCTGTCGCAGATCGGACTGTGCCAGTCCTCAGCCGTGCAGGATGAACGCCGCGTTGTCGGTTCGGAGACTCATGGACGCTTCGATAGATCGTGTTACAGATCTGTTGCTCGAGTAGATCCGACTCCAGCTGAGCAGAATGTGGGGGACGGGATCGAGTCGGAGGCAGGAAAGCTGATCGTCTCACGTGATCATGCTTTGATATGATCTAATCATAGCTGTGTACTCAAGTCTTGCTCTCACTTTTGTCCAAGCTTTCAGAACGCAAGTCCTTCCTTTCTAGCAGCGCCCAGTCCAAGTCCATGTTACATCAGTACAACATAATGAATACACAAAAGTCCCCCGAGACCTTCACACCACAGAGTCCAAATCCTCGACGCCACGCATCTTCTGCGAGATGGGCGTGACCACCTCGTCGGCCTGGCTCTCCGTCGTCGCCCCGCTGAGCCCCACAGACAGCGCTGGGAGGTCGTCGTACGTGGCCACCGTCGTGCCCGGATTCGCCGCGACGCGGACCTGGGCGGGCGGCGTCAACTCGACCAACGGGTTCCCCAGCCACGGAGCCGACTGGTCACTCACGGAGATGTGCAGCGGGAGGGGCACGGACTTGCCCGCGCCCGAGTCGTCGCCGGGTTCGGTGCGCCGCCAGCCGCCGCGCGCGTTGAGCGAGCTTAGGAGCGAGTTGCTGGCGCACACGGATCGGTCATGAGTCTATCGCATGCATCGCGGTCACAGGTTGGCTGGGTACACACACCTGTAGAGCTTCGCGAGCGGGAGATTGAAGAGCAGGTGCCTGCCGCGCGGACTTAGCACTTGATCCCCACGACGGCGGGATGGGACTCACATGCCGCTCGTCTGCGCGGTATGTGCGTGAGCAGGTGCACAGACGCTGAAAGCACGAAGAACGCACGTCGCCGAGGAAGAGCCCCAGATCGATGACGGAGCAGATAGACGTGATCATGCCCGTCTGGATCGTCAGGCGTATGATCTTGTCGACTCGCGTGTCCGTCGCGGTGCACCCCGTCCGGTGTCGTCTCTGTCGCCACCAAACGCTCAGTCACTAGACGACACGCAGACTTGCCGAGAGACCGACGCACAAAGAAGATGACTGCGGGCACCCTCAGCCTTTCCCTGCGCTCAAACTGCGAACAAAGAAAACCTCACCAAGCGTTATCGTGATGATCACATCCCCGACCTTCGCAGACAGTCAGCGCATACTTCGCTCGCGCAGAGGGGACTCGACACTCGCCGCAGCGCCGAGTAGCCAGCAGATGACCGGGACCTGGAACTGCTGAAAATGCGAGAACTGGGGCACGAACGCGATCGCCGCTGCAGATGCCAGGCCACCGACTGCAGCGCGGACCCGCCGGGTCAGGGGTGAGTGGATTTCATCTCGGAGGGTGGTGGGGGTGCTCACATGCGTTGGTCAGTGCACAGCCCGCGACGAGGACGACGATCCAGATGTTCCCGGTCAGCATCTGCGCGGGTGCAAGAATGCTCCTCAGCCCGGGCAGAGCAAAACCGAGCAGAGACTGGCACGCACGTGGATCCGCCATGCGTAGAAGACCTGCACCATCGCCCCGATGATGCCTGTCATCGCAGGGTCTGTCAGGGCATGTTAGCGCGCGAGAACAGGAGCCTGTGTGCATGCACAGACCGGTCGCGAATACTGGGTCGCGTCTCAGTCAGTGCAATTTGGTCACGGTAGGCTGGCGGGCCGCACCCCAGTTTGCCTTGCCGAGATAGGGCAGATCGTCTACACGATGGACGCGTCGGTCAGTTTGTAGGGGAGCGAAGCAGCGCGTGGTGGTCACCGAAATGGACGATGAGCGAGTCGTAGAGATATGCCGCCATGAAGCCCGTGTTGAGCGTGTCGGCGAACATGAGGGCGACGACCTGAGCTCGCCCAGTCAATCCGTTGTCGGTGTGATTGGAACGGGAGCACTAACATAGACTTTGATGAACACGGAGTCTCTGCACGGCGGAGTGAGCATGTTGTTTCCGGATGTCAGAGAGAGGCTCGCCGCTTGTATGTCGTCATGTAGAGGTAGAACTGGCGCCGATCGTCGTCGCGTTCAGCTACGCACAGCGAGATAGATGCATGCGACAGACTCACCTGGGTAATCATGATCCCGTAGAGCAAGATGTTCATCATCAACCTGACGCCCATAAATGAAACGAGGTCGCCGAGTCGCCCAGACCCAATGCTCACCCCACAAACATCGGTCCATGTCTGAGAAAAAAACATGCAGTGCGTCAGCCATCTCCCAGGCACACCGAGTAAAATCCAACTGAACGCGACTTCCGCGGGTCCCATGCTGAGAGTAGCGCAAACGACCCACGAGAGGAGGGGCGACACGAGGAGCGGCATGGGCTGCGCGTGAAAAGGTCGGTCTTATAGAGGGCGTAACGCGAACTATCCGTTAGGGTACAGTATGCATATGTAACCGTGCACCTCGCTTCCGGCGGATTTACTAACACAAGCGTGCTTCGATCGCGAGCAAGGTTTGTATCATATTATTTCATTTTATATTATAGGACACTAACTACTGCTGCGTACTCGCCAGCCCGGACGACGACCCATTGGTCGGCTGGTTATTCCGGCTGCTAGTCGACTCAGAGGCTGACAGGACGTGCACGAAATCGGACCCGGGGCTCGGTTGCCCACATCGTGGCGCTGTCGCTCAGGCTTTCGCAGATCAAAAAACGGTAGGTCCTCCCAGGCACAAGACAACAGCGATAGGGAAAAGGTGATGCAGAGTGATATAGAGTACACACGAGAGTACATAAGCGTATAGTGCGAGCATGCGAACAGTCTATCTCAGCCGGATCATCGACTCGAAACTGGCCTTGCGGCGGACCGGCTTCTCCTTGCCCCACACGTCAAAGACCCTGAGCTTGCGCTCGTCCGGCACAGCCACGACGACGCGCTGTGTGCTGAGGTCGAGTGCGGCGGTGTTGAGTGTGCTGCCGCAGATCGGTTTGTCCGACACCCCAACGGTTGCGATGGGCTGCAGCGAGGGGAAGGAGTGCGCGAGGATCTGGTTGCCCTTGGCCGAGGGGGTCAAGGAACGTGAAGCGCGCCGTTGCTCGGGTCTCGCGGAGGTGGTACTGGGCCCAGTAACGGACAGGACCTCGCGGTACTCGGCCGAGAAGTACTGCCCCACGATCTGGCACCCCAGCGCGAGCGTGCCCCGGTGCGTCGGAGTCGAACTGGCGGCGGACCAGAAGTGGGCCGTGCCTTGGTCGTCTCCGGTTGCGAACGTCTTGGGGCTCCAGGGACACCACGTCAAAGACTGTAGCGGCGCGTGAGTGGATCGGTTGGTGAGTTAGATTGGTCAGCAAACGCACCGAGATCGCAGCGGCGTGCGCGATGGGTTCCTCGACGTTCAGCGCGGTCCGGGCGCGCGGATCCCAGCAGAGCACGGTCCCGTCCGCGTCCCCCGTGACATACAGGCTGTGGCCGGGATTCCACGCGAGCGCGGTGATGGCGGCCTCGTGCGCGGTCTTCCTCCCCGCGCCGCCGCGCTTCTTCTTTTGCGGCTCCCGGGTGTCGATCTGGCGCACGGTCCCCTGCGCCGTCGCGACTGTCAGCGTGCGCCCGCTCCACGCCACGGCCGTTGCGCCCTTCACGGTGTACGTAGAAACCATCCCGCGCGTCTGGGCGTCCCGGATCTGCACCGCGCCGCGCGAGGTCCCGACCGCGAGCAGGCCGCTGCAGTCCACCCCGCCGGCCTCCAGCAGCGTCAGCGGCCCGTCGACCGTGCAGAACGGCGCGCCGTCATCCGCGACTGGCGCGAGCATGTTGCGCGCGTAAACGTCGTTTCCGTGCCCGAAAAACAGCGTGTGGCGCGCCGAGTAGCTCAGCGGCACCATCGCTTGCGACCCACTGGACCCGCCGGATGGCGTGAAGTCGATCGATATGCCGTGGTCCCGCAGGATGTGGTGCGTAGATCCGGGCGGGTAGCTCGTGATGATCTTCTCCAGAGTAAAATCCGTGTGCGACGCGGCGCGGCGGAGGCTGAACACCGGGGCCAGCGCGGGCGGGCCCATGTCGAGGGCTGTCGGGACGGGCCCCGTGCTGAGAGACACGCCGTGGAACGGGATGGGGGCGGGGCCGTCTACTCGGGTCCGCTTCGCGCGCCGGGTCGAGAGCCCGATGGACATGGACAGCGTTCGTTTCCGGGTGTACGGAGTGCTGCTGCTCATCGCTAGCGGGGTGAGTCATCAGCGCTAGCCCCGATCGCGCGCAGCCATGCAAAAAAAACACGCACTAGTTCCTGTGCAATGAGGGACGGAGGGAAGGCAGCTATGCGGTGTCATTGTTGTGTTGTCGCCAATTTGTAGCCGGCCGGGTGCATCGAGGTGGGCCCTCGAGAAGCCGCATCCGGGAGACAATGCTGCATGATCGATAGCCGATCAAGCTGAGACTTGCGTGCGCACATATCTGCACAATCTCCTATGGGGCGTGCGAACGACGCAGAAAGCGACCCTTGCTTGATATGGTTTGAGTATTCTCGGCCAGATTTCGCCCGAGAGAGCGGTATGAGAGCAAAAACGTCGCCGACTCCTCGTCAGAAAAGACATAAGCCTGGACCGCGGATGGGTCCCAGCGTCGATCATCCTGTCGCTGTGTATCCCCAAAGCACAAACACAAAGCCTCGAATCATGGCGAGGCTTGGACGATACATTCCGGAGCTTCCGGCCCATTGAATGGCACCGACTAACGTCGAGGACAGTCACCGTGAATTGACAGTTCACCTGCCAGTGGCCACCCGGCATTCAGCCAAACTTCGCAATGAAAGTCGTAGAATCTGGAAAGCTGCACACGGTCGCAGCGTGGATTGCTGCGAGTTTGAGGTCGTTTCTAAGGTGCGACAGCGAATGCGGTGACGCATGGATCATAGGATGGTTGTACAGAAAGCCAGCGCATAAATGCTCGGCATAGATGTTGAATGACCTATTGAGGGCCTCAAGAAGCCTTGCTGGCTGGAGTCCGGTAGTGCACGAGTCGGAACTGGCCCAATCGCGCAGGAAGTAACGTGCGTGGGAATAGCGCGTTGATGGCTGGCGGCAGCCCTTTGACTTGCTCAGATATGGGTCTAGAACCAGATTAGATACAAGCTAGTCACTTCAATAAATGATTGAACCGAATCGTCGTCCTTTTTAGACACAATTGGTACTCAAAATAGTCAGAAACGTTTGAAATTACCCGATTCTCCAGCATTCAGGAGGCACATCAGACTTCAGTACCAGAATCGCTCGACTGACACCAGCTTTACTCTGTTTGCGGAGGAGAAAATGGTCAATTGTGGACCAAGTTTTGCCCTATTCTGGACAGTCGATGAGGGACTTGGGATGTAGATCTGTTCACTCAAATGGACTACGAGCAAAGCTTTTCCGTATCCGACACTTTCGTGTATAATTATCATATCATGAGACGCCTCCCCAAACGCCTAAGCCCGCGAAGAAAGCCCCCAGGGAGACGACGATGCCCACGTACGCGGCGGTCTGCACCCCGACGCGCGGCAGCACGAACGGCGCGTACAGCACCGCGACCAGGAGATGCGTGCCGACCGCCAGCGCCGACAGTGCAACGCCATGCCAGGTCGTGCCGTACAGCGACCCGCCGAGCAGCAGAGAAAGCCCAATCGAGAGCAACAGGGAGTTCACGCGCTGGAGGCACGGAATGAAAGGCGGAATGCGCTGCACGGGCGCTGATGAGCTGCGCTCTATGACATGGAGGAGTGATACGCACAATCAGAGGAAGCCCCAGGACGTCTTCGAGTTCCTCGCGGGCCTTGAGCGAGATCAGCTGATCCATGTCCCGATCGAGCTCGGTGTCTGGATCCGACGGCGGTCGCGCAGGGAGCAGGGGCGTGTTCTCAGGATCAGTGCCCGACGGGGAAGCAGCAGCAGCAGCGGCAGCACTGTACACGAGCACGTCCTCGTACAGCGCCAGCCCCGCGTACCCCTGGTGCACGCTGACGGCAGCCTCCGCGGCAGCCCACCCGAGGGCCGCCCACCACACGCGCAGGAACGCCGGGTCGCGCCACGTGGGGTGCGCGAACTCCGCGAAGTGGCGCACGAGGAGGAGGCTGAGGGCCGTGCGCCGCGCCGCGATCGAGATGAGTGCATGGAAGAGCGTGGAGAGGAGTGTGGCGGGGAGCGGGCCCTGCGCGAGCGCGGTGCAGAGGGCGTAAATGGGTGCGCGCAGGACGTGCGCGAGGCAGTAGAGGGCGATCGAGAGGAGGAGCTCGGGTGCGGGGAAGGGGAGCGACGATGGGTATGGGTATGTGTGCGGATGGGCGTGGGGAGAGTATGCGGCGTATGGTAGAACAGCGAGGAGACCGAAGAAAACAACGGCTGTTATTGGTGTGAGGGTATATAGCGCGAGGAGACGCTTGTATGAGCCTGAAGAGATGAGTCGGGTGCCGGCCAGGAGCGAATGCTCGCTCACCTATGTAGTATCCCTGGGCTTCCAGCTCTTCTTCATCATCATCCAAGCGCCATTCCTCCGCAGGCTCCTCAGTCACGCGGTTCAGCGCACTGTTAGTTCGTTCAGAGCTCCGTCTCTGAAGGATTGCGGCCATGGTTTTAGCCAACGCCAGAGGGCGATAACGCAAGGCACGCCAAGTCGCAGTTGCGCCAAAGCTCATTGGATAGACGCGATCACGTGCGATTACATAGTGGTACACATATTGCCGTAGAGTATGACGCGTATGGGGATAATTAACAAATCACGATTGTCCAAGTTTGCGCGCATAGACTGTATGGAACACTGTAGCCAGGCCGTCGGTCACCAACAGCTCCCTCTTCACCCTCTCATACAGCGCGGCCAGCTCGTCCTCTGTGATTTCGATCACGCTGTCCAGAATCATCATCCGGACACTGTCCATGAAGCGGCTGAAAGCGCCACGCATCGCCATCCCCGACTCATGCAGGGCCGTGTCTGGATGCCACGTCCCAAGAGGCAGGTAGTGCTCCTCGGGTGTGATGTCTCCGAATGCGCCCGAGGCGGCCAGCATGGGTCCGACGGAAGGTGCAACTTCGGGGAGACCGCGTTGCGAGAGACAGGTATGCACGAGCTCGAAAAATCTGTCCATGGCGGGAACGGGGATGTGGCTTCGGTCGGGATTGAATGCTGGGAGGAGACCCCACTCTCCGGAGAGAAAGATTCCACCTGGACGGAGCAGCCGGGCTACCTGTGCGATCACATCCGGATAGGAAGTGACCTAGGAAGGGTCACTCATCCGCGAGCCTGATGCAGAGAGAAAACTTACGGCCATGGTGACAGAGCGAGCATGGATAAGGTCGAAAGTGGCGTCATCCCAGATGGCGTCAGACAGCGCGTTTACATCTTGGATGAAAAACTGAACATTTGAGGGAGGATAGCGTGTTTGGATCGGTACTGAAGTCGTATTTCAGCAGAGGAGTTCGCAGATGACGATTTGATCTCACCGATGTCAAGCGCCCGCACTTGGCTGTCAGGGAACCGGGCGGCCATATCCAGAGCCCTGCGTATTGCGCTGAACATTCTCGATGCGGAGTAATAGAACCCACTGACCACCTTCCTGTGCCAGTGCACAAGTCTAGAACCCGCTTCTGGCGGCTGGGACTCCGCGCGAGCAAGTCCCCGACGGGGCAAGATGCCGGGTAGTGTCTGTTGCCCATGTGTCGATAGAGCAGGAAATGCAAAGTGTCGCTCCGCTGAAACACATGTTAGAAGAGATGGCATGAGCAGAAGACGCGGTGGAGACCTCGTTCTCGGGTGTGTCGACAGGTAGGGGATACGGCGAGCTGTCATGAGCATGGAAGAGACGCGAGTTGCGCTGTACGAAGTAACTGGGAAAGTCTTCCACTTCCTCCAAATCTGAGCTGACGTCGTCGAAGGTCTCTGTGTCGGACATGATTCTGTGTATCCTGTGGCAAGCAGAGAGTATGCGAGTGTAGTTTTATAGCTCGCGGCTCTCCCAAAATTCTTGCCGAATATCATGTAGACTGGAGGTGGCTAGCGGCCGTGGAGTGACGCCATCTCGACGATCGCACGGAGGCTGTAGCTGCAAATTGAGATCTGCGAAAGGCTCGAAACCAAAGATTAGGCGCTGCTTTGTTTCCAGACGACTCTCCGGGCACGCATTATTGCACGCAGGGCAACGAAATTAAGGATCGGCGTGGAAGAGCGCCGCGGAGCTTGAATATGCCGTGCAGGACTATCCACAACACAGCATTTTCATGCTCGAGACATGTTTGAGAATTGTTTTATTTTGAAATCTCCGTCCGAATGATGACATTGGGTGCCCAAGAAGCGTAGTGCCACGCCAAAGACGTGTCGACTTGGATGAGATGAAAGATACATGAGATTGGAGTAGGCATAAGCGCCTGGAGCTATTGCAATTCACCCGAGACAAATCCACAAACTCCTTGAACCTAAATGGAAAGTAATGTCTGCTAAGCGCTGAGCAGTCATATGCGTAAGAAACACCAAGAAAGTAGGCTGTCTACAGCACGCCCACGTTTTCGTCGCCTGAACACATGATGATCCGAGGAAACCCAGATATTGGATCATCACTATACCGAACAAGCACGCTGAGACGTACCTCCAATTTCAAAGGGAAATGAATCAGGTCCATGCAAATCATAACCACATGGATCACCACATCATGTCATCATCCCTACATGTTTACCACGCTGTCAGCTGTCAGCATGTCACTGTCAGTAATGCCCACAGCGCGTTCTCACATGTGACCGTGACTCTCACAACTGCTCTCCTGACCGACTCAGACTCGAGACGCGAGCATAATCATGCTGGATATCGACGTCGAGGCTTACTACCGGGAGAAAGATCTTCGGATGAGTATTCCAGATGATGATGAAGATGAATTCATACAGAGACTTGCGGAATCGCGCCAGTGAGGAGGCCGTGCAATTGATCCACTATTCTCCTAATCCATCCTCTGCAGACCAGCCGAACGCGATCGGACATTCTTCAGGGTCGCAAATAATAGATCCAAAGGCACCAGATTCTCGTCTGCCTTTCGCGCTGATATGGAAATGGAGACGAACGAGGACACTGTCCCAGCCTTGCTCAGGTTTGTGCTCTATGCCTCGTTTGATGCAGGGACCCATTTCTCGTGTGGAGCAGCTCATTTGGAAGACTTCCCGAGATACCTCTTTCCGAAGATAGAAGCAGAAAACGCAAGCGAGATGAAACAGAAAGGTCTCGTCAACATTCACGGAGCTTGAATTTGAGCCTCATGTCTTCGTTTGATCAACAGTGGAACTTCGCCGCGCCAGCGTTTTCAGAGCGCGAGATATCCCCGGCATACATCACCTTTGCGCATGAAGGAAACGTCGCTGGAGGTTATGGAGCCGCAGTTGGCTGTGACAGATACCAAAGCAGATGTGGCTCTAGCAGACCAATCTAACGATCTCAGCACGGATGGTTCTTCCCCGGCCCGGAAAGCCCCGTGAGTCTCCTCTACTCAATCGTGTTTTTCGCTCATAGGAATCTCTATAGCACGTCCGATACAAGGAAACCGGCCTCCACGCGCCAACTAGAGAAAAGGTTCGGCAAGCCGCCGGACCTGAAGATTCCCACTCAGATATTGCCCCCGACTATCGATCTGACATCGTCTCCCATCGAAGAACCTGACTTCTCCGTCCTCGTTTCGCGATTCGAGCCGCAGGCCCAGTCGACGCAACGCCCACTCGCTGCTAACGCGAGCATCCACTTTCTGCAGATGAAGGAACGTGTCGAAAATGTGAAGCGGCTGAAGCTCGAGAAGAAACTGCGTAAGGAGGCATCTAAGGTAAAGGCGAGCGCCGCGGCCTCTGGTGATGAATCGGCAATCGAATCGGTATCGTCCTCGTCTTCTCGGCCGTCATCTCCTGCACCGCAATCCAAGACCGTGGCTCCAGGGAAAGACAAGGGAAAGGCTAAAGCACTGCCTGATCTGCCCAAGAAGGCTGCGCCCCCCGCGAAGAAAGGGAAGAAGGTGAAGATGATGCCCATAGATTACGCGCAGATGGTAAAGGAGCGAGCTGAAGCACCACTGCCCCCTGGAACTAAGCGCCCTCGTGGAGATCGTATCCTGAAGGGAAAGCGAATATTCTTTACGGGCGGCGACATGAGCTTTGCTTCCGATGCGACTATGGGGCGCATGGATATAGTACGTCTACGATCTCCCCCAACCGCGTTTTCGGTCGCTCAATTCCAGTAGATCATCAAACTCGGAGGAACGCTCTGTCCCAGGTTCGATCCTGCCGTCGTCACGCACATCATCACAGAGGCCGCTGAGAAATCGACGCTGCGTGCATTGGGCGTGACGACCTTCGAAGAGATACCTGAGCACATTCCGATCGTCAGATGGAGCTGGGTCTTCAAGAGTGCGTCTCTTGACGATGCGACTCCATTTGCTGCGTTCCCAGGACGCTGGCCCCGTCCCGTGGTCAAAGTGCAGGGCACGGAAGCGAAACGTGCATCGTCATCGAGCGTTGCTTTCTCCACATCAGATCGGGTCTTGGGAGGAGCATTAATGAGTGGAGGCAGGAAACGCGATCGGGCTGGGGGGCTGCCGAAGCGCAACATCCACGACTCGGAGGAGTCTGAAGACGAGACACCCGTTGCTGGACCATCGACATCGAGGCCTAAGACACCCACCAATCCAGATCCTCTCGCAGGTTTCTACGCTCAAGCCAAGGAGGAGTTTGATCGCGAGGTGTGTATGTGTTTGTCAACTCGAGGCTGTCGCTGACGCAGCGAATCAGAATGCAGAGCAGCCTGTGCCAGCTGAGGAGGATCCAGGTACTGACGACGAGGACGAGAAGCGCGGTCCGTCCAAGAAACGGGTATGTGTCTCGCGCACCCATCACTTGCACGAAACTGAGCCGGGTGGTCGACTCAGGGATGGACCTGCGACAGCCGGCAGAATATGCGGAAAGACGGGCCGAACGAATTCGTGGCCCAGAAGGTGTGCTGTTTCCCCACCATGCGAATCCCGGCTGGCGCTTGCTCAAGGCGCTCCCAGCTCGAAGAACTCAAGGAGCTGCATGCGGCAAAGGCCGGGGACGATGACAGGTGGCGAGTGTTTGCGTATCGGAAAGGTAGGGTCTTCATGCCTACATTGAAAGACGTAACGACTTACCCTTGAGGCCAGCGATCCCCGCACTTCGGAACTATCATAAACGGATTGAGTCCTTGGAGGAGGCACGTTGTATCCAGGGGATCGGAGATAAGACTGCCACGAAAGTGAGGACAAGGCGGGAAGTCGTGATACATCCTACCACATGCTCACAAACCTGTCAGATCATGGAGATCGTCGAGACAGGCGATCTGCGGCGGATCAAGTACGAGAACACAGAGGACGTGCAGATCCGGAAAGTGTTCCAGGGCATCTATGGTGTTGGTGCGTGTGATATGCTGCTTCAACGACTGGAAAGTGAAGATCGTTCGGTTGACTCTTGATCGATAGGACAAGCGACCGCGTTGAGGTGGTATACTTTTGGTTGTCGTACGCTGGACGATGTCAGAGCTGGCAAAGGTGGTGTTGTCTTGACTCCTGCGCAGAAGATAGGGCTTGAATTTTACGACGGTGCGCTGCTCCGATACCGTCTGCGCTCCCCAGAGAGTTGATTGAGCTTGTTTACTGTACGCAGACATCAACACCCGGATGCCTCGAGAAGAAGCTCAGGCTATCTTCCAACTCATCAAGCCTATCGGTGGGTTGTGATCCTGCTCGCTGCCGCTGCTCACTTGTTGACTGGCTGGTCTGTAGCTCTGCGCATCGACCCCAAGCTCGAAGTGCACATCATGGGGAGCTTCCGGCGGTAAGTCGCGTTACACCTCTCCGATCCACGGTCTCCCTCTCATTGCACCACAGCGGGAAAGCGACCTGCGGAGACATCGATATCATGATCACGCGCTGCCCGGATGACGGGCGGACGATCGCTGGGCTGCTCCATGAACTGCTGAGGATACTGCACAAGAAGAAAATCATCACGGAACATCTGGCGATGCCCGAGGATCCGCACGACGAGGAAGCCATCTATCGAGGGCTCTGTCGGCTTCCGGAGCCTGGATCGCGTCGGCGGCGGATCGACTTTCTGACTGTTCCGTGGAAGTCACGCGGCGCTGCGTTGCTGTATTATACTGGCGATGATATTGTGCGTGGATTTCTTGCTTGTTTGCCCTCCTGTTCTGACGCGTGCATTGACGAAAAGTTCAATCGGGCGATGCGGCTCAAGGCCAATCATCTCGGGTACTCGTTGAACCAGAAGGGCTTGTACGCGGGGGTCGTGCGGGACCCGAAGAACCGCATGGTTAAGCTGAATGCGGGGAACATCGTCGCGTCCGAGACGGAGGAGGAGATCTTCAGGATTCTAGACGTGCCGTACCAGGAGCCGCACGAGCGGGTCAGAAGTTGATAGCTGCGGCTGGGCCAGTGTCCGCATGGTCATGGCGATGGGAACCCCGCCTTTGTCTTGGGAGAGTGTTTTCTCGGATATGACGCGGCGCCGCGGCGGCGGTCTTGTTGCCCGGAGATCTGGGATGGTGTGAAGATCATGCCGCGGCAGACACCTTCTCGGCATTCCCGCAGCGTAAGTACTTATGAGTGGTGTCGACGTTATGGCCGACTCAAGGGCGGCCTGGTTCAGCTTGAACCAGCTTTGTGTGCATATGGGACACCTGGATGAATGGATGATGGATGGATTGAACGCGAAGATCTGTGCAGGAGTCTGTGCCTGCATACGGTAGCATTGGCCGAAGGCGTATGCTGCGGGCAAAACGACGACACTGACAATGCACTCGGCAAAGACCTGGCAGGGTAACTGTCTCGTCGCTGAGGGAGCTCGAGTGAAAGCAGCGAGCTGGTTCGGATATTGGCAGGGAAAGGTCGCAGAAGCCACACCCCTTCAATACACATTTTCATTCTGCCAGCAACAGGAATCGCTCCACGATCGCTGACCACCGGCTTCAGAGCAGGTACTGCTATACGGCTGATCATCAGCTCATGCTGAGCGTGGAGAGTGGGTAGTTGCGAGAGCTTGGCCGCTTAGACCGAGTTCACACTATTGGTGTATTCGTAATGAAAACATAATTATGTGGAATAGAGGCTCAGCACTGTGGAGGTAAAGGTAAAGAATTGCAATTAGGATTGTAGAATTGCAAGGACCCCGGTAACTGAGCATTTCCCGTCTGGCCCAATGACTGATCGTATACGTACCCGGCTGCGCGCAGTAAGTACGGCGTCGGTGCCGAGGTGGGCACGTACCATGGTCAATGACGGCCACGGCGAAGAGTTTATCGTAGAGTCATCGACATCATCAAATTTACGGGTCCGTGGGTTCCTTTCTATATAAAGATCCATGTCGCACCACGCGCAGCAACGCAGAAGTCGCTGTTGCTCCAGGCCCTCAAGCTCAAGGCCCGCACCGCGCCCTCCCTGCCCGTCGGCAACTCATGCGTTTCTTCTCTAACCCGTTTAAACCGACGCCCGCGCAGCCTGGATTTGGCACGGGCAAGGTCCTGCCGAAGGAACATGCGTCGTACGTCATCTTCACTCGCGATCTTGCGCCGTTGGGCCGTAGTGACTGAATACTGCGCATGCGACGCACAGGTTCCTCTCCAAGGTCGCCGTCCACTGGCTCGGCCCCTTCCTCGATGTAGGATTCTCGCGCCCGCTGGAGAAAGAGGGTGCGATCGTCATTAGGATTCAGAGATCAAAATTTCATTGACTTGACGTAATCCAGATTTGTACGAGCTGCCGCCCGATTACTTGACGAGTGCGACCACCGACCAGTTCGAGGCCAACTTCTATCGCCGCTGTCCGCCTGAACAGCGCCCAGAGGCTTTCCGCGACCCAGAGAATGCCGATTCGTTGAATGGCGCGGAGACGGTTTCGGTGGATTCGGGCACCAAGGAGGGCAAGGAGAATCTGAAGGAGGCGGGAGAAGAGGCGTCCACGAAGACTGCGAAGACGAAGACGAAGTCAAAGAAGAAAAAGGTCAAGTCTGAATTCGACTCATCGCTGTCTCGAGCTCTTTTGCGCACCTTCTTCTGGCGCATCGCGGGCGGGGGCATCCTCAAGCTGTTTTCTGGTGAGCCGCTCAATCTGTGGCGCGGTGTTGGATCGGATATACGTCTTATCCTGCCGCAGACACCCTTAAAACGACCACGCCGTTGCTGAATAAGGTGATCCTCTCCTGGCTGTCGACGTCCTACGCCTATTACCGTGCAACGGATGCGGAGCGCGCATCAGGTCTTCTGCAAAAGCCCCAAGGAATTGGGTACGGGGTTGGACTTGCCTTTGGGTTGTTTGCAATGCAAGGTGAGCACGCCCGCAGCTACGCTCACTCGCTCTTCACCATCTCATCTTGCCGCAGAATGCGCCAGTATCATGGCCAACCACTCCGAACAAAGTGCGCTCCCTTCTTTGCTGCGCGAACCAAGCTCACAGTGGTCCTAGTCATGATGGCGCTCGGATTGTCGGTGCGCACAGGTGTGATTGGCGCCGTGTTTCGCAAGTCCCTCCGGCTCTCCGGCCGCGCGCGCCTCGAGCACAGTGTCGGACAGACGACCACGATCATCTCAGCCGACTCAGCGCGTCTCGATCGATTCTCGCAGTTTGGACACAAGTGCGTGTGCTCCCCGATGAATTGGCTGCCGTGGCTTATCCAGTCCTAGCATTTGGGTTGCTCCAATACAGGTGTGTGACCTTGGGACTTGTGTAATCCGAAACATCTGACCGTTCGCGAATGCTACGATAGCTTGTTATTGGTGTTGCCCTGCTCATCAACAATGTGCGTTATTCGAGAAATGCTTCCGGTGCCGCGTTTAATGGTCGATTTTACCTCAGCTGGGATATTCAGCGCTGGTTGGATTAGGTGTCTTGCTGCTGGGTTTCCCCGTGCAGATGGTGCTTGTCAAGGTCATGTTTGCCCAGCGGAAGAAGGGCGTCAAGATCACGGACACCCGTGTCCGTTTGTCAAACGAGGTGCTGCGTGCGCTTATGCGGAGTTCCTCATGCGCTAACGTGCCGCTCAGGTTCTTCAAGGGATTCGGCTGATCAAGTACTACGCCTGGGAGGCGTTCTACACCCACCAGATCGGCACCCTGCGCGAACGTGAGATCGCGACTGTGCGCAAGACAGCGTCCGTGTCTTTTTCTGTAGAACGGCGTGGAATGCTCACGGTAGTCCTTAGGATCGCACGTGCTGTCCTAATAGCGCTCGTAACGCTGATTCCAATGCTAGCGTCCATCCTGTCATTCGTAAGTCTGTTGTTACACTATTGAGGAACTACTCATGTGTTCGCCAGATCACCTACGCGCTCAGCGGGCACAATCTGAACGTCGCGATCATCTTCAGTTCCTTGCAATTCTTCAACATCATCCGCACCCCTCTCGTCTTCCTGCCGTTCGTTTTGTCTGCGCTGTCCGATGCGTTGGTGGCTCTGCGCCGCATCGGGTCGTTCCTCACCGCCGAGGAGCTGCCGCCACCTTTCCCCATCGACAGCGAGCAGAAGAACGCTGTCGAGGTCAACGCCAGTTTCGCGTGGGAGACCGCTGGAAGATTGGACGACAAGTTTGATGTGGGCAAAGCGGGCAAGAAGGGCAAGGGCAAGGCGAAGAAAGCCAAGGCAAAGAAGCAGGGACAGCTGCCGACAACTGCTACGGAAGGAGGAGGAGAGACAGGAACCAGTACGCCGGCAGTGGAAGAGAAACCGTTTGAGCTCAACAACCTCCGTCTGAGTATCCCGAGAGGCTCTTTCGTTGCAATTGTCGGCAAAGTGGGCTCTGGCAAGGTATGTCGTGCGCGCGCTGCATAGATTCGTTCCCGCATTTCTAATGAGATGGAATCAACAGAGTTCCCTGCTTCAGGCCATGATCGGAGAGATGCGCCGGACGGAGGGCACCGTTGTCTTTGGAGGATCCATCGGCTACGTCGCCCAATCAGCCTGGATCCGGAACGCGACTCTCGGAGACAACATTACCTTTGGTCAGGAACTCAAGCCCGATCGTTTTGAAGACGTGGTGAGAGCTTGCAATCTCGAGCACGACCTTGAGATGCTGCCTCATGGCGCAAAGACCGAGGTTCGTGTCGCAGACTCGTCTCTTGATTTCCATGCTGACGGTATCAGATCGGCGAGCGAGGAATCAATCTGTCTGGAGGCCAGAAAGCTCGTGTGGCCCTGGCCCGTGTCGCGTATTCTTCCTCAGACATCGTGCTGCTGGACGATCCACTGAGCGCCGTCGATTCCTACGTCGGCAAAGCCATTCTTGACAACTGCATCCTCCACGGCCCGCTCGCAAGCCGGACGCGGATCCTGGTCACGCACGCTCTGCACGTCTTGGACAAGACCGACTACATCTATGTTATGGACAACGGCGTGATCTCGGAGCAAGGGACCTTCGACAGCCTAATGAAAGACGGCGCGCTCTTCTCTCGGCTGATGGAGGAGTATGGGAACCTCGAGCAGGAGGAAGCAGAGGCGGAAGAGACGGAGAAAGAAGAAGCCGAGAAGGCCGAGAAGAAGGATGAGGCGAGCAAGGACCAGTCTGCGTTGATGCAGGCCGAGGAGAGGAGCACCGGTGCTGTGTCATGGGATGTTTACTCCAAGGTGCGTTCCTCCAACCAATGGATATAGGCCACGAGACAACCTCATTCTTGCTTCCAGTATTTCCAGTATGGCGGGAGTATCCTGTGGGCACCAGTTATCTTGCTCCTCCTCACCCTGTCGCAAGCGGCGCAGGTCGGCAACAACTTGTTCCTCGGATTCTGGACGGCGGAATCTATTCCCGGCTTCCACCAGGGCGACTACATGGCCGTGTATGCCGGGTTGGGCTTTGCAACGTCTATATTCTCGTTCGCGCTCAGTATCGCGCTGTCGTGAGTTGACCCTGTCTCATCTTTCTCCCTTCACTACTGAACATCACGCACAGCATTTCGAGTCTGATTGCAAGTCTGAGTCTGTTCAAGGCTGGACTTTCCCACGTCCTGCGCTCGCCGACATCCTTCTTCGATACAACGCCCATGGGACGGATTCTCTCACGACTGGTGAAAGACCAAGACACGCTCGACAACATCCTGTCCATGACACTGAACCAGCTGCTCTCGACGTTCAGTAACGTGCTCGGAACCGTCGCGCTTGTGTTCTACACTTTCCCGTATCTTGGCATCATCTTCGTGCCCATGTCGATCATGTATTATCTCGTCGCGCTGTACTATCGACGCTCGTCGGTCGAGACCAAGCGACTGGATTCCCTCATGCGGTCGACCCTGTACGCGTCCTACACAGAAACGCTGACTGGCCTGTCGACTATCCGGGCTTACCGGGAACAGGACGACGCTATCCGGCATGCAGAACATGGCTTGGATCTGGAGAACAGAGCGTATCTGATGACCATTACCTGTGAGCTGTCAGCGTCGTCGAAGTATTGATCCGTCCTTGCTCACGCGCTTCCGACTAGTGCAAGCATGGCTTGGGCTCCGCCTCGACGTCTTCGGGAACATTCTCATCTTTGGCATTGCTATCTTTGCCGCTGGATTGTGCGTGTATTTCCCGCTTGTTTTCCGACGATCCGCTGCTTACGCTTATTACGCAGCCGAAAGTCTGTCGATCCCAGCAAGATTGGTGTGGTATTGTCTTACACCCTCAGTAGTACGTCTCGATCTACACACCAATTTGTGACAGAGCTGACTGCTTCACAGTCACGCAAATCTTCTGTAAGCTCGTAGCGAGTGGTGATGATTCTTATCTCACCTTCCACAGCGCAAATGGTGAACATGTTCGCGCAGAACGAGCAGAACATGAACTCCGTCGAGCGCCTCGTCGTGTACGCGGAACTTCCAGCAGAGGGAGCGCCAACGACACCGAACGACCCACCCGCCTCGTGGCCTGAGCATGGCCAGATCACGTTCAAGGATGTCCAGATGGCGTATCGGGAAGGTCTGCCGTTGGTGCTCAAGGGCGTCAGCTTCGACGTCAAGGCTGGGGAGAAGATCGGGATCGTCGGTCGGACGGGGGCGGGCAAGAGCTCTCTGCTGCAATGCTTGTTCCGCATAGTCGAGCTGCAATCGGGTGAAGTCAACATTGACGGAACGAATATCGCAGGGGTTGGTCTGGATGTGTTGAGAGGCCGGCTGGCGCTGGTCCCGCAGGACAGCGTGCTGTTCCTGGGCACTCTGCGCGAGAACTTGTGCGTCATCCTTTGATCACAGATACCCGCTACAGAAACTGATCTGCCTGCGTTTACCAGGGACCCACAAAACTCGAGGACGGACGCAGAGCTGTTATCCGTGCTTCAGCGCGCATGGCTACTACCGCGACCTGGGGAACCGTCAGACCCCATAGCCGAAGCCAAGTTCAGTCTGAATTCCACGATCGGCGACGAGGGCTCCAATTATAGTGCCGGGGAGAAACAGCTGCTCGCTCTCTGTCGAGCATTGGTGAAAAATAGCCCGATCATCGTTCTGGACGAGGCTACGAGCAGCGTCGACGTCGAGACGGATGCGAAACTGCAGCGGACGATCCGGACAGAGTTTGCAAGCTCTACGCTGCTTTGCATCGCACATCGGCTTAATACGATCGGTGCGCTGGGCTTGTTTGCTGTTCGTGTTTCTCGCGCTAACTTCCGGCGCGCATTTGCAGCCTACTACGACCGGATTTTGGTGATGGACCAGGGTCAAGTGGCCGAGTACGACACGGTTCTGAACCTGTTTGACAAGGAGGACTCGATCTTCCGCTCGCTCTGCAACGAGGCGAATCTTTCGAGGGCGGATATCTTGCGTATCCGGGCTGATAACGTATAACATCTGGAACGCTCACGACCTACTACGCCTCACTCACGGCTTGGATATCCTATATAGAGTTGATATTTGTACTAATGGGATACACGACTGACTACGATTACTTGAATTCAGCACAGTACCAGAAGCATCGTTGGCGTCAACAATTGAGGTCATGAACACCAGGTCAGGCCTCGATCATTGCCAAAAGTGAGTGTGTGGGTCTGGCCTAAGTAGAGTGACTGTTCCCGATCACAGATCATCATTATCTGTCATCGACCTCAGGCTAGAACTGTCACGATCCAGTCAGCGGCCACCTGTCCTGAACCTCCCATCTTCATCAAACATGGTCCAGCGGAGCTCGGAACGTACATATTCGTCAGGGATATCGCGGCTGGGACGCTCGGGGTAGTCTGAGGTACGTGTCAAACCTACACCCACTACCATCCCTCCCAACGCCTTCACCCCCAATAGTTGGCGATCTCGACGTACGTCGCTTCCTGGGAGAGTCGGAGCAGGACATGAACAACGAGAATGACGAATCCGTTCAGATTCACGACGCAGACGACGATGCGGACGCACCGTCGAGTTTCGCGTCTTGGGAATGTCTCTGTCTCTGCCAACGCCCCGGCCGACGAACACCCACCAGGGAGGGCACGAGAAGCGATTCGCATGGCAATCTGGGATCCGAAGTACGAGGGCGCCTCTATAACTCTGGATGTCTTTGAGCCGGTGGACATGGTGTAGAGCTACTGGCGCCATTTACTGGGGGCTGTTGTCTCGCGGCGAGAGCATGCCAGAGGGATTTTGTGGTAAGTGCCATCACTACCCGTGCTACGCTCGGATCCAGCTCAATGCTCCGTCAGATACATATATACACCCATCTGTACTGTCCCACAATGCAGACTTGGTGCTCGAGTTCTACACTGACTCAGTATTGAAATTGGATCAACATCAGTTTTGATTTGCATTCATTGCCGAGAGCAAACCGCTGCCTAAGATCCCAAAAAAAATGTATGAGAGCAAGGTCAATGTATACTCTAGATACTCTCAAAAAGTTGTGGCATTGCGTTGAGTCATTACAATAGAGCAGCTGAATCTTTCTGATCGCGTGATCCAATTTCATTTCCACTTTTGGAAAGTCAGTGAAGTTCGATGCGGCGCGAGTTCCAATGGGGACTATGAAAGATGAGACATACCTAGCATCAATAATGAGTATGTCCTCCCTTCGCCTTGATGAGCTCCCGAACCCGACTCGTCATGCTGCCGTATAAACGATCAATGAATTCCTGGTCGATCTTGTACCACTCCTCCTGCAAAGCCTCCCACAATTCGTTGCGATTCTTGGGCGGAGGGCTCCGAGCGCGTACACGGCGGTCCAGATGGTCCCAAAGGTTCTCGATGATGCTCATATCTGGTGAGTTTGCGGTCCAATCCAGTAAATCAATGCCTTCTTCCTTCAACCAGTCCAGAGTGAAATGTGCCATGTGTTTCTTATCGCCGTCCTGCTGGAAATAGAGGGAGCGGCGGTCAAGGCCCTGCTTGTCAAAGGTGGGGAGGAGTGATTGGCGAAGGATGTCGACGTAAATGAACCGATCCATGATGCCTTCGATGCGATGTAGTTGCCCGACACCGCGAGACGTGACACATCCCCAGACCATGACGCTCCCGTTCCCGTGTTTGACGCGTTTCTTGGTGTAGCGCGGATCCAATGCCTGCCCCGAGGCTCTTCAACACCATTCCCGACCATCTGAACCCAGCACATTGAACTTCGACTCGTCAGAGAACACCACGGCCTGCCATGCCTGCTCGTCGTAGTGAGCATACTTGTTGGCCCAATCCAATCGATCCCGCATGTGCTTCCTCGTCAGCAGCGGCTTCTTCTGACGAACATAGGCCTTCAACCCGTGCTTTCGGAGCGAACTGCGGATGGTGTCGGCGTGTCGATCAGGAAAGAAACGGCGCTGGAGGTCGGTAGCGTTCTTGGCCTGGCCAGTGTTCAGCAGATTCTGGGCTTTGCGCACGTCGCGTTCAGTAAAGAGTGGTTTGCGGCCGCGTCTGGGACCTTTAGCCTCGAAATCGTGCATTGGACCGTATCGTGCCGCGATCCGTGACACCGTAGAGGGCGCGACATTCTCCTTCTCGGCCACCTCTCTTGTCGTCAATCCTGCCTCCCTCAACGCGACAATGGCGGCCTTCTTTGGGGCGGAGGTATCAGCCATGAGGTCGAGGATTATGTGTGTGAAGTTTCAGAACGTGTCGACGCGTTGTGGTCGAGAACGAAGAGGAAAGAGTTAGGATTGACGGCTGTCGAAATGAAATTGGATCACACGCTTTCGGCATTTGCTCCCATTGACAGTTGATATGGCCGTTGATTGGATCAAACTTCCGGTGGGTAAAAGCGACCTCCCAGCCCTTCTCATCCACCATACTGAAAACTTATATGAAAGGCTTTCTACAGTGTGGTAATATCATTTTCATTTTTGAGAGCTTGATCCAATTTCAATACGGAGTCAGTGTACCTTCCGACTTTGTGCACGGGAAGTCATATTGCATGTCGACTCTTTCCGTTCCTAGTCAATACATTGCGTCTGCTTGCCATGCGAAGGACTGAACTCATTTTCAAAATCCCCGCCCATGACACGAACGACTGAGCCCTCATCTTGCGGTGATAGGAACGAAGCCTTGATCGTGGCATGTTCCTTCTATGCGAACCATATGACTCTGACTGCTCTAGGCTCATGTCATTCATATCGAGTTCCCAGCGCTTATCCACTTCAATAACCTTTTCCCCAACGATCCCGCGTGTCGGCCATTCAGCTCGACTCGTGTCAGTCTTTGATCTGGGCTGCAGCACACACAGCACCGCTGCCCTGGACGGCAACACGCCAGGATCTCGTCGCGATCGAGCACTCAGTCCGATCTTCTTCTCTCAATGAGCTTGACCGTCTACCCTGTCAAACGACCTTCTGCTAATGACAGACTGCAATGTTCCCACGCAGCGCGACACATCGATGCCACGTCGCAAACGCAACCTCTCCCTCTCGCTGCCGCACAGATCTCCTACGTGCGGTATCCGGCTGCTAAGACCTGGAGAACGAGGGCTTACGGTCGGTGCGGGGTTACTCTGGTGAACCGGACTTGGGGATCACATGGGAGCATTCCTTCCTTCCGGGAACAGAACATCGGGCATTGTCTCGCTGCTCTCACGCCCTACAGAATTGTTCTCCGGAGCCTGGTCTGACCGGCGAGCAAGATTGGCGCTGCGATCCTGCAGGTCTCACCATTCACTTCCTGGGCATGCGCCACTGATTGGAACAGCTTTCATCTTCAATGAACCTGACGAGGTAAGCGCCCGCTGCCAACGTGTATGCGGTGAGGCTGAGGCTGTATGTCGCACAGCTTCCTGCATACCCTCTTCTCGTTCTACTCCCATGGCAAACTCTCAGTCAACGTTTTACATGCCCGCAACTCCTGTTCCTCCGTCGGACGATACTGCGGAGACGTTGCTCGCTGCAGCAGTCCAGGAGTACGAAAGGATCACCAGGAAGAAGCTGGATGACCTGCCGTTTGCTCAAGAGCTGAAGCGATGCAACACGGAGGACGATTTCTGTGCTGTTTTGACCCAACACAAGCAGTCTTTTGGAGACTTTCGCTCTCAGGACAAGAAGATCAGGCTTGTTCTCCGGCCCCTCACAGCTGTCCTCCAGCTCGCCATCAATCCCGTGGCCGAAGGGACGTCCGCTGTGGTGAGTATGGGTTCTGCGCGTCGCGAGCCATCGAGCTCATTCGAATTCAGCTTCCGGGAGGGAAAGGGATTCTTGTTGCTTTTGGGGCCTTGCTCGAGGTGAGTGCTGTCCGACACGTTCTCGTGGCGCAGACCCCAACTAAGTGTGTACCGTAAACAGGCTGCTAACAAAGTTAGCTACAAATATGACTTTCTGGAGCTCATCCTCGATCGGTTCCGGCCATGTCTAACTCGCCTGAACAACTATCTTGTCCGGCTTCCCCCGGAACACCGTCAGCTACTCCGCGATGTGTTGCTTAGAATCCTCGTCCTCATGATCGAGACGTTCGGACTCCTTACTTCGTATCTGTGGAAAAGCCCCAAGCTCAAGAATCCCCGGCTCAAGGCAGTGAGACGGCGCATGAGTAAGACCCGTTTTGCGGACATCCTCCCAAGGCTGACTCGCATTCTGACAGAGGATTGGGTGCTCCAGATGTTTGGATTCGATGATGTTAAAGGGGTTCTCAATGAGCTCGACGAGCTGACCAAGGAGGAAGGGCTTGCTGCATCGCTAGAGAACCTCCTAGTGTCGGTGGAAACAAAACAATTGATTGGTGTGTTTTGAGCTTGTCTTTGCTTGCCGGTGCTCACCGCGTGTGCATCAGTTGAGCAAGATATCAGAACCTGGCTCAATCCATATGATACGGGCACACGCTTTGACTATCTTTCCGAAGTCAAGCATAACGGGACATGTAATTGGTTCTACGACGAGCGATTCGAGAAATGGATTGGGATGCCAAACTCGATGTATTGGGTCCATGGGAAGCGTGAGTACAATGACCCTACTACACCGCGGCGTTATGCTGACTGCACCACAGCTGGCGCTGGGAAAAGTGTGTCGATGTGCGTTCTGTTACGTGTCTTCCATCTTCCTTTCTGACCATTTTCCATTGTAGGTCTGCGGTGGTCGAGCATATGCAGACACGGAAGGAATTCTTCGCGTTTGCGTTTATCTCTTATCGCGAGGAACGATCCCAACGTTTGGAAAGTGTCCTGTCAGCATTGGTGTACCAGCTCGCCACTCAAGCGAGGTGTTTCCGCGATCAGCTGAAGGCAGCCTATGATCGGCGCGGCGCGGCTCTTTCCGTGTCGCCAACTGCACTGTTGCAGTGTCTTATGGGCATGCTGAAGGGTGCGCCGAAGCGGGTGGTCCTTCTGATTGACGGGCTGGACGAGTATCCCAACCCCAGGCGCGCTGAGGATCTTTTACCTTTCTTGCGGAATCTGCACGGGCGCAAAGTCAACAACTTGCGTCTTTTGTTGGCGAGCCGACCGGAGCAGGACATTGAGCGTGTGCTAGAACCAATAACGACTCATCTACTGGACCTTGAGGAGAAGGCAGGGAGCCGTAAAGGAGATATCTCGAGCTTCATCAAGGCTCAGATGGAGGAGCATCATCCGGATTGGTCGGTTTCTGTTCGGGAAAAGGTGGAGGAGGCATTGACTTGGAGTGCAAATGGGATGTGAGTGGTTGCTCCGATATCTATGGCAAGGTGGCTTATGATGCCAGGTTTCTGTGGGTTTCGTTGCAGATGGCGCATCTCCTGACGTGCGAAACGGGCGACATTGAACGACAGCTGGAAAACCTGCCTCCGGACGTCAAAGGGACGTATGATCGGATGATGGAGCGACTACGGGCTGATGTTTCGTCGTTCCATCGCTCTCGACGTCTTCTCTATTCCATGGCTGTTTCCATGGCAGGTTGTTATGAGTCATTTGCGGCGGCTATTGCCATGGTTGACCTTGACTGGGTGGACACGGACAGAATGCCACAGCCACCTGATCCGTTTGATGCCCGCGGTGTGATCCGTCGGCGCGGGTCATCATTTCTTCAGATTGACGAAGACTCGACGGTTGAATTTGTGCATTTTACAGCCCAGGAGTATGTGGTCGGACTTGTGGATTACGACGAGAACAAGGCCTGGGCCACTCTCCTCACGGCATACACCACCGCGGTGTTGCTGAAACTCTTTCCGGGGGACTGGAATTATTGGCTAGACTTGACGGAACGCGTGCGCGAGGCGGATGTGGAGCGTTTGCTGTCCCGCATTTTTGATGGGCCGGATGCACTGTGGCCACAAATACTGGATGGACTCGGATACACTTTTGCAGGCTCACAGAATGCAAAAGAATACGAAGCCGAGACGGGGCGGTCATCTGCCGAGTTGACTGCGGTGTTCGACAGCCGCTTAAACTGGGCAATGTTCTGCAATTTCTACAAGAAGGCCGGGGCGCTGCTTTTGGAGATGGGCGACGAGAAAAGCCATTCTCGGCCTGTGCAGGTTCTCATCCGTGCAGTCAGAGAAGCCCTCACACAGGAGGATCCCTGGAATTACTACAGCTCCAACAACTCATGGGCTACGCTGCCCACCTATGTTTCGACATGCATGGCTCTCCAGCGCGCAGCTGACGGGGAGGACAGTTCCGTAGATTCGACAGAGAGCCTGTAGTGGCCGGAAATAACATTGTCGGCGTACCGTCTTTTCTGTCTCACACAGCCACCAGAACACCGGAATGAGGTTGCCTGATCCCGCGTCGGCGTACCCGCTCTTTCCGCAATGCACAGCCACCATCACATGATGGTCACCGGAACACCGGAATGCCATTCCAGGCCCGTTCCCGCTTTCCACCCCGTCCTCCGTTTCTTCTGCAGGCGCACTCGAAAATACTGAGCAGGATACTCATATGTCTGTCTGCGGATAGACAACGAGCCTTCTCATTGAGTACTGCACCAGAGAACTTCGGTGCGTTTGTCAGCCGCATTTTATTTTGCACTGTTTCCATTACCCAGCTCCAGGGGCATACAAGCCCTCGACCGGCCGATCGCAAGCCGGCACAATCTTCCCTGACGCCTCCAGCTGGTACACAATATACCGGACCTAGCGCGTCAATGCACCATCCACAGCCACCACCTCATCCTTCGACTAATTCTGGTCCGTGGAGGCCGTGAACATATGTAGCGCACTTCCTGAAAGCCCTCCCTCTTGCTCCGCTCCCGTGGAAAACTCATAGCCCTCATCGTACACACCCCACGATCCCGTACGCTGCTCGAGACGACGATTGGAAGACGTTGATCAATAATGCAATCGAAAACCGCAAGAAGACCACTGGAAAGAAGCTGAACAACCTGCCGCTCGTCGAAGACATTGAGGACTGCAACACGGTGGGACAGTATTGCGATGAACCACAAGGATGTGCAGATGGCGTATCGGGAAGGTCGGCCGCTCGTGCTCAAGAGCGTCAGCTTCGAAGTCAAGGTCGCAGAGAAGATTGGGATCGTCGGCCTGACGGGGGCAGGCAAGAGCTCTCCGCTGCAGCGCTTGTTCCGCGTGGTCGAGCTGCAGTCTGGTGAAGTCGACATTGAGGGAAGGAGTATTCCAGGGGTTAGTCTGGATGCGTTGAGAGGTCGGCTGGCGCTGGTCCCGCAGGAAAGTGTGCTGTTCTTGGGAATGCTGTGGGAGAACTTGTGCGTCTTATTTCGATCACAGATTCGCGCTGCTCAAACTGGGCTGCGTTGATTAGGGACCCACAGAACTCGAGAACCGGCGCAGAGCTGTTCCCTGTGCTGCAGCGCCCATGGCTGCTGCCACGACCTGGCGAACCGTCCGACCCCACCCACTGTGCAGGTGTTTCAGACCCCGGAATCCCAGTCAAGGGCACTAAAGCGTACGAGGTATGTGTTGCAGCCATATTGAGATTAATGACGCGCGCAGCGAGCTTCTTGACATCCGCGATATCCTCCTCCGGCGCATAGCGCAGCAGCAGATGGGTGATCGTGCCCGGATTGTCCTGCTGAGCGTAGTCGATCCGGGCCTGCACGTAGGGGCTGACGCGGCGCACGGCGCTGTCCTTGGCCCCAAGCGTGGCGCAGAACGCCTTCCAGACGAGTCTGCCAACAATTCAACACCCGTGACTCGGAGGGGATCCAAATCACACAGCGCACCTGCGGTTCGACGCGGGGAACCGGTTCAGCACCTGCGACATGGGGATGACTTCCTCCGCGACGCTGACTTGGTTCTTCAGAAACGCCTCGTTGCGACACCCAGGCGCGCCGATCATGGCGCGGTTGCTGACGCGCGATGTGTTGGGAAGAGCGGTACCGTGACCGAAGACGCTCCGTCCTTGAGGGGCAGGTGCTCGGGAATCGCCAGCTGCGCCTCCTCGAGCATCTCGGGTACGAGGGAGCGCAGCGACTTGATGGGGTCCGACCGGATGATGGTCTCCAGGTGGTACAGGTTGCTCGTGATGTCCCCGAACATGATGTCCGGCAGGAACTGTTTCGCGCGCTCCGGGGCGTTGAACTTCCAAAATATATCAACCTCGAGTAGCACTGGGGTGAGAGTGAAATGTACGCACTACGGTGTCGTCTGAGCGCCGCAGCAGCTCCACGTTGGAGGATGAACCCCTTCCCCCACGAACTGGGCCCAGCCCTCCTCGACCAAGCCCTCGCTGAGCCTTCGCTGTCGAGCACGGAGCGCAGCACCGTCCACGCGTATCCATTGGGACCAGCTGGCCCCACGCGTGGGAGAAGAGCGCACTCGAGAAACGGTACGCTGCATACACCACGGCAAATGCCGCGAGAAGCGACAGACTGCTGGGCTTGGCGCGGTTCCGGAGCAGAAAGAAAGACAGAGAGTGGATGGAATGCCGATTCTGAGCCGGAGTACGCAGTTTTTGCGAGCTCGGCCCGCTCCATGCTGCGGTGTACGACAACTCCTTGCACTGGGCGATGTAATGCAATTTCCCCAAGAAGGCCGAGGCGCGACATGGGCGACGAGAAAAACCATCCTCGGTCCATGCAGATTCTCATCCGTGCAACCAGAGATGCCCTCGGACAGGAGAATCCCACAGATTACTACTTGGAGAAGAACTCATGGGCTAGCTTGTTCCCCAAAGTTCAGCATTGCATGGTACTCCAGCGCGCGGCTGATTGGGTGGAAAGTCCCGTAGATACATCCAGTGAGAGTTCGACAGAAAGCAAAGACTTGAAATAACATTGTCGGCGTGCTCGCTCGTCCTAATTGCATAGCCACAGTCACCTGATGGGCGCCGGAACAAGGCTAGCCCGGGAATCCCATTGCTGTCTGTTCCGAACCGCTTTCCAGTGCGGTCTCCGTTTCTTCCGAAGCGCACTCCCAATCACTGAGCCGGGAAGTCATCTGCACACTGAGCGCAGGGGACCTGATGAGTGAATCGGCCCTGGGGACCTTAATCAAGTACAGTGCAATGTACAAGGCCAACGGGACCAGCAGCCTCAGCTACCTCTCGGTCTGAGGATGGAAGACAAACCCGCTCATTGAGGACTGCATCACGGAGAACGTTGGTGCGTTTTTCCGGTCGGCTCTTGCACTGCCTGTACTAACCTAGCCCAAGGGACATACGACTCCTCGACTGGCCTGTCCCAGGTCGGCACGCTCTCCTCTCACGGCTCCAGCTACAGCATCTACCGTACCCAGCGCGTCAATGCGCTGTCGGTCTCCGACATCGCGACCTTAGACGAGTTTTGGTCCATGCGCATGCGGCGAGGCCTTGAACATATGGACAGTAGCGCAGTTCCTGCGAGCCTCCCTCTTGCTCCGCTCCCATGGCAAACTCACAACCCACATCGTACTCGCCCACAATCCCACGCACTGCTGGAGACCATGATTGGAAGACGTTGGTCAACGATGAAATCGAAAACCGCGAGAGAAGATCATTGGCAAGAAGCTGAACAAGCGGCCGTTTGCTGAAGACGTTCTCTCGACTACGAACCTCTTGGAAACGGATCTCACGCAAAGCCGATCGTCATTGGGACTCAGAGATCAAAATCTCATTGATTTGACGTAGTGCAGATGTGCACGAGCTGCCGCCCGATGACTTGACCAGCGTGACGACGGACCAGTCCGAGGCCAAGTTCTACCGCCGCTGTCCGCCGGAGAGGCTTGCCGCCACTAACAGAATGCCGATTCGTCAAATGGCGCGGGGACAGTTTCGTTGGATGCGGGCACCAAGGAGGGCAAGGAGGATCTGAAGGAAGCGGGAGGCGCAGACGCAGACAAAGCCGAGGAAGAAAACGGCAAGGCCCTAATTCGACGCATCGCTGTCTCGAGCTCTTTTACATGTCCTCTGGCGTATCGTGGGCAGGAGCATCCTCAAGCTACTGTCTCCTCAGCAAGGCATCCATTCACCTCATTTTGAATGTTGTGCACGCACTGGACGGATTCGTCCTCCCTTTTTCGTGAGATGGAATCGCCAGAGATCCCTCCTCCTGGCCATGATTGGAGAGATGCCCCGGACGGAGGGTACCGTTGTCTTCGGTGGATGCATTGGCTACGTGGCCCAATCAGCTTGGATTCGGAATGCGACACCGGGACACAACATCACCTTCGGTCAGGAACTCAAACTCGACCATTCCAAGGATGTCGTCAGAGCTTACAATCTCGAACACGACCTCGAGATGTTGCCTCATGGTGCAACGATGGAGGTTTGTGTGGTAGAATCGTCTCTTGATTCCTATACTGATGACATTAGATTGGTGAGCGAGGAAACGATCTGTGTGGAGGCCAGACAGTTCGTGTGGCCCTGACCTGTGTAGCGTATTAGTCCCCAGACATCGTGCTGCTGGACGACCCGCTGAGCGCCCGGTCGAAACCAAGCCACTGGACTCCCTCATGCGGTCGACACTCTACGCGTCGTACACGGAAACGCTCACCGGCCGCTCGACGATCCGGGCCTACACGGCCAGATCACTTTCAGAGACATCGATCGGGATGGCGTATCAAGAAGGGACGTTCCTCCAAGGCGTCACAAGTGGCTGAGTACGAGTCGGAATGCTGTTCTGAATCTGTTGGACAAGGAGGACTTGATCTTCGGCGCGCTCTGCAACGAAGCAAACCGTTTGAGGGCGGGCATCCTGCGTATCCGAGCTGAGAATGTATAAGATATGAAACGCTCACGACATACCACGCTGTACAGACGGCTTGTATATCCTACATAGAGTCGATATTTGTATGAATGTGAATGGGGTATACGAGTCTACATAATGCCTCGAAGGCTGTGAGAGCGAGTGGTGGGTGATGCCCATCACGGATATCGACATCTGTCACCGACCCAACCCCGTCTTCCAGCACTCCCATGACCGGTCCGTTCGACAACAGTCCGGGGTGAAAAAATCGCTCAGGGATGTCGCTATCCGAACGTTCGGGACGGTCTGACGTCTCTGTCTCTTTTTTATCCGGTCAACACCACCTCAAGCCTCTTACCTGGCACCGGGGTCTCCTTGAAGGAATTCTCCGATGAACACGCGCGTGCAGCGGGAGCTCCTCTACTCTCCATCCTGATCCTTCGACACCCTCATCCATGTGATGGTCTTCACGCCCGCTGTCGCTACGTGGACTGATCACTTCAACGTTCCAGAACCATCACCACGCCTGAGGACATTGTATTCACGCATATCGTGCAGGCGCGCATCATCGATTATGGACCTCCCGACGAGGACCCTGCGCGATCCCTCCAACATGTCCTCGTCGACGTACACTTCAATGGAAGACAAATGGTCCTACATCGAGACCTCTGAATCAACGATATTCTCCCCGCAACGAACGTTCCAAATTTCAGATCGGCTACTACGCTCTTTGCTAAGAGGGGATGGACGGGGTGTTCCAGAAAACGAGCTGCAGGAGCCCAACTACGCGTGGCCCAGGTCAACAGAATCGACCGGTCCCCTGGCATAATCTCAAACGGACTGCCATGCAACTCGCTTTCTCTCGAAGACGATGGCAATCTCAAGATTTTGATGGTGTGATCAGACATTCTTGCACTCTCGCGTGGTCACTGACATTGGCCTCAACACGGAGGCACGATCTGAACGCTCGCTCTGCATCCCCCCGGGGCGCAATCTCATCCATCGCCATATCGGCTTCGCTGCAGCCAATTACTATTCAGGAGATCATGAGACATGCGCGGACCGTGCGCCGTTTCTTTTCTGTTGGTCCGGTCATGTCTGATGTTCTGCAGGGGCCACCATCGCCGTGCTAGAGCAAGAAGTGGAGCCGGCGATTACGGGCGCGAATGTATATTCCCTGGTTCGCATGCACGTGCCTCACAGACTGTGCAGGGTAGGGACACTGTTTCTCCACACAGCTTCACTCCCAATGGCGTCCGTCCCTAGAAACATTGATCTGCGGTTTACTCTGATGCACAAGAGAGTTGCGGTGCGTGTCGCCACTGCCCGGATTGCGCTCGAATCCAGCTCAATCTTTCGTCAGAATGTATATACATCAATCTGTACGGTCCTACCATGCCAATTCTATGGGGGAACATTTCGTGCTTGGTCAGTGGGATCAAATAACCAGAAGACCGCGTTCTCCTCCTCTATCTTCGTGAAACTGGCGTCCGAACTCATTTCCGATATATGCGCCCACAACGCGAGCCACTGACAATCATCTTGCGGTTGTGGGAACAAGGCTACGATCGTAATGTGCTCTTCCCATGCGAATCATCTTATTGTGACTGTTCTAGGTATGCGTTAGTCACATAGATTCTCCAGCGCCTATCTTCCTCTCGATCATCTTCCCTGTCCACCGTTTGGCATGCCAGCCATTGCTCGCCCCGTGTTTGTCTTCGATCTGGGCTGACAGCACGCACGGTACCGCTCTCCTGAAAAGCAACTCGCCTGGATCTTGTCTCGCTGGAGCGCTTGGGCCGTCATGCTCTCAATGAGCTCGGGAGTTCGTCAATGAGAGCTTGAGACCAGCTGACGGCTGGTGCGGGGCCACTCTTGCGAAGCGCGAACCGCACCTGGAGCCCGCACGGGAACGATCACTCCTGTTACAGGCAGTCAGCCCGGCGGGTCTCTGGCCTCGGACATTGGCGCAGCTCTCACAGGATCCCGACCCCGAAGTGCTAGTTTGACAGGCACGCGAGTTTGGCGCTGCGATGCTGCGGGTCTAATTCCATTCCGAGCCTTGCACTCTGATTGCATCAGGTTCTGCCTCTGATGAACGTCACAGGTAGACGCCCGCTGCCAATGCGCATGCAGCGAGATCCTGACCTTACGTCGCAGCATTCCCACAGTCTTCTTGCCTTCCACACCCATGACGGAGACTCAGTCCCTCTTGTCCGCGTCGCCCACCCTTCCGGGCACCGCTCCGGACGACGTTTGGAAGAGGTTGCTCGACGATGCCATCACGGCATACGAGGAGAAGACTGGGAAGAAGCTGGATGAGCTGCCGTTTGCTCACGACGTGGAGAACTGCACGACGCTGGACGATTTCTTCGTAGCTTTGGACAAGCACCAGAAAGCCTTCGGCGACTTCCGTTCTCAAGGCGAGAGGATTCGGGCCATCCTGAATCCCATCGTATCGCTCACGCAGGCCGTGATCGACCCTGCGGCCGAGGCGGCGGCTACTTTTGTAATTTTCGATCCTGCGTGCTGTTGGCGATGGGTCTCATCCTCTGTCAGGTTCCGGGAGGGAAAGGGATCTTTGTCGTTGTTGCGGCGTTTCTTCAGGTACCTGCTATCCGTGCCATCCCTCCAATACAGAACTGACGGAGAATCCATTTGTTTCAGGCCTCCAAGAGAGTCAGCGCCAATTACGACGCCCTGGAGCTGGTTCTGCTCCGGTTCCAGCCGTGTCTCATCCGTCTGGAGATGTATCTCGGTCTGGATTCTTTCGATCAGCGTCGTGCCCTGCGCGATGTGTTCTTGAAGATCCTCGTTCTCATGATCAAGATCTTCGGTCTGCTCACAACGGAACTGAAATCGATCCATAAACTCAAGCGGGGCCGGTGCTGGGTAAGGCAGAAGCGGATCAGTGTGTTCTTTCTCGAGTCTGCCCCGATTTGCGGAATGCTGATGTGGGACTTTGACAGAGGATTGGGTGGGCCAGCTGCTGCAGGCCGGTGATACGAGAGATGCTCTTAATGAGCTCGACGAGCTTACCAAGCAGGAAGGGCTTGCGGCTGTGATCGAAAGCGTAAGAGCGGCAGAAAGGGCACAAATAGTGGCAGAACAGGCCCGATCGGCGGCACTGGCTGCAAAGGTCACTGCGCTGGAGGCTCGATTCGCTGCCGAAGGCGCTCAGATTGCAGCTAATAGCGCTGAAGACGCTGCTGAGGGTGCTAAAGTCGCTGCATTGGGCGCACTAGTCTCTGCGGGGGGCGCTGAAGTCGCCGCTGAGGGAGCTCAAGGCGCCGCTGAGGGTGCACAGTTTGCTGCCGTTGGCGCCGAGGTGGCTGCCGAGGGCGCTCAATCTGCTGCTATCGGGGCTAAAGTCGCTGCCGAGGGCGCTCAATCTGCTGCTGTAGGGGCTAAAGTCGCTGCCGAGGGTGCTCGATCTGCTGCTACGGGCGCTGCGCTTGCCGCCTCGGGTGCCGAAGAAGTGGGAAAGCGGACCGAGTCGCTTGCCAGGATTGTTCATAACAACATAGGTCTCTGTTTCGCCCGTTCCATTGTTCTTTGCGCTGACTTGTGAGTAGTCGGCGACCACATCAAGACGTGGCTGAAACTGTACGACACGGGCATTCGTTTGGACAATCTACGCAATGACAAGCATGAGGGGACCTGTGAATGGTTTTTCGACAAGAAATTTCGCGAGTGGCTTCAGACGCCGAACGGATTGTACTGGGTGCATGGCAAACGTGAGTGATATGGGATCGCTTGATGTGCACGGCGTGCTGATGGCGCTGCAGCGGGTGCTGGGAAGAGTGTATCGATGTATGTATCACGGCTCTTTCCATGGTCTCGTGGTTGATGATGTCTTTTTGCAGGTCCGCCTTGGTCGACCGTCTGAAGCAAGACAATCACATCTTTGCCTTCTTTTTCGTCACGTACCGTGATGTACAGTCGCAGACCATGCACAACATCCAGTCGTCACTGGTCTATCAGCTCGCCACCAAAATGGAATCGTGCTACAAGATATTGGAAGTGGCATACAACAACCGAGGCGCGAGTCTTTCAGCGGAGCAGGGGACGGTGTCTGAATGTCTGATGGAGATGCTGAAGACCTCGCAGCAGCGCGTGATTCTCGTGATCGATGGACTGGACGAGTACCCGAATCCTGAACGCATGAAAAGCCTGTTACCCTTCTTGGAAGAGCTGCATAGACGCAAGACCCCCAACCTGCGGCTTTTGTTGGCAAGCCGACCAGAGCACGACATTGAATCTTGTCTCAAGCCACTTGCCACGCACTTGCTTGACCTTCAAGACAAAAAGGAGATTCGTGAAGACGACATTGCGAGCTTTGTCCATGCTCAGGTCGAGAAACATTGCTCACGCTGGTCCATCGCCACTCGGGAGAAGGCAGAGAAGGCATTGAATGAGAAGGCCGATGGGATGTGAGTGTCTGATATGATATTTCTGCATGGGTGATTCATAAAGCAAGGTTTTTGTGGGTTTCACTGCAGATCGACCGTCTCCTTGAATGTGATCCCGATGTGATCGAAGAGGAGCTGGCAAACCTGCCTTCGGATGTCAAAGGGACGTATGATCGGATCATGGATCGACTTCGGGCCAATAGGTCGTCTTTCCATCGCTCCCGACGTCTTCTTGATTCTGTGGCTGTTCACGAGAACACCTTGGATGAGTCATTAGCGGCGGCTATTGCTATGGTTGACCTTGACTGGGTTGACACGGACGGAATGCCACAGCCACCTGATCCGTTTGATGCGCACGATGTGATCCGTCGGCGCGGCTCCTCATTTCTTCAGATTGACAAAAACTCGGAGGTTCGATTTGTGCATTTTACAGCCAAGGAGTATGTGGTCGGACTTGCGAACTTCGACGAGAACAAGGCCAGAGCCACTCTTTTCACGGCATACACCACCGCGTTGTTGCTGAAACTCGTTGATCCGAGGGACAGGTGGGATTGGCAGGACTTGACGGGCCGCGTGCGCGAGGCGGATGTGGAGCGTTTGGTGTCCCGCCTTTTTGATCCGCCGGATGCGCTGTGGCCACAAATACAGGATGCACTCGAATTGTCTTTTGCAGGCTCAAAGACAGCAATTGAATACGAAGCCGAGACGGGGCGGTCATCTGCCGGGTTTGCTGCGGTGTTCGACAGCCGCTTAAATTGGGCGATAAAATGCCATTTCCCCAAGAAGGCCGCGGCGCTGCTTTTGGAGATGGGCGACGAGAAAAGCCATTCTCGGCCTGGGCAGGTTCTCATCCGCGCCGTCAGAGAAGCCCTCACACAGGAGGATCCCACAGAATACTACGTGCAGAAGAACTCATGGGCTGGCTGGTATTCCGGTGTTTTGCAGTGCGTGACTCTCCAGGACGCAGCTGACAGGAGAAAATTTCTCCGTAGATACATCCCGTGGTAATTCGACAGAAAGGCTGTAGTGCCCGAAAATAACATGGTCGGCGTCCCGTCTTTTCCGTATCACACAGCCACCGGAACACCGGAATGAGGCTGCCCGATCCCGCGTCGGCGTACCCGCTCTTCCCGCACCGCACAGCCACCGTCACCCAATGGTCACCGGAACACCACAATGCCATTCCATGCCCGTTCGCGCTTTCCACTGCGGTCTCCATTTCTTTCACAGCGCACTCGCAATCACTGAGCTGGATAGTCATATGAACAATGTACACATGGGACCTGCTGAGCGAATCGGCCCTCACAAGCACAGCACAATGTACAAGCCTAACGGGAACAGCCGCCGCGCCTCTTGGTCTGCGGAAAGACAATGAGCGATCTAATTGAGTATTGCACCACAGAGAACTTTGGCGGGTTTTGTCAGCCCCATTTTGCACTTTTGTCAGTCAGCCAGTTCCTGGGACATAGAACCCCTCGACCAGCCGGTCGCAGCTCGGCACTCGCCCACGATCCCGCACGCTGCTTGAGAAGACGATTTCAAATGGCTTATCGGGAAGGTCGACTGCTCTTTTTCAAGAGCGTCAGCTTCACCGTCAAGGCCGGAGAGAAGATCGGGATTGTCGGTCGGACGGGGGCAGGCAAGACCTCTCCGTTGCAGTGCTGGTTCCGCGTAGTCAGGCTGCAGTCTGGTGAGGTCGACATTGATGGAAGGAGTATTCCAGGGTTGGTCTGGAGGCGTTGAGAGGTCGGCTGGCGCTAGTCCCGCAGGATCGTGTACTGTTCTTGAGAACTCTGTGGGAGAACTTGAGCGTCTTATCTCGATCACAGATTCGCACTGCTCAGACTGGACTGCGTTGACTAGGAACCCACAGAACTCGAGAACGGACGCAGAAATGCTCTCTGTGCTGCAGCGCGCATGGCTACTGCCGCGACCTGGTGAACTGTCTGACCCCACAGTCGAAGTCAAACTCAGTCTGAACTCTACCATTGGCGACGAGGGATCCAACTACAGCCCTAGCGAGGAGCAGCTACTGGCTCCCTGTCGAGTGTTGGTGAAAAACGGCCTAGTCATTATTCTGGACGAGGCGCCGAGCATTGTCAATGTCAAGACAGATCCCAAGCTGCAGCGGACAATCAAGAGATCGTTTGCGAGATTGCCGTTGCTGTGTATAGCACACTGGCTCAATAAGATTGGTGCGCTGTGATTGTTTTCTGTCTCGGTTTCACGGGCTGACCAGCTGCGCGCATGGAGAGTCTTCGCCGATTGGATTTGGGTGCATCATGTAACGCCTTCCTCGATGTTGGATTCTCGCGTGTAGTGTTTGTCTCCAATCCTCTCAAATCATATGTTATGACAGTGTAATGAAAATGAAAACAGGGTCATGAGAGTATCATTTTACAACGCCATCTTCCTCCGGGCTAGTCAAAGCATGCATAGTCCAAAGAAGACTTTAGAAGTCTGATTTGAGCAATATTTCTTACCTATTCGAGAAGATACTGGAGGCAAATTTATGGATCGGCGAGATTTCCAGCCGCATAGCGCATTTTTAGCCCCGTGGGCGTCAATAGTACATTACGTCCCTTTGGCCTAACGTGTATTCCCTCAGAGGTCAAATGAAAGCACGTGAAGAACAGTTGCTGAAGCTCAAACGGAGAATCGCAAAAAAGCATTGATGTATTCTGTATTCTCACTCGATGAGGAAAGGATCGCGCGCTTCATTCTTCCCAGCCAGCAGTCCAAGTCACAAGTCTTGTACTTTCACGACTATCTTTCCCATCGCATTCCGTGCCAACATCCGATCATAAGCCTGCACGAAGAGACCAAGTCAGCCGGGGCCCTCTCAACGACAAATCACAGCAGATCCTACCTTCAAGGCATCGCGGAACTCAAAGATCTCGTCAATGACCACCCGCAGCTCTCCTCGCTCAACCATCTCCGCCAGTGCAGCTGCCTTCTCCCCATTGGGAGTCGTGCTGATCATGTTGTACCGCCTCGGGACGCCGCCGAGGATCGTTGGGAGATAGGTGCTCAGCATGGCTCGCCAAACGGTGAGGAAGAGGCCCTCGAAGTTTCCGACGTTGACGAAGAGCCCGTCCGCCCTGAGATATGCCGGCGAATGATAGAAGAGGGCTTGGGTGCCGATCGTGTCGAAGATGTACTCGAAAGGCCGCGAGTGGTATTCTCGAGCTAAGAAGGCGGTTAGAGGTGCGTTTGCGCGGTAGTCAACGGCCTGAAAAGCAAGCGATGAGGAAACCAACCGCCAAGAACGAATTCAAAGTGCACCTCGTCGGTCCCCAGACCCTCCACCATCGCCCTGGTCCGCGCCGAGCACGTCGCAACGACATACGCGCCCTGTGCCTTGGCGAGCTGGATGACCATCGAGCCCACGCCCCCCGAGCCCCTGTTCACGAGCACACGCGTCCCCGGCCGGATCTTTCCCTCCAGCACCACGCTTTCCGCCGTCTGCCCGCCGCCCGCTAGCGACGCCGCGACGGGCGAGCTCATGCCCGCGGGAGCTAGCGCAACGCAGGAGGCAGGGATGACGAGATACTCCGCAAGCGTCCCGCCGCCGGCGAGGAGGCTCGGCACCGGGAGACACCCGAACACTCGTGCGCCCGGGAGGATGTGCGCAGACGCTGATGGGCCTGTCGTACAAAATAGGCGTTGTGGTGCAGCGGCCGCGGCGCGAGGGCCACAACGCTGCCGGCTGGGAGGACGGTGCCGTCGGAGATGACAGTCTCGCGGAGTACGACGCGGGATGACCCCACTGAGATCAGTGAGTAGATTAATCATGCCTACAGGAGGTGACAACGCACCGGCAAAGAGGGAGTGAAACCGTCCGGTTTCTTTTAGGAGCGAGTCGAGGAGATAGAACTTGTCGACAGCCGCCTTGTTGCAGACACCACCCTCGAAATTAATGGCAGCGACGATCTCGTCTCGGATCCGCTGGACCATCGCTGGCTCTATGCGTGCCAGCTCAAACAGCGAGTGGGTGGTGAAGATACCACTGTGCAGGTGTTTCCGACCCCGGAATCCCAGTGAGGGCACTAAAGCGTACGAGGTATGTGTTGCAGCCATATTGAGATGAATCACGCGCGCAGCGAGCTTCTTGACGTCCGCGATATTCTCCTCCGGCGCATAGCGTAGCAGCAGATCGGTGATCGTGCCCGGATTTTCCTGCTGAGCGTAGTCGATCCGGGCCTGCACGTAGGGGCTGACACGTCGCACAGCGCTGTCCTTGGCACCAAGCGTGGCGCAGAATACCTTCCAGACGAGTCTGCCAAGAATTCGACACACGTGATTCGGAGGAGATCAAAATCACACAGCGCACCTGCGGGTGGACGCGGGGAACCAGTTCAGCACTCCGTCTTTGAGGGGCAGGTGCTCAGGGATCGCCAGCTACGCCTCCTTGAGCATCTCGGGCACGAGAGAGCGCAGCGACTTGGTGAGGTCCGACCGGATGATGGTCTCCAAGTGGTACGGGTTGCTCGTGATGTTCCCAAACATGATATCCGGGAGAAAGAGCTGTTTCGCGCTCAGGGGCGTTGAACTTCCAAAATATATCAACCTCGAGGACTACCGAGGGATAAGTGAAGTGTACGCCATCAACTTCGAGGAGCACTGGGTAAGAGTAAAGTGCGCGCACCACGGTGTTGTCCGAGCGCCGCAGCAGCTCCACGTTGGAGGATAAACGCCTTCAAGTTCCCCCCGAACTGGGCCCAGCCCTCCTCGACCAAGGCAGCGCAGCACCGCGTCGACGCGTATCCGATGGGACCAGCTCGCCCCACGCGTGGGAGAAGGGCGCACTCGAGAAACGGTACGCTGCATAGACCACGGCAAATGCCGCGAGAAGCGATGGACTGCTGGGGATGGCCCGGTTCCAGAGCAGAAAGAAAGCCAGAGAGTGGATGGAAGGCCGATTCTGAGCTGGAGTATGCAGTTTTTGCGAGCTCGGCCCGCTCCGAGTCCATGCTGCAGTGTACGACAGCTCCTTGCACTGGGCGATGTAAGGCAATTTCCCCAAGAAGGCCGAGGCGCGAGATGGGCGACGAGAAAAACCATCCTCGGCCCATGCAGATTCTCATCCGTGCAGTCAGAGATGTCCTCGGACAGGAGAATCCCACAGAATCCCACAGATTACTACTTGAAGAACTCATGGGCTAGCTTTTCCCCCAAAGGTCAGCATTGCAGAGCTCTCCAGCGTCCAGCTGATTGGGTGAAAAGTCCCGTAGATACATCCAGTTAGTCTCCCGAAGGTATCCGCTGTGATTGTCCCGTAGATACATCCAGTGAGAGTTCGACAGAAATAACCGTATTGTCGGCGTGCTCGCTCGTCTTAATTGCATAGCCACAGTCACCTGACGGTCGCCGGAACAAGGCCCGGGAATCCCATTGCGGCCTGTTCCCGCTTTCCTGTGCGGTCTCCGTTTCTTCCGAAGCGCACTCCCAATCACTGAGCCGAAAGTCATCTGCACACTGAGCGCATGGGACCTGATGAGCGAATCGGCCCTGGGGACTGCAGCTTAATCAAGCACAGCGCAATGTACAAGGCCAACGGGAACAGCAGCCTCAGCTACCTCTCGGTCTGAGGATGGAACACAAACCCGCTCATTGAGGACTGCATCACGGAGAACGTTGGTGCGTTTTTCCGGTCGGCTCTTGCACTGCTTGTACTAACCTAGCCCCAGGGACATACGACTCTTCGACTGGCCTGTCCCAGGTCGGCACGCTCTCCTCTCGCGGCTCCAGCTACAGCATCTACCGGACCCAGCGCGTCCATGCGCTATCGGTCTCCGACACCGCGACCTTAGACGAGTTTTGGTCCATGCGCATGCGGCGAGGCCTTGAACATATGGACAGTAGCGCAGTTCCTGCGAGCCTCCCTCTTGCTCCGCTCCCATGGCAAACTCACAACCCACATCGTACTCGCCCACAATCCCACGCACTGCTGGAGACAATGATTGGAAGACGTTACCCGACGATGCAATCGAAAACCGCGAGAGAAGATCATTGGCAAGAAACTGAACAAGCGGCCGTTTGCTGAAGACGTTCTCTCGACTACGAACCTCTTGGAAACGGATCTCACGCAAAGCCGATCGTCATTGGGACTCAGAGATCAAAATTTCATTGATTTGACGTAGTGCAGATGTGCATGCACGAGCTGTCGCCCGATGACTTGACCAGCGCGACGACGGACCAGTCCGAGGCCAAGTTCTACCGCCGCTATCTCCCGGAGAGGCTTGCCGCCACTAACAGAATGTCGATTCGTCAAATGGCGCGGGGACAGTTTCGTTGGATGCGGGTACCAAGGAGGGCAAGGAGGATCTGAAGGAAGCGGGAGGCGCAGACGCAGACAAAGCCGATGAAGAGAACGGCAAGGCCCTAATTCGACGCATCGCTGTTTAGAGCTCTTTTACACGTCTTCTGGCGCATCGTGGGTAGGAGCATCCTCAAGCTACTGTCTCCTCAGCAAGGCATCCATTCACCTCATTTTGAATGTTGTGCACGCACTGGACGGATTCGTCCTCCCTTTTTCGTGAGATGGAATCGCCAGAGATCCCTCCTCCTGGCCATGATTGGAGAGATGCCCCGGACGGAGGGTACCGTTGTCTTCGGTGGATGCATTGGCTACGTGGCCCAATCAGCTTGGATTCGGAATGCGACACCGGGACACAACATCACCTTCGGTCAGGAACTCAAACTCGACCATTCCAAGGATGTCGTCAGAGCTTACAATCTCGAACACGACCTCGAGATGTTGCCTCATGGTTCAAAGATGGAGGTTTGTGTGGTAGAATCGTCTCTTGATTCCCATACTGATGACATTGGATTGGTGAGCGAGGAATCAATCTGCCTGGAGGCCAGTGAGTTCGTGTTGCCCTGGCCTGTGTAGCGTATTCGTCCCCAGACATCGTGCTGCTGGACGACCCGCTGAGCGCCCGGTCGAAACCAAGCCATCGGACTCCCTCATGCGGTCGACACTCTACGCGTCGTACACGGAAACACTTACTGGCCGCTCGACGATCCGGGCCTACACGGCCAGATCACTTTTCAAGGCCATCGATCGGGATGGCGTATCAAGAAGGGACGTTTCTCGAAAGCGTCACAAGTGGCTGAGTACGAGTCAGAACGCTGTTCTGAATCTGTTGGACAAGGGGCACTTGATCTTGGGCTCGCTCGGCAACGAGGCAAACCTTTCGAGGGCGGATATCCTGCGTGTCCGAGCTGATAATGTATACGATACGAAACGCTCACGACATACCACTCTTTACATACGGCTTGTATATCCTACATAGAGTCGATATTTGTATGAATGGGATACACGACTTGACATCATGCCTCACAGCCTCACAGGCTGTGAGAGCGAGTGGTGGGTGATGCCCATCACGGATATTGACAACTGTCACCGACCCAACCCCGTCTTCCAGCACTCCCATGACCAGTCCGTTCGACAACAGTCCGGGATGCACAACTCGCTCAGGGATGTCGCCGCCGGGATTTTCGGGACGTTCTGACGTCCCTCTCAATCTTGCATCCGCTCAACACCGCCTCAAGCCTCTTACCAGGCACCGGGGTCTCCTTGAAGTCTCCATCGAACGCTGCTGCTACGAATGACCGGATGAACACGCGCGTACAGCGGGGGATCCCCTACTCTCTATCCTGGTCCTTCGACATCCTCATCTATGCAATGGTGTTCCCGCTCGCTGTCGCTGCTCTGACTGAGCACTCAAACGCTCCAGAATGGTCACCACGCCTGAAGACATCGTATTCACGCATATGTTGCAGGCGCGCTCCCGGCGCCCATCCTCGACAACGGACCTCCTGAAGAGGACCCCGCGCGATGCCTCCAGCATATCCTCGTCGACGTACACTTCAATGGAAGACGAATGGTCCTACATCGAGACCTCGAATACAACATCATTCTCCCCGCGACGACCATTCCAAGTTTCAAATCGACTACTGCGCTCTTCGCCGGGAGACGTTGGATGGGGGGCTTCAGACAACGAGCTGCAGGAGCCCAACCGCGCAGCGCCCAGGTCAACACGATCGACGGATCCTCTGGCACAATCTCAAACGGTCTGCCATGCAACTCGCTTTCTCTCGAGAACGATGGTAATATCATGATGACGACGGTGTGTTTAGAAATTCTTACAATCTCGCGTGGTCACTGACATTGGCCTCAGCAGGGAGGCACGATCTACGACGAGGATGACGAATCCATCTAGGTTTACGACGCAGACAACGACACGGACGCGCCGTCGAGTCTTGCGTTTTGGGAATGTCTTTTCCAATGCCCGGTCGACGAACACCCGCTAGGGGAGGCACGAGAAACGCTCTGCATGGCGATCCGGGATCCGAAGTACGAGGGTGCCTCTGTGACTCTGGAAGTCATTGAGCCAGTGGACATGGTGTAGAGCCACGAGCGCCATTTACTGGCGGCTGTTGTCTCGCGGCGAGAGCATGCGAGAGGAATTTTGTGGTACGTGCCATCACTGCCCGGGGCTACGCTCGGATCCAGCTGAATACTCTGTCAGATACCTATATACACCCATCTGTACTGTCCCACAATGCAGACTTGGTGCTCGAGTTCTACCGCCCGACTTTGTGCACGGGAAGTCATATTGCGTGTCGACTCTCTCCGTTCCTGGTCAATACATGGCGTCTGCTTGCCGTGCGAAGGACTGAACTCATTTCCAAAATCCCCGCCCATGACACGAACGACAGAGTCATCATCTCCCGGTGATAGGGACGGAGCCTTGATCGTGGCATGTTCCTGCTATGTGAACCATATGACTCTGACTGCTCTAGGCTCATGTCATTAGTAGTGATCTCCCAGCGCCTATGCACTTCAATAGTCTTTTCCCCAACGACTCCGCGTGTCAGCCATCTGGGTCGACTCGTGCAGTCTTTGATCTGCGCTGACAGCACACACGGCAGCGCTCCCTGGGACGGCTGTACCCCAGGATCTCGTCGCGATCGAGCACTCAGCTCGATCTGCTTCTCTCAATCAGCTTTTCCGTCTACCCTGTCAAACGAGCTTCCGCTAATGACAGATTGCAATGTTCCCACGCAGCGCGACACATCGATGCCACGTCGCACACGCAACCTCTCCCTCTCGCTGCCGCACAAATCTCTTACGTACGGTATCCGGCTGCAAGGACCTGGAGAACGAGGGCTCACGGTCGGTGCGGAATCACTCTGGTGAACCGCACTTGGGACTCGCATGGGAGCCTTCCTTCCTGTCGGGAACAGAACATCAGACATTGACTCGCTGCTCCCACGCCCTACAGAATTGTTCTCCGGAACTCTGGTCTGACCGGCGTGCGAGATTGGCGCTGCGATCCTGCAGGTCTCACTACTCACTTCCTGCCCATGCGCCACTGATTGGAACAGCTTTCATGAATGATCTTCAATGAACCTTACCAGATAAGCGCCCGCTGCCAACGTGCATGCGGTGAGGCTGTGGCTGTGTGTCCCACAGCTTCCTACATACCCTCTTCTCGTTCTCCTCCCATAGCAAACTCTCAGTCAACGTTCTACATGCCCGCAACTCTTGTTCCTCCTTCGGATGATACTTGGGAGACGTTGCTCGCTGCAGCAGTCGAAGAGTACGAAAGGATCACCAGGAAGAAGCTGGATGACCTGCCGTTTGCTCAAGAGCTTAAGCAATGCAACACGGCGGACGATTTTTGCGATGTCCTGGACCATCACAAGGAGTCTTTTGGAGACTTCCGCTCTCAGAACAGCAAGATCAGGCGCGTTCTCCAGCCCCTTGTAGCTGTCCTCCAGTTCGCCATCACTCCCGTGTCCGAGGGGACGTCCGCTATGGTGAGTATGGATTCTGCGCGTCGCGAGACATCGAGCTCATTCGAATTCAGCTTCCGGGAGGGAAAGGAATTCTTGTTGCTTTTGGGGCTTTGCTGGAGGTGAGGACTGTCCGACACGTTCCTGTGACCCAGATACCAACGAAATGTGTACCATAAACAGGCTGCTAACAAAGTCAGCTACAAATATGACTTACTGGAGCTCATCCTCGATCGGTTCCGGCCATGTCTGAAACGCCTAGACGTGTATCTCGTCGAGCTTCCCGCAGACCACCGTCAGTTGCTCCGTAATGTGTTGCTCGACATCCTCGTCCTCATGATCAAGACGTTTGGACTCCTTACATCATATCTGTGGAAAAGCCCCAAGCTCAAGAATCGCCGGTTTAAGGAAGTGAGACAGCGCATGAGTAAGACCCGTTTCGCGGACAACCTCACAAGGCTGACTCGCATTCTGACAGAGGATTGGGTGCTCCAGATGCTCGGATTCGACGATGTTAAAGGGGTCCTCAACGAGCTCGATGAGCTGACCAAGGAGGAAGGGCTTGCTGCATCGCTAGAGAACCTGCTGGTGTCGATGGGAATAAAACAATTGATTGGTGTGTTTTGAGCTTGTCTTTGCTTGCCGATGCTCACCGCATATGCATCAGTCGAGCAGGATATCAGAACCTGGCTCAATCCATATGATACGGGCACACGCTTTAACTATCTTACCGAAGTTAAGCATAACGGGACATGTAATTGGTTCTACGACGAGCGATTCGAGAATTGGATTGGGATGCCAAACTCGACGTATTGGGTCCATGGGAAGCGTGAGTAAAATGATGCTACTGCACCATGACATTAGGCTGACTGCACCACAGCTGGCGCTGGGAAAAGCGTGTCGATGTGCGTCCGGTTACGTGTCTTCCATGGTCCTTTCTGACCGTTTTGCATTGTAGGTCTGTGGTGGTCGAGCATATGCAGACACGGAAGGAGCTCTTCGCGTTTGCATTTATCTCTTATCGCGAGGAACGATCACAGCGCTTGGAAAGTGTCCTGTCGGCATTGGTGTACCAGCTTGCCACTCAGGCGAAGTGTCTCCATGACCAGCTTAAGACGGTGTATGATCGGCGCGGGTTGGCTCTTTCTGCCTCTCGGACCGTACTGTTGCAGTGTCTTATGGACATGCTGAAGAGTGCCCCAAAGCGGGTGATCATTCTGATTGATGGACTGGACGAGTATCCGAACCCCGGGCGCGCTGTGGATCTTCTGCCTTGCTTGCGGAATCTGCGCGGGTGCAACATCAACAACCTGCGTCTCTTGTTGGCGAGCCGACCGGAGCAGGACATCGGGCGCACCTGCCCTGCCCCAATATAGTAACCAATCAGTACGTGTGATCGGATGCTTACCTGGCAACCGATTGGTATTATACTAGGCCAAAATCCACACCCTTCGGTAATACCGCTCGAGACCTTCAGCCAAACGACTTGGAGCTGTATAGCTGAGCGTTTTCGGCAGCCTTCGGCACATCCCTCCGCGTGATACGTCTCTCCCGTCATCTGCTCTCTTCCGACATCACGCCGTGACGTATCCGTTGTCCGCCGCCGCCATCGTCACCTTTGTTACCGTCATTGCTCCAGCCGTCAACTCCCGATCCTCCCCGCCTTTGCCTCACATCTGGTATTCGAACGTCCCTCCTCATGCGCCGCGGTCTTTCAAAGCGGACCACCGTCCGCTACGGGTCTGGCTACGGTGCACGGATACAGAAAGTCAAGTCTGTTTCTGTCAATAAGACATCGAAGCAGATGGCGGAGGCACAGCGAGCATATGAGCAGCAGGTTCAGGGTGCGCTCCGTGTCATCATCTTCTTCATTTCACTCATATACGGGTGCCTTCACAGCGCTAAGCTACACGCAACGCGACGAGATCATGGGGGACCGCTCACGAGAAGAGGACATCGAGATGGGAGATGGCAGTGGAGCCACCGGGCACGATGAGTGGGAGGACGACGATCACGCTTTCTACCATACGCTCCCACCCGGGGAAGAAGGTGCTGGGCATAGCTATGCAGGAGACGAGGCCATATGGAACAACGTGGCTGAGGGAATGCGACCTGGGTGAGTCCCCTCTGTGCAGCCCACCTTGTATGCTAACTACGTTGGCTATGTGGGCGTGGTGACCCTCGAGTTCGGAGTCACCGGGTGCAGGACATGCTCAATGCATGGGACAGGCACATGCCGCGCCTGGTCGACTCATATCTCGCTTGGGCGGAGTCGCGGGATAAGGGCGAGGTTGCTGTAGAATCGGGCGAAGGATGGCCTCTGCTGGTGCTGGGGCTAGATGGCAAGTCTTGCTCTTGCGCTTCAGCACTACTTTCTAATCCATGCTCACAGAGTCCGGGACTCTTCACTTCTCACACCCCTCCGACTCTTGCGGGCCAAATGAGGCGTTGCTACAACGTGGATACCTCGGAGCCAGTCCAGACCAACCCACGATTGCCTTTTCCATACGTACATTTGAAATATATCGACAAATACATCGTGTTACCCCACGTTTCACCATCGACTCTCTTGCCCGTGTTCTGAATCATCTACATAGGGTACGTCTAGGGGATTGATCATAAGTAACTTCACACTCATGTTCTACAGGTTCCACGACAACGATATCTACAAGAACAGCTCACCACAGCATACGACGCGTACCTCGAGATCCTACAGCGGGTGGATCAACGTGTCACAGCCGCATTACATCGGGATGAAGACTGGGAGATCAAGAACATTTGCGCTCCCTGTTTTTACTCTGTTGAGGGAGAACGCAAACTCAAATACCGCTCCTTCATGAGTGTCGATGGCAACGCGTCTTTGAAACTCGTCGACAGCACGTTCCGTGCCGGCAATCCACGATTCGACGCTCGAAAATCCCGCTCTTGGCGTTGGCTCACTCCATCCCAGGTGGACGTATTCAAAGATGAGGTGAAGATGTCTGAGGTATGTGTTGTTTCTCATCGCCAGATTTATTCTGATAACCTTTAGTTGCAGAGGAAGAAAGCGCCCTCGAGCGCTACAGAGTGTGACGCTGGCGATCAACTGCCAGATGTCAATCCGCCAACGGAAGCGGAGACTGATCATGATGAGGAGGTCGCATGGCTCAATGTCAACGAGCTCGATGAAACCAACGTTCAGAAACTGGAGGAGAGTGTCAGTGTCTGTGTAGATCGATGGAAGGCTGCAGGTCCCGAGGCACGCAAGAAGATGTTCGCGCTTTTCGCTGTTTCGGGTATATTTTTGGCAGTCTGTCGACACGGACATGTTCTCATCATGTGCGACATGATACGGAGCGGTGAGCTGTCAGTTGTCTACCGTCATTGCTATCTGGTCAGTGCTAACTTAGTCTCCTTAGGATGAAATATCCGCTTGCTCTAGTCAATCACTTGATAGACACATATGGGGCAGACATTGGCTTAGGGTATGACATCATGTGTGCGTTTTTTAAAACCCTCCTTCGAAGCTCTCTTGGTGCAAAGGTTGTTGCCATGAAGCTACGTGGCATCGTTCCGGCATTCCACGGCCATGCTCATAACCGAGAGTGCCAACTCGGGTGGCATCCCATGTATCTTGAGGGGGTGGGATTAGAAGATTTCGAAGAATGTGAACGCACATTCTGTCAATCCAACCATCTTGCCAGCTGTACGCGACTTGCAACTCCATTCCATCGACAACAGCAGATCGATGAACATTTTGCGTTCCATGACCAGGACAAGCATGCATCGTCGGGTACGTCATCACTCTCTTGCTGACAGACACCGATTTTGACACATCCATCAGGAAGTTTCATCTTCGCTAACTACCAGCAAGCCGTTGAGAAGATCACACACAACCGGGTCCGGCTGAACGCGCTTGAGCGTGAGCTCAAGACTACAGGCGCTGACTACAAATCCGATTTGGAAGCCGAACGGAACCATCTGCAGTCGCTGAAAGCGGAGCCGGGAACGGTGACCATGGCCGTCGATTACCTTGAGCTTCTCGGTAAACTCCAAACTGCCGCGTACGTTCTTTTGCGCATTTCCGTAATTGTGTGAGCTCATTGTCGACATGAAGTGATGCCTCCGCAACAGCAGCAAGAGAGTTCCGGAACCTGGATCGGCTCATCATCGAAAATGGCATCACCAGCCCCAAGATTGCTGCCATCCGTACACGATATCGAACGACACACACTCGGCATCTCCTGGTGGAGGAAGAAGTTGCTCGGTTTGAGGTAGAGCACAAGATTGAGGAGCGATGGGAGAGCGGGTCGGCGGCGTATCATGATGCACTGATCACGCTCAGTGAGCGGCGCTATTGTCGAGCACTTGATACCTTGGAGAAGCTTGTGGTCCAGCGTCTCCTCGAGTTGACAAAGCTGTCCGTGAGTGGTGTGGGTACGTCTACTGACTTCTGTCGTGTGTGACCAAGCGCACTAATCCCAACCGTCAGGATACAAACTTCGTGACAAGATTGGCAAGGCCCTTCGCACGAGGGCGGCGGCAATACAGCGGGCGCTCAATGACTACAACCTGGCAGCAAAAGCATTGAATCCCCCACGCAAAGAGCTCCACTGGGCCGACATCGTGCAGACCACCACTCTTGCAGAGTTCGACGTTCTTCGTAACACTCGAGTCGATATTCGGGCGCTCCCATGGACTCAACCTGCACGGCGCGAGGCAGCGACTTTGTACTTTGGGATCAAGAGATCGGAGGAGGAGATTGAGCGTCTCAATGTGGAGATTCGCCGCCTCGTCTCCTTCCTGTTGGATGAGCATGCTGACTATCAGGTTGCGATCACGGCCAATGAAGGCTCAAACCCCGCCCTTGCTTCTGAGCTCTCGCACCGTCTTGTGGAGAAGACACGGATCGCAGAATCGATCATTGAGCGTCTCGTGAAAACCAGCCGCCTTCCGGGCTTCTCCGGGAGCCTCCTTCCCGGGGATCGAATTGGAAGAGACCCGACCATCACGCAGTCCTCTCCAATGCCCTCTTGGGCCCACAGCCTCCTTGGCTTGCAACAGCTCGCGGTTGAGACAGAGGACAATGATGACGACACGGAGGTCCCCCGAGAACTGCAGGGACTTGATGAGGACCTCGTTGTGGAGCTCATGGATCGTCTCCAAGTCTCAGAAGTAGATATTGCTGTGTAGTACGGTACTGAATGCACATCGGGTACATGGATCATCGCGGCCCAAATGAGCCATCGTTTATGAATCGAATCAATGTTACTTACTCAATCATCATTCCAGATAGAACTTGTGTTGAGTAATGTCCTCGAGGACTTCTTGCGCACTAAGAACTTTACTGGCGCTGGCTCAGAAAATCACATAAAATGGTAGGTTTTCATTTAAAATCGGTGATCAGAAATTCAGAATCCCAACTTATGTATGTACTTACTCCTTACGAAGAATGTACAGGATAGATAATATCCTTGCAATCTCTCATGAGATAGCAATAAATCACTCTCGCTGGCTGGCAGAAATGCCAACAGTAAATCCTGACAACCCTTGACTCTCAGCTGGTACTAGTAAGATGTAATAACCATGTTGCACGACTCAAGCTGCTTGAGTCGCGCAACATAGTTACTTACTGAGCACATGTCATTTGACTTTACCTGATAATTCAGGTGGAATATACTATTAAACTCAATAATGTGTATCTACGCCGGGCTGCCTGACAGTGCAATGGGCAACAAACCTCAGAATTTGGGATGCGGGGTATGCGACTCAGTGTGATCAAGATCATCTGATTGACACAAACTGTCATTCCTTGCTCCTTCGTCTCGACCATGACGGACACGACAAGGACTGCTCTCATCCCACTCAAAGCTCCATTGTCACGACATCCCATTCCCGATTTCATTCCTGCTCTCCGTTCTCGGACCTTCACCCCCGTCGGCTTATTCAACATCCGTCGCTATCTTTTCCGTCAACCGGTCACTACGTCTATCTACCAGAGCTTACAGGCGTCCTTCTCAGCAAGTGATATTGCGTTTGCTGCAGCCGACGCGAGGAAGGATGGGAGGCACAAGGTCTTACCGCGAGAGTTTCACCCTGAGCTTCTTGCGCTCTACGAGTCAGTGCCAACACAGCGTGCGGGTTGGGATGAAAGGCATGCCTTTTGGAATCAGGTGAAGGATCTCATATTTGATTTGGTGCGTGGTATTCGGCTCTCTTTTATGACACGACTCATGAATCCAGGCAACACTACTCGACCAAAGCTCTGGAGGAACCACTATGGTCCTCCATTGCAGCGGCAGGGTCAGTCCAGCGGAATCAACGGCCATCGAGAACCTCAGGGCGGATGTCTACATCCGTCCCAGTTTCTTCACCGATCATCCAGATGCGGACGCCGCTGTTTCCTACCTGGTCCAGGCATTTCTGGAGCAGGTTGGTACGCGGGCATGTATCTCGTGGGGTCGCCGTGCAGAGGCAACCTGGGGATTGGTCCCAAATGTTTATGCTGTTGACCGTCCAGTCGTTCCCGCGCGTCTCATTCCTGCCCCCCAGAGCACCACCTCTGCTCACTATGTCTTCCGAGGGCGCCCACAACACAGCCTCCGCCCGCCCAGCAATATCCCCGTCATCGATATCACCAGCGACCCCTTAGGCACCTCTTCTGCCTTTGAAGTTCCCCTCCTTGATATCGATGATGATTTGGCTGACCTTCAGTCTCGGAACAATGCGCTACGGGCTCGGAACGAGGACCTGGAGGACAAGCTTTTGCGCGTCGTGGCAGAACGGGACTTTTTGGAGGATGAGGTTGATCAACTTCGGAGGGAGCGTGATGTGTACAAGATTCAAGCCTCTCATTTTCAGGGCGGAGGTATGTCCTTTCTACATGATGATGCTTGGGTGCTTTCTTATGGAAACTCTCTAGGTATTCCCTCCACTCCAACTCGTGCACAACCTCCTGCGTACTCTGCGACGCCTCGCAGGGTCGCTAATCTTGTCAGATCACCAGACATTCAGTTGCCGGCACCCTCCACCCCCTCCAGTTCGGCCAATCCGCGTGCTTCACTACAAGCGAATCTGATGCCCCTGCTCGAGTCTCTCGGATCTGAAGATAAGTTTGATGTGGTCTCAACCGTCTTGCGACTCGCGACAGAGTCCCGGTTGGGCTTGGAGCTCTCTCGTGCTGGTCTCTCTGCGTGTGCAGTCGAGGCAATCTTATTTGCTCTGGAGTAGCTCACTCTGGCCCATTTGTTCTATTTTCTTCAGTGATACATAATGCTCCATGTTCCCTTGCTCAGATCTGGTGAATGTATAGCCATGATAGAAGGAATAAGCGTGATAAGCGGACAGAATTGCCGTGATAGGCCCAAGCATGTGATCGCGTATATCAAGCCCGAGGCTTGAAAAATTGTCGGAAAAAATTGTCGCCGCCGCCCCGCCCTCTCCTAAATGCCTACATTGGGTCTCACAATTGCTGCGGCTAGTCAGCCGCGTCAACGAGCTCCTGCGCCCGCTCGAGCTCCTCTCACAGCAAGCCAGAAAGCGGAACGCACTGCCGCCCATGCAAAATCACAGGAAGCCGAAGATGCCGATGTCGGTGTGTACAGCATGTCCCACGGTCCCTCTGCTCTCATGCTCATGGCGCATTTGCAAACGCTCAGAGGCCTGGTTCACAATGACAGAGAACATGGCGCAGACCTATGCCGACCGGTACAACAAGAAGAAGCGTTACTTCCTCGACCGGTTCTTTCAAGGCGGCGCGCATATGATCAAGCACCAGGACAAAATCAATCCGTTTAACGCCTTCAAGGCTTTCAAGGCTGAGGAAATCCGCGAAAGTGAGTGTCCATATGAAGGGAAGACTGGTCTTCATTCTCTTTATAGCGGACAGTGTCGCTTTGAATGCACCTGCATTGAGCGAGAAGTTCAGTGCAGAATATCAGGCCCTGTCGACTGATGAGAAGAACAAGCTTGCGGAGGAGTGAGTCTGCTGACTCTTTTTTGGTATTCTCTGCTGACTATCTTCCAGTTATCAAGATGTGAAAGTCTTGAACTCACAGCTGAAGCGTGCGACTCCCCGAGGACGGTCTCAAGACGTTGCAAATGTCATCAGGAACATGACTATGCTGGTATGTTAGCTGCCTGCTTTCACCGTGGCTGACATTGCTCAGGTCCGTGGCCTTTCTGCGCGTGTTGGTGTTGAGGTTATGTGGCTTGTTGTACGCAACAATGCAGACTTTTACATGGAGCCGCAATGGTACTTTTCAAATCCGGAGCTCGAGCGATACATGCCCCTGGCAGTGGGTAGGAAATGGGATCTGGCAAAAGTTGGGACGAAGGTGGAGGCATTTTCTATCGCAGGATGCGATAGTGTTGGTGCGTCCCCTTTCTGCTGTGCTTCACCGCTATGTCCTGACATGCACGGCAAGCTCTGCTTCGCACTACGAAGCAGAAATGCGACCACCTCAAGATGGAGATTCGGAATTTTGTCAACCGTGGCCTGCGTACGTGTATGCCAGACAGTCCAGAGACAACCTGGCACGTCCCACAGATACCATCACCGGGAATCCCAATCAGTCAATGCAATATGTCCACTATCGTGAAGACATTGTTGTTGGCCTGGGCGTCGAACTCCGTGGCTGGAACGACATCAAGAATCCCAGTGACCTCAGCTCATCCGTCAAGAGTCTGCTCGATCTCCGTGACCGCTTCGTCAAGGGAGAGACCCTGTGGGTGAAGCTCAGCAGGGAAGAACGGGAGGATCGGCAGCGGTTGTGGGATGAGGATGTAGCGAGCGGGAAGGTTGTTCCCAAGTCCAGGGAACCCAGGTCGGACAAGGGACAGAAGCGGAAACACGCCGACATCGACGACAGCCCCAACAATAGCGCATCACCCTCATCCAATTTGCCCCCGACCTCGTCAGCCAACCCCGTTATCACGGAACCCATTGACGCGGCTGCCCACGCTTCTCAGCTGCCCACCAAGCGCGCGCGAGTCACCAAGAAGACCGGGAGCACGGCTTCAGCCACAAAGAGGGCCACGGGCTCCAACAAGGAGAATGGTACTC